GAGGCAGGCCTGCCAAAGGATCAATTGCACTGTGCGTAGTGCATGTCCGAGCACGAAGACGCGGGAGCTGACCTTGGGGGGATGCGTTATTGCATCACGATGCTTCATAGAGCGATGCCTTTTGGCGCAGACGCGATTAAAGGACCAGTGGCCGCAGTCGCAGCAAACAGCGCTGGGAAAAAAGGTGGTCAAATTTTCGTTGGCATGTACAGGATGGCTTTCAATGTAGTGCGCCATCAGCGGATCGCCCTTGCGCATTGAGCACACACATCCTGGCGCAGGACAGTCAATCCAGTTCAGAGAAGGAAAGCACTCGGAAGGGCGGCGGAGATCGGGTGGAGTGGAATGGTGCGTTTGAACATGGCGTTGCTCATTGGAATCCGAGACAAGCATGTTGCAGATTGCACAAGACACCGGAGAAGGAGTCGCCATAATGGCTGCACGCAAAGAAAAGAAAGGCAAGGTGAGATGGTTCACGCATCAATAAATGGCAGCGCATGCGAGGAATGAGGAAGGGTGGGGACTCACCGTTGAGGAGAAGGAAAATGCAACGGAAATTGTAACGGAAGAACGAATCTCAACGGTCAAACCATAAGGGATGACACTTGGTACGTGACCGAAGTTGTCTCGATGAACAGGTGAAAAAGTGTCTCCGTGTCGGGGTCGATGTTGGATCAACCGCTGGAGGAGCTGGAAGGTCGGGTGCCGGCCGGGTTGCGGCGCGAATGGGGTCGACAGCAGGGGCGGGTGGGGCTGGAGACGCTGGCGTGGTTGGTGCGGCGACTTGATGCAGAGGGTAAGATGAGGGCGCTTGCTCGGATCGGATGGGGTCGGATGGTCGAGTTTTTAGTGCTCGCTCTGGATGCTGGCTCAGTGTGCGTGTGTGGCAGACCTGCGGACGCTGCATCGACTGGCCGGCCAGCGACTTGCCGCCACTGATATTGTGGGGCAGCTGCCTCAAGACATCTTTCGCCGAATCTGCTTTTATATGGATCTACAAACCCTTTTATTGTGCACACAAGTGTGCCGACGCTGGCGAGCGATGATCCTCGAAGATGCGGCCTTGCTCTGCCAAGCGCTCGCCTGCGCTGTCGTGGCCAGGGTGCAGCTGGAGCCAATTAACCGCCCGGAGGAGGCCCAAATCAGCCTTTGTCAGCAGGTGACGTTTGTCTCCTTGAACCTGTTCTTGTCGTTGCCTGCTCAAGCAACTACGGCAGCGCACTTATTCTCCCCCGAACGACGACTGCTCAGATTTTTCGCCGACTGCAAGCCTTGCCATTGGCAGCCCAGAGTGAACATGTTGGGGCAGAGCTGCACGCTCTTTTGTATCAAGTGCGTACTGACCTGACTTTACTTGGCCGTGGCCACGAGCTTCTTCCTCACTGCCGTTGCTGCCTCTTTCGGCTCTTGGCCTCGGGTCAGGTGTTGCCGTACACATACAATGTCAAGCAAGAGGTGCGGCCTTCCCCGTCTTCTACCACACGGCTCGCATCGCTTGGTTTCTAGTATAACTCAATGACTTTGCTGTATCGGTAGACTGACCAGCTGCACACAATAGTCTGGGACTGGCACAGTAGGGGCCGGCTTTTGGCTGCGTCCCCGCTGACAAGAGCGGTGGTCATCCATGATGTTTTGACTCTCACGTCCGCCGGTTCTGATCAAGCCGACATGCTGTACGCCGGTACGTAAATTGGCTCCAATCCTTGCGTCCTGCCTCGCCCAGCCTCAAGCTTCATCGCCCTCATTTCTCTGGTGTGCCTTAGCCTACGATGATCAACCGGTCATGCTCAATCTTCGCGAGGACAACCAGCCCGTTCCCATCGTACGTTTGCTGCATTTCGTTCTGGAAATCCGGACGATGATATGCTTGACAAATGCCCACCTTTCTACGGTATTTTCTCCTTTCTTGAGCACCCCAGGGGCCGGCCTTGTTCACTGCTGCGCACAGTTTTGGCGTGTGTCGATGGCAAGACTTGGTTCTTGTGACCCACCAGCGTGCCATTGACATCTACCATGCCGACAGTCTAGAGCTCTACCAAAGCTTGCCCTGGCCTTTTGATGGCGTGCCTGTCGTATTGCGTCATCATGCTGACTGGGTTCACGATTGGACTTTACCTTCTGGAGCCATTCTGTGCTTTCACGGTTCCGGCCTCTTTCCGCACGGCGTGCACACGGCTTGGTTGTATCGCCCCACGCCATCCTCGCCCTTTGTCCTCTCCTCCTTGTCCACCACCGCATGTCGCGTCTCAACGACACCAGGCTCACCCGCCGCTTCCTGGTATCCCTTCAAGTGGTGCCCGCTGGTGAGTTTATGTGCGTCCAAACTGCAATTATCATCTGGCATAGCGCTCTGCCTCACCGCCAGACCCCGACGACAGGCACAGGCCTACGCCCAGCCCATGCCCAGGCATAACGCGCCAGCTTCGTTTTGGCGGCTACAACTGTCCATGCCCCTGTTCACGATCGACAGTGAAGCCGCTTGTCATTTGACATGGTCACAACTCCCTTGAGTGCCTGATTTTTGGGAATGCAAGTTAGTTTGTTTGAAAAGGCTAGGTAGAGCAATGAAGAATCGATCAGAAATGAGTGCCTGATTTTTGGGAATGCAAGTTAGTTTGTTTGAAAAGGCTAGGTAGAGCAATGAAGAATCGATCAGAAATGCCACCGGAAAACGGTGATGAGTGTGCCTGGTCACGGAATTGACAACAACAATAATAAGCCTTGATAGCAATAATATTATCGAGGGTCAATTTGCTTAAAGAATGGAAAAGAAAAGCCGAGTAGGCAGAGAATAGGCGCTGCCTCATTCATCATCCTCCTCATCGTCATCGTCGCCCTCATCATCATCGTCATCATCATTATCCTCGTCCTCGTCATCGCTGCCAGCGCCAGCGCCTTCATCCTCAAAATCAGCGGCACGGAGGTTGTCTTGGAAGAGGTCCTCGCGCTCCTCGTCCCACATCTCATCGTCATCGGCCTCGTCGTCCATGAGCATGTCATCATCACCCGTGGTGGCACCACCAGCACCGGCCACGTCCTCATCCTCGTCATCATCATCATCCTCTGCAACAACACATCCAAAAAACATGTGAGCCTCTGGTAAGATACCAACAACAACGCCCACAAGCATGAATATAAAAAAGAAGAGCAACATAAGATAAAAGCACGCACCGTTCTGGTCGTAATACACGCTTCCAGGCGTAAATTCAACCATGACCTCCTCTTCCTCTTCCTCACGGGCTTGCGCGCGGCGCGTTTGCTCCAGCATGAGGTCAAGACGGCCTTGCAGCTTGAGGAGAGGGTTCATGGAGGCAGCTCTTGCTTCAATCAGACTGTATAGGGGACCCAGCACAGACGAGAGGTCGGGTTGGGAGGCCAGGTACGCAAAGTGGGTCACCAACACGGCCCGAATCCAGATCAGCAAGGCCGTGCCACGACTGGGTTTGGCCTGCAGCTTAGCCAGGACAATCTTGAAAAAGCTCAAGACATGCTCCTGTGGCAGACGGCCCACCGAGGCGGACACAATTTTCTCCTTGTTGACGGCCAGGCACTGTTCATCCATGTCATCCAGACGAGCAAAGCACATGAGCGTTTGTGTACATCGGCGATATACAGCACACGATCGTTTGTTCGCAAGACACAACACCAGAGCATCACACAGTGTGTCGAAACAACAGGATGCGAGGGAGTGTTAAAAGGAATGTTGCCCTATCATGACTACGCGGCGCACATGTCCGACCCGAAAGTCGTGATTCACGCCGCGAGCAGAGATGTAGGCGCTGCAGGCATGGCGGCCACCCCAGGGAACGGTAAAACTCGTTAATTAGGGCGAGGCAGGGGTCCCGAAAGACCTCGGCCTCAGGCTCACAGCCATACCCGCTGAAATCTCCCAGTTAATAAGGCAACGCGCACAGGAATGCTTCGCGCGCCGCCCTCTAGCCCTGGGTTTGTTCTTCGTCTTTTCATTCAAGCCGAAAGAACGGCATCCATCGTTGGATGCGTATGTAGCGAGGTGCGACAATGGACAGGCTTGTGTTGTGTAAAAGCAATCAAAACGAGAAAAACAACTTGACAAGCTCACAATCAAAACACAACTCAAGAAGACACAAGCAGACAGACGTCCACACATCCAGAACTTGAGAAATGAGTATACACACCTCTTCCAGCAACGCTTGATCGTCCGAGTGCAAGGCTTGCGCCAGCATTTGAGAGAGGGTGCCAGAGCGTGGCTGACCACTACGGGTGTATCCATCTACACACACAAAAAAAAAATAAAAATAATAATTATCAAGTCAGGGACCAAGGTGCACAGCGGGAAACAAAGCCATGCTATTGCGGCGACCGACCGTAGGATTCCGATTGGTGAAGGGCATCTGCAATCTGTTGACCCAGTGTTGCATCGCCAGCTGTTTTGCTCGACGCGCGCTTGCTCTTCAGGGCGTCGGCGGCACCGAGAATATTCAGGTTGGCGTCGACGGGATTCGACTGGTTGGCAGATGTAGGGGCGTTGGCAGACTTGGCCATGGTCAAGAGCACGGGGGCCGCACGCGTCAAGGTCATCGAGGCGCAAAGACCATGCCCACTTGCATCAGAGATGGACTACAGGAGCGAAAGAAGAAAGGTGAGCCGACATGACGGGGCAAGACAACAAAAAACAAGGCTCAAAAAATGAGTGCAGATAAGACTCATTCGGCTTCCGTACCAAGGTTTCAAATTCAGGTGCAACGTCAGAGCCCCGGGCCAACACCAGTTGGTCGCTACGTGATTGCACAAAAGCCACCGCCAAAACGGGGACGGGCACTGAGGGAACATCGCCTAGCAAAAGGATGCAGATCGTTCGTGAGTTCACGTTGGTAAGGCAGTCTCACACTAGTGAGGAGAAGAACACACCAAACAGACGTGAGAGATTCGCGACTCACCGGTAGTCATGGCGATGGTGCAGGCGGGATGAATGGGTTCAGTGTAAGCGTCCTTGGAGGTGTCAATGGTAAAGACGGAAATGGTACCACGGACGTCGATGGCAGCAATACGGCAGCTCTCATGAGCCGTCGCTTCTTTCGGCGAGGCAGTGGTCGACATGCTCATCGGGCTCTGGCTCAAGTGGCAAGTGGCAAAGGGATGTTTGTTCTTCTTTTGACCGGGGGCAGCGTGCCAAACGTTGATGCTGGTGTCTGCATGTTGTTGACGGGCCAGCGAGCAAAACTTCAGGTCCGGGACAGGCAGAAGGGCGAGGGAGGTGACGCTGGCATCGTGACCAGGATATTTCTACAACGCAAGAGAGACAAAGCAGTGAGGCGTCGCTGGGATGGGAGGATCATGTGTTTTGTGATCACATCACAACACTGGCAATGCAACCGGGCTTACCTCGACCTCCTGGAGTGTGTCAAGGCGCCAAAGGCGAATTTGATTGCCGGCAGTGATGAGCGTGTCGACGCTTGTGCCATCGACATCCAGAGTCGGGCCAAAGCTCAAGGACGTGACGGCACGCTTGTCGGCATTGAAAAAGTCGGCACGGTCCTCAGTGGTAGAGCGGCGGCAGACGGTCTTGTCACGCGAGGCAGTCAAGATGTAGCTGTTGTCCGAGGTCCAGATGGCTTCTGTGATAGCGCTGCGGTGGGGTTTGTTGAGAATTTGTTCTTCGCCCGTGGCAACCGAGAAGATGATGGCCTTGCCACTGGAAGTGCCGAGAAACAGGCGATCTGTTTGGGCCTTGCGCTTTTTGCGCTTCTTGGACTGGTCGACGGCACCGTGTTCCCAAGCCAGGGCACAAACTGGATCGCTCAGATTGGCCTTCTACTCGCAACAAAAGAGCATGATAAGGTGCAGGTTGGGTGGGGGCCAGTCAAGACGCTTGTTGGGTTTAGCGTTAAGAAAAGAGAGAGCAGAAAAAAAGGGCAGCGGCAGACACGTACTCGCTCAATGATAACGTCATTGTTGGTAACGTCCCAAACGCGAAGGTGGCCATCACTGAGCAGGATGGCGAATCGGCGACCATCATCGCTGAACCTGTCAAAGACCAAGAAGACCAAATATATCAAAGAAAGAAAGCACGCGCACATGTGAGTTGAGAGAGAGTGCGAGCGTGGTCGACCACGTGAAGTCACTGAAAAGAAAGAAAGACCACATGGTGTGTACATGTGTGTGTGAGACAAGCCATTGGCAGTGCCTTCCTCCTTGATACAAACAAAAAGGAGCAAGGGCATGTCGCCGGCGAGTTGGGAGAACGGATGGAGATGGAGATGTGGGGAGAAGGTACGTACTTGCAGCAGCGAGGCACGGCCGTGTCCATGGTGTCGGGGCAAGGCAAGTCAAAGCGCTGCCAACTCCCAAAAAAGTCAAAAGAGAGAAACAAACAGGGGCTTGTTTCTCAGGCAGGCAAGCAACACACTCTTGCAAGAAGAGCGCGAACCAGCACAACCGCGGCAACACCACTCACACACACAGCTCGAATCAACGAGTTGTGAGTCCACCTCACCACTGGCGCTGCCAAAACGAACACGAACAGCGCGCCCCCCGAGGCAACCGAGAGACCACCAAAGAGAAAGAAAAGAGATTAAAATCGCTCTCTCTCTCTCTCTCTCTCTTTGAGAGGAAGAAAATAGAAGAGAGACAGAAAGAGAGACAGAGAGGAACAGAGAGAGAGTGAGAGAGAGACACACACATAGTGGCCCACGTGTGGAGCTGTACACAGAGTGTGATGGATGTTACACTACAATAAACGACTGAAGTTTGAGAGAGAGAGAGAGAGAGAGAGGAATAGCACGACGACATGCAGAGAGAGAGAGTCGAAGAGAGAAACCTGTGGGAGACTGAGAGAGACTGCGGGAGACTGAGAGACCAACGAAGAGCGAGAGAGAGAGAGAGAGAGAGAGAGAGAGAGAGAGAGAGAGAGAGAGAAAGAGAGGGAGAGAAATCAGCACGAAATCACATCACACACACACACACACACACACATCTAGACACGAGTGGTCTGGAAGCTGGAAGTGTGCCCGGACGGACACGAGCTGGAGCGGGGTGGCGGAGGAAAAAAAGGCGCGTGGTGACGGTCTGTCCGTCGGTCTGCCACCAGCAACTGCGTGCAGTTGTGTGCAGTTGTGTGTGTGCAGCTGTGTGAGCTGGTGGTTGCACGCAAGGCACAGAGGGCGCGGGTGTGCATGCAGGCGACCCGCAGCCGGGGCAAACGACCATGGCCGAGCCGGCGTATGTGACGGCAGCCTGCCAGTGTATTAGGGATACCGTGGCTGTGTTCGGGTACGCGCGCGCAACACTGCCAGTCTGGAACGTGCCGCTCAGCTCAAACGGGCAGCGCTCACTTGCCAAGGGGTTGCTTTTTTTTTTTAGGGCGGATCGAGTGGCCCTGAGCTTTAATGGCGGCAAGGACTCGACCGTCTTGTTACACCTCCTTCGTCAGGCTCTCCCCGACACCTTTCGCCAAATCCACTACGTATGATGCATGTGCCCGCCCCCTCTAGCCGGTGATGGAGTGCCTCTGGGCGCGGGAGCGCATCGAGGCTTCTTCGGTTGTGGCCCTGTCTCGGCTTGTTCATGGCATTCTCTTTGGCACGTTTTCCTTGGAACCGACAGGTGTACTTTGACCAGCCGGATGAATTTCCAGAGGTGAAAGACTTTATAGCCGACTGTCAAGCCCGGTGAGGTTTTGCAGTGCCGATCCGCCTGCTTGCCGGACGAGCGTGTGGCCGCTCGTTGATGCTCATGTCAACGTGCCACAGGTATCAGCTTAATGTCGAATATGTGGCTGCTAATTACAAGGCTGCATTGGACCGCGTCGTCAACCAGGTGCGCCGCCCGTGTCTCATTCAGAGTCCGACGCAATCACCCGCTGGCGCCCCGCCCGCACTCACCCGAGTGGCGTACACATGCAGAACGGCATCAAAGCCATCTTTCTCGGCACACGATTGGGGGATCCGCGTGCCGAGCAGCTGAGTACTTTTGAGATGAGTGATCCCGGGTACGTTGTCGCGTGCCCGCCGCCCGCAGGCACCGCAGTCTCTTTCCGCCCCTCGTATCGCGTCCGCGGTCCTGACCGAAGGCCCATCCCTACGTTTGCCTGCTCGGTCGGTCATGTCTTTTAGATGGCCTCGATTCATGCGTGTTCAGCCGATCCTGCACTGGACGTACGGCCAAGTGTGGCTTTATCTCCAAGACAAACCGTTTTGCCGCCTATACGACATGGTATGTCTCGTTTTGCGCCTGCTCCTTTTGGCACCTGCTGCTGAACCAATGCCTGAAACCCTGTACTGTTTGCTCATGCGCTCATTTCCGTGCAGGGCTACACATCGCTCGGTGCGGTGGGGGACACGCGGCCCAACCCGGCCCTCCGACGCCCCGATGGTACCTACGCGCCAGCTTCAGCGCTGAGCGATGGCGCCCTTGAACGCGCTGGTCGCGGTTCAACAACAGGCGCACCGCCCTCGCTTCTTGGCACCTCCTGTAACGTGTGGCTAGCCTCCGCCTTGCTGATCGGCCTTCTTGCGGGTGGCCTGGGCTACCGGCGCAGCCTCGGCTGGGCTTGAGCCTGGTTTCTCGATGTCACTCCAAGGGCCGAATCAGGCTACAGATGTCCCGCTCTCTTTGGGCCGTCATTTTGGGGACCGTGTCCCACGCTTATCTTCAAGGCATGAGTTTAATTTTTATTGCTCAAACCAATCACGCGTCGTTGCCTCTGTAGCCCCGCTCCTCAAGGCCAGACAGCACAGTATCCAAGCCCTCAGCGTCGCAGCGATTGACATGCATACGGGGGAAGGGAAAGGAGGTTTAACCTGACCATCACACTTGAACGGGGAATTCAACACAATTTTTTTTTGAGAGAGAGAGAGAGAGAGAGAGAGCTCGAGAGAGAGAGAGAGAGAGAGAGAGAGAGAGAGAGAGAGAGAGAGAGAGAGAGAGAGAGAGAGAGAGAGAGCTTTAGAGAGAGAGCTTTAGAGAGAGATTGATCGAGAGATCGAGAGATCGAGAGAGCTTTCGAGAGAGATTGAGAGAGATTGATCGAGATCGAGAGATCGAGAGAGAGAAAGACAGAGAGAAAGACAGAGAGAAAGACAGAGAGAGAAAGACAGAGAGAGACAGAGACAATTTCCTGATGCTCGAACGCGCGTGTGTGTGTTTTGCTGCGCCAGGTTGACGCGCGCGACTGCTCCAGTTCTGGAGACTGGGGTGGTGTTCAGGGCAACTTGCATTTGATGTGAGCATGGGCTTGGCTGGGGTATGTGGTCGTGGTTTGAGCGCACGGTCAAGGATGGCAAGAGACGGGAGCTGATCGATTCTAACGTGTTGGAGTGGGCGTCGGTTTGGGTCGGCGCATCGCTGTCATGTTGGGTCCGGACGCGCACCGCTTGCTCTCAATGGCCCGGCTCTTGGTGCTGACTGTTGGCTTTTGCTGGGTTGGGTTGGTGGCTGCGGATGGGGATTGGGCGGCGACCAGCGTCCTGGGGCGTCTCGACGGCCCCATCGCACTCACGCTGGCCGACCTCGACAACAACAGTCTGCCGGACATTGTGAGCGTGAGTTCGAACGACAATACCATCTGTTGGTTTGCCAACCTCGGAAACGGCTCTTTTGAGCACACCCCGCGTATCATCTCGACCAGTGCTGGTGGCGTGAGTACTGTGACGACTGCAGACATCAACGGCGATGGCTGGCTCGACGTCGTCGCCGGCTTGACCAACGATGACCTGGTCGCCTGGTACCGCAACAACAACGGCACCATCAGCACGCTGCCCGAAATCATCGCTGTCAGCGTTTTGGGCGTGTCTTCGGTGGCCACCGCCGACGTTGATGGTGACGGCTATGTGGACGTCATCAGCGCCAGCGCCGGGGACAACTCGGTGGCTTGGTATCCCAACAACCGTCGAGGCGGCCTGTACCTCCAGCGCCACGTTGTCTCGCGCCAAGTGTGGGGCGTCAAGGACGTCTTCGCCGCAGACATGGACGCGGACGGAGACATGGACCTCTTGTGTGCCTGCTTCACGGCCAACGGCGTCCTGCTGTTTCGCAACGATGGCGCCGGTTTGTTCGGAAATGCCGAGCGCGTGGCCACAAGCAGCGTCCTTGGTGCCTTTGATGTCCAGGCCGCCGACCTTGATGGTGACGGTCACCTCGACGTCCTCGTTGCCGCCGCTGGCCAAGAACAGGTTGCTTGGTTTCGCAACCTCGGCAACGCCACCTTTGAACCACGACGCCGCATTATCGATGCCGCCGCCAATGGTGCCGTGAGCGCTTTTGCCGTGGATTTCGACAACGATGGCCATCTCGATGTTTTGGCTGCTCAGGCCATCAATAATACCATCGTGTGGTACCACAATCTGGGCAATGGGGCTGCCTTTTCATCCCCCAACGTGGTTTCCACCGACAGCTGGGGCGCTGCCGCAGTTGCTGCCGCGGATTTGGACGCCGATGGTTTGCCCGATATGGTGAGTGCGAGCTTCGCCGACGACAAGGTGGCCTGGTACCGGCACGAGGGACCACGCGTACAATTTGATAGACCCCAGACCCTGGCAGCGCGCTATGCGCTGGCCACCACGGGTGATCTGGACCACGATGGCCGGGTGGACTTGATCCTGGGCTCTTTCACCAAAAACGCCCACTCGGTGGCCTGGCGCCGCTCCCTCAACTTGGCCAATGAGAGCCTAGCTTTTGACGCACCCCGCGCCGTGGTAGCCCACCCCATCGGCCCGCAGGCCTTGTTTGTCCGCGATCTGGACAGCGATGGGAACCTCGATCTTCTCTATGCTTTCAAAGACCAGGATCAGGACTCCCATCTGGCCTGGGCCCGCAATGATGGTGCCGGTAACTTTGCCACTGCGCCAGCCCAACTGCTCTATAGCTCAAGCCATGCCATTCTCTCGACCACGGTGGCTGACCTCGACGGCAACGGCCACCCAGATGTGCTCTTTCTTGATGCGGCGCAAGCTCGCCTCGCTTGGTGTGCCAATAACGGCCTGGGTCAGTTTGATACCCCGAGCCTGGTTGCCCAGCTTGAATACCCACCGAGCTGTCTCAGCACCGCCGATCTCGACGGCGACGGTCACGTGGACGTGATTCGCTGCGTCTTTCAGCGCCATGCCATCGAATGGCTACGTAACATGGGCAACGGCTCCTTTGCTTCCGGGTGGTTGCTCGTCACGAGTCAAACACAGGGTCCCGTACAAGCCCAGCCCGCAGACATGGATGGCGACGGCGTGCTCGATATCGTGTGTGCTAGCCTGCATGATGCAAAGCTTGCCTGGTATCACAACGACGGTCTTGGTCACTTTGTCGAACATGTGATCAGCCAACAGCTGCCGGATGTCCTCTTCGTGCGCCTGGCTGACCTCACTTTGGACGGCAGCTTGGACATTCTGGTGGCGCAAAACAGTGGAGCCCTGTCATGGTTTGGCAATGAGGGTGCGGGAACGTTTGCCGCTTCAGTGCCCATTCGCTTCGCCAACATCCTTTTTCTGCAGAGCATGGACGTGGTTGATCTCGATGGCGACGGCCTACCTGACATTCTCTGCGGCGACGCTTTTGACAACACTGTGACGTGGTTTCGCAGCATCGGGATCAAACCAGCCTTTTCCCAAGCCCGCGTCTTGCCCGCTTTTGTGCACCGGCCACTCATGGCCGTGCCCGGTGATCTCAACGGTGATGGACATATTGATGTGGTGTCGGCCAGCACGGACGATAGTCGCCTGACATGGTACCCCAATCCAGGCAACGGGGCCTTCACGGGTACTCAGCACATTATATCCCAGCAGATCCTGACCATCATGAGCTTGGCCGTGGCCGACCTCGACAACGATCAGGACCTCGATATTTTGTGCGCAGGCTCGGGCCTGGATCAAGTGGCCTGGTTCCAAAACAACGGCGGGGGTCATTTTGCCGATGAGCCGCGCTTCATCTCTACAGCAGCGGCGGGGGCTGTAGCAGTTCTTGCCGCAGATCTTGATGGCGACGGGGCGTTGGACGCTGTGGTAGGACGGGGCGATGATAACACAATTGTTTGGCACCGCAACAATGGCCAAGGCGAGTTTGGGCCGGCCACGCCCCTGTCAACCACTGCACACATGCCGTGGGGCCTGTTTGCAGCCGACCTGGACGATGACGGGGATTTGGACGTGCTGAGTGCCAACTATGGCAATGACCGGATCTCGTGGTATCGGAACAACGGGGCGGCTGGCTTTGGTACCGAGCTCGTCATCACCGCCTCTGCTGACGGCGTGCGGGGTGTTTTTGCCGCCGACCTTGATAATGATGGCGACTTGGACGTGCTCAGCGCCAGCATAAATGATAATAAGGTTGCTTGGTACGTCAATGACGGAGATGGCAACTTCAACTTTCAGGAACGTGTCATTTCAACCTCCATTAATGGGGCCTCGGCCATTTCGGCCGTCGACTTGGACGGCGACGGTGACCAAGATGTCCTGGTGTCTGGCATCTCTGGAAACACGGTGGCGTGGTTCGAAAATCTGGGCGACGGTACATTTGTTCCAGTACCAGTCGTCTTGACGACGGAACTGTATGGAGCAAGCTGGGTGGCTGCTGCAGATTTTGACAACGACACTCGACTTGATATCCTGAGCCCAGCGATGCGGGCCGGAGATATTCAATGGTTTCATAATCCGGGGTATGTCGTCGCTCTTTTGCGGCCTCTTGTTAATTTGCACCCACCAACCTCTTCTTGCACTCGAATCAATGGCCTATCGGTAGTCGGAGGAACTCAACGCGAGGTCCAGTGACAACTGCGGCACCGACTCGGAGGTACGCTGAAGGGAGCCACTGCAAGGGCTTGTATTAGACGGCGCCATCTTGCTAATTTTGCTGAACCTTTCCTCCCACTCTCTCTCTGCTTTTTTTTTTTTTTTTTTTTTTTGCGAAACCTGGTTCTGCACAGCACAACGGCAGTCCCTTCCGCGTCGTCACCTCTGTTGGTGCCATCTACCGCGTCAGGGTCGTCGGACCATGTGGTTGTGGTTGTGGTTGTGGTTGTGGTTGCGCTAGTGGCGCTGGTATTTGGCGTGGTCTTGACCGCTCGCTATCGCCGGAAGCGCTTCAATGCGGTGCGACAAGCCCTATATGGTGACAACACCATGCCAATGTCATCAGCCGAGCAGATACAACTATGCCTGTCCCAATTTCAAGCCAGCTGCGCGCGAAATGCCGGTCTTGACCCGTCCTCGACCACAACAACCCGTTCACTCAATCTTGTGTCTCGGTGCGTTGGGTTGGCAATTTACACAGTCATGGTGCTTGCAAAGTAGCTGACCTTTGGTCTTGCTAACCTGTGACCCCATGTGATATTATTATGCAGAACTTGGCTGGATGTTAGGGCCGTGGTGGGCCACGGCCATTTCGGCACCGTACACAGAGTAAGTCTCGTCTGTTTCGTGCTTCACTTAGTGCCACGCGCGTGCAGAAGCCATTCAAAGCCCAACTGCAAAGTGACTCTGCTCTTGTTTGGGTACAAATCATCGTTTCTTCTGATGTGAAATTTCAGGCCGTGCCTCTGCGACACGCAAGCGAACTTCAGGGCCGCGCTGTGCTAGCACTAAAGACGTTTGAGCGTATCGAGGTACGAAGCAATGACATTGGCCCTCAAAATGGCTGTTCAATCCTACTTGGAATTGAGAAACCGGAGAGGGATCTGATTAGCGGGAAAGGGATCTGATTAGGTAGGTAATGATGGCACACGGTTGCTGACTGTGGCTTTGCTTGGTGTACGTGGTTTGGTGGTTAGGAATCCGACTTTAAAGCGGTGATGCTGGAAGCGGCGCTTCTGCACACGGCGGGCAATCATTCTCATATCGTGCAACTCGTGGGCGTGGTTCACGACTGGTGCGTTGACCTTGCCGCCTGATGAGGGGGGAGAACTTCAAACTGCTTTCAGCTTCGAGCAGGTGGCAACTTGTGTTTTGACCGTGTGCCAACCTGGTGGCCGGGCCGTCGCAGCATTCCGATTGCTCTCGTGCTCGAATTTGCGGATCAAGGAGATTTGCGCACACACTTACGCAAACGGATAGGCCAGTTGACGACCAACACCAAGGTAAGACAATCTTGTTCCTTTTTTTTTTATATTTTGTTTTTTTCAATCTTGGATTGTCTTCTCTTGAGATTGCGCTTCAGGTTGTCATGGGTTGCTGTTGTTGCATGGCGATGGTGCTAGAGCTTGTGGGTGGAGCAGGTTACCGATGCCTTGGCTTACGTTCATGGATGCGACCTTGTGCATCGGGACTTGGCATGCCGCAATGTGTTACTTTTCACACAGCCCGCTGGCCTGTGTGCCAAGCTGAGCGACTTTGGGCGTACGTGCACCTCTAGGGACATGTGGATTTGGTTGACGGGAAGGGATGGGTTGGTGCACGGGACTCGCCGGGGCTCATAACCACTGGTGCCTTTTCCTGAGACAGTCAGCCGTTTTGTATCCAAGGATCACGATTACTACCGGGCAGCCCAGTTGGATGACTTGCCGTTCCGGTCCGTCACGTTTTTGATCGATTGTCAGGGCCTTCCGTGCATGGACCTCAACTGACACTGTCGGATGGGGGTGTTGACTAGGTGGATGGCCCCCGAGGCCTTGCGGCACGGCGTTTTTAGCTGGCAATCGGACGTCTGGTCACTGGGCATTTTAATTTGGGAGGTGTGTTGACGCGTGGCCGATTTTGTCGGATGAATCCACGTACCAACAAGCTGTGTTCTGAAAGCACCGGCATGACAATGTGTGCCACTCTATGTACTTCATTTCCCTTCCCTTTTCTCCCTTGGTGGACTCGGGTGGAGCAGGTGTTTAACGACGGCGAACGACCGTACGGCAATGCGTCATTTCAAGTCCTGATTGAGATGCTGGACGCCGGCAAGCGCCTGAGCTTGGAGCGCATTCCGGCACACTGGCAGGCGTGAGTCATGGATGTGGCGGTCGGAGGGGGGAAGTTGCTGTGGAATGATTGGGGTGACATGTCTGATCATCGCTTCGCTTGATTTGTGCTGGCAGCTTGGTAACCTCGACGTGGGCTGTTCCTGCGACGCAACGACCGCCGGCTACCACCATATTAGCACGGCTCACGTCCCCGGCGACGCAGGGCCTGGTCGTCAATCCGACCTTTGCCACCGATGAGACAGAACTTTAAGTTTTATTATTAAAATCAACTTGTAGTACTGGACATGGGGCCCGCGATTCGCACACAGTCCCGAGACGTCACTTTGACGCTTGGCCTACCCAATTCTGCAACCTGAATCTGATGCGTCATTGATACAACATCAAACGCCTCTCGTTGCGACTGAGGAGATTATTAGGGCTCCTGGGATAAGCCCCCTTGAGCAACGCCATATGCTCCATACCCTGTCAAACGTTGCCATTGGACGCTGTTGGCGATGCCCGCTGGAACACACATGAGCAACACCACCCGATGCAGTCGCAACAACAAAAGTGAGTGACAGTGTGTGATCATCATCATGAACGTTTGGACATGGGGTTCCTTACAACCATTTCTACCTTCTTCTACTACACTTGCCCATTCTTCTTCTACATCTTCTCATGTTATTACGCCGTTTACCATGGTTTTTTAACTGATGATTAACGTGGAACGATGTTAGACATGTTCATCTTCTCTTTATTTTGCTTCAACTTTTTAAGACTGAGAGGACTTTTCCTTCTTTTTCTTTAATTTTCTCTGCAACAATTCCATTTCTCTTTCTTTCTCTTCTCTCTCTGTCTCTCTCTGTCTCTCTCTCACTCTCTTCTCTCTCTCTGTCTGTCTGTCTGTCTGTCTCTCTCTCTCGTTGCCAGCGCCACGTCCGTCGCCAGATTGCCGCCATATATCTCGCCGCATTGCGCCGATAGCCCATGGAGGCCGCCATCGTGCTGTTGCCACGCTGTCACTCCTGATTTTTGCCTCTCTCTTCTTCTCCGGGCCGGTTTATTTCCATTTTTTGCCCTCGTTGCTCTTGGATCTCTCCCTGTGAAGAGCCCTCTTGTGCATGTACCTCTGGATCGCCGAAGCAACGCCGCCGCGCTCCTGTCTCGTGGAATAGCTGTGCCGTCGGCATGGGCTTTGGGCGTCAGCTGCGGGCGCGGAGCGAGAGCTCGGGCCTTGAACACCTCAACTACCATGGCTGTAAAGCTCTGATCCTCAAGAAGGAAGCCCTGGCTGCAACGAAAATGCTTGAGGAAGAAGTGTGTGCATGCGTGCGGAATCTCCGAGTTGCTTAGGCGCGCGCGCTTTTTGCTTCTCACTGCTTCCCGACTCCGGTCCAATCGCGTCCACAGGTGGCTCGCATCAATGATGTTTTTATAGCAGAGGAAAGCCGGTGTCAAGACCGCTTCAGCGAGGTAGTGCATTATCCAAACGCGTCTGCTGTCATTGCCAACCTGCTAGCTTGCGCCGTGGCCTCTTGCTCATGCTCGCGCATGACTCACCTGTAGCTTGAGCGCCATCGAATCAAGACCGGGACCTATCCCATCGGTGCCCTGCCGGCCCTTACTCAGTCCGTTGTCACGCTCATGAACTACGGGCGTTGGAATTACGTCGCTGTCATGCGCCTCTTTCGGCTAGCCGAGACTTGTCACTGCTACATTCGCGGCACAGGTCGGTGGTGCTTGTGGTGCATAGCTTGCCATACACTTGATGCCCTGCCTGTCATTCCTTTGGGCTGGTGGGGAGGATTCGATCAAGACTGGCCAGCTTGGCTCCCATCACAAACCACCGCGCCCCTCACAAGATGAATCGTGCGCGTGGTTGAATCCATCTTCACCTTGCTCGCCGTTGCCCTCACCTCGTTCCGCTTGTCCAACCCATGGGTTCTGTTGCACGTACAGCCCATCACGTGTTGAATGACGCCTACTTTTATCGCTCTCTGGGGCCCGCAAGAATACTTTGTCGGCTACCCCGCCGAACAGTAGACACGCGCAACCTGTCAGACCCCGCCGTCTTGGATCTGGCGCCGGATGAGGATGACCAACACTTGCCCGCGTCCCCAGGCGAGTCGGAGACGGCGGGGGATGCGATCAACCAAACTGAGGAGCTCGGTCCACTTAGCGCTCTGGATGATGATTGCCCCATCTGCCTCAGCGATCGCATGCTCGATCCTTGCATGTGCTCGTGTGGCCACGTCTTTTGCTACGAATGCATCACCCAAACGGAGCGGCAGTGTCCTATTTGTCGCAAGCACCACTTCCAGACCTTTGCCATGCTGGGGTCGGGAGACATCATTTCTGCCGAGCGACAGCGTCAAGACGAGACCTGGCTTCATGCAGCCTGGGGATATGGTCGCGATACCCTGTGGTATCTTCTCCTCACCGTTGTGCTCATGCCTTTTCTGCTGTTTGTGTTTGGTGTGGGTTTTGTCTGGTCCGTGGGCCGGTCGGCCATTTGCGTGGTCCTGGGCGTCAAGCACGAGTTTCCTGCACCGTTTCGCTATGCCCGTTTCCCGTTTCTGGCCCCTCAGTATGTCAATACCGCCCCGCCCCCATGGACCACTCCGGCCTTATGGCAAGCATAACACCAACCTTTTTCAGCTCGATCCGATCAGGATAAGAGGGATCTTTGCTAGCCTTCTCCCTCTCATTCCAATGGTGGGCTGACCGCGATGTCGTCCGGGCTCGGGGCCCTCGGCCGATCATTGGCGAACCACTTTGTTTGTCTTGTTTCTTTTCTTGTTTTGTTTTTTCTTGCGAGCAGGTGCCAGTGCCTTGCGTGTCTTTTGTTTCATGATTATCCCTCGTTGATGAGTTGCTGCGTGCACTAGAGTGTCGTTGTTCCCGCCCTGCTCTCCATGTATATTCCCGAGCGGGCGTGCATGCTTCTTGTTGACGGGCTGCAAATGCTGTTTCGAACCCAATGCTGGCTCATAATTCATACTATCAAGTCAGTCAAACTCACGAGTCGGCCTGCGAGCGCATTCAGAGACCAAGGCACCTTCTTGTGAATTTGGGGTTAGAGCCCCCTCTTGGAAGAAATTTTGAAAGGTGGCGCAGACTGGACATTTATTCGAAAACTTCCTCCTTGGGAAAAAAAAAAAAAAATGAAAGAAAGAAAAGTGATGAGAACACGCAGACGCCATACCAATCCGTTTGCTCGCTGGCAAAAACAAATGAGCATGTGACATGTGGATGCAGCTCGGAGGCAACTGAAAGCGAAGAGACGACATGAACCAGTGGGCAAACATGCAAGCCAGGCTGCTGTCACGTATGTCAAGGGGGGGAGGTCGAGCGTTGAGACAACCAAACAAAAAAGGAGAAGAAGTGAAAGGGAAGAGACGCTTAGGCAAACCGAAAAAAAAGAAAAAGTTCACGATGGACAGGGCATAATTTCACTAGAAAATCAAGGCACTCTGCGCTTGCACAAGCAAGGCACGCCAATGGCAGAAAATAAGGAAACAGCTGGGCGGGGTGGCACCGAGGTGTGTCTTCCCGAAAATGTTGTTAATCGCGGAAGGACAGAGTCAGTCAGGAAAAAAAAGGACAAGATACACAACTGCAAGTACAGACACAAGACAGAGACACGCATGTGCACGCACACCATGCAAGCAGGCAGGACCTGAATCATTCAAGCCACGCAGGCGTATTCACACTCATTCAGTAGCCCACGTGACGGGGACGAGGCTCGTAAGAAATGTCCGCGGGAACATCGGGCTTCATCGCTTCACCCAGATCCGCCCAAAGCTCGGTGACCCGTGATCTAAACACCAGCCAACGTGCGTCATAAGAGGCAATGTCACAAACAGAACCATGAAACAAAAAGTTGACTCAACTCTACCCGTGGTGGAATCTGATCGTCATGACATACCGGATGAGCTCCATGTCGTCGACGTTGGTCATGGGCTCTCCAAACTTGACGCCCGCTTGCAAATTGCGCATGCGCACAATGCTGGCAAAGTTGCGCATGGTCTTGTCGCCCTTGGAAAGACCAATCGGCATGGAGTAGCGAAGGCCCACCGGAACAATGGGAACGTTGTTCTGCTCGGCGAGGCGGAGAACGCCCCGCTTCATTTCACACGGTGGGCCAGAGCGTTGGGAGGTCCCCTCAGCAAAAATGATGACGGATTTGCCTTCCTGAAGCTTGGCTGTGATGCGATCGTTGATGGTGTCATCCCCGTTGCGGTTGTACCACATGAAGCCGCCGCGATTGAAGACGCGGAACATGAAACGGGTGAACATATTGTCAGGCACTTCGTCCTTCAGATCCTAGAATATCGACGGGGATGGGACAAGGAGGGAGGAGAAAAAAACAAAAAATAAGACAGGGGGGATATCAATAAAAGGGCTGAGCCCACCCGAGGATACGGGCAGAGGAAAGAAGAGTTTGCACGCACCGCCTTGGCTACGATTTGGAGGTTGGGATTGGTGCCGTGAAGCAAGACGGCATCGAGGTACGTGTAGTGGTTGGCGACCCACAAGGTCGGGTCGGCCGGACGCTGGCCTTGGCGCTGCAATAAAAGGCAAAGCAAATTTAGGTAAAAATTGAAGATGAAGCGGGGGTGAGCCGAGGGTCAGTGGAGGGCGGGGACGGGTGAACGCGGGATTGGCGGCGGCAGTCATCAGTAATGGTAGCAAAGAGCAGGGAACAAAAACTTGGGGTCGGAACAGGAGCACGTACAATGTAGTTCATGCCCATGAGACGAAGAATGGTGGGGGTGAACCAGCTGACGTTGGGCACAATGTAGTTGTGGACAAAGAAAATGCCCATGATGGCGGTCCAAGAGAAAATGGTTGGGAGTTTGGGCAGGACGGGGAGCTGTCGCCAGAGAAACACAAAGATGCTGCCTTCGCCGACGTAAAGCTGTTCGTCCTCGGGCTGCATGAGGTCATCCAGATACTGGGCGGCAATACCCATGCGCGAGGTGCGAGTCTTGGTATGTGCCACGAGCTACGTTGGAGCAGACATGAGAAATGGTGTTTTGAAGCGGGGGTGGGTGGCGGTGGAACTGGAATGTAACGTTGGTGGTGGCAAGCGACGTCAAAACCACGATGGCCGGGTTGTGGCCTACCTCGTGTGCCCCACCACCGGTCTGAGCGTTGCTACCGCGAACCACAAAGGTGGAGGGGTCAAACTCGGCCGTGGCCGAAATGCCCATGTCTTGGCGATAGTAGTGAAGCAGCTCGGCGGCAATTTCAAAGTGCCAGCGCTCGGGCTTGACCTTGTAATAGAGGTTCGGGTAAGCCTTGTACACGGTTTCAGACATGATACTGAGGATGCGATACGAGGAAACTGGTGAGTACTGTGCCTGCTGCGAGAGCGCACGCGCGTGGACGCGGCTTTCGAGCGGGAACGAGAGCAGGAGAAGAGGCGGCGACAGGGTGGTGGCATGGACGGACCGGAAGGCGGAGGAAGAGTAGCCGAGATCACTCATGCGAAATCGGATGCAGAACCAGTCAAAGGTGAGCATGATGGTGTTGAGAAGGCTGACTTGCTGCAGACCCTTGCCCTGGGCGTCCTTGTCCACCATGACGAGGCCAATATGAACGTTGTGTTTGGTCCAGAACGCCATGTGAAAAGCCACGACCTATCGTATCGGTATGTAAGTACCGGGGCGAGGACAGGGCGACAGGATAAGAATGTTGGGAGGCGTGGCGGGCTTCAACGGGCTCCATCCGGCCGGGGCAATGCACAAGCAGACCGTACGCGCTTGAGTTTGGCACTGTAGACGGTCATGATGACTTTGTTGTGAAGTTCAGCGCGGAGATCGCTCGCGGTTTTGGCTTGGAGAACGGGATAATCGAGGACAGAGCCAATGGAGGCCAGGCAGACTTGGCGCATGGCTTCTTGGAGGGCCAGCAGTTGTTCATCGCTGTGGTTGACAGGGGCGTAGAACCGTTGCACAAACATGCTGTTGCAGACGAGGGGAGGGGGAGGACGGACAGGGCAAGGTGAACGACGGTATGAAAATGTGAGCGATGGGCAGAAGCAGCACGGTGGGGCGGGCGAATAGCTGGGAGCTGACGGCATACCCGCGGCCCATGGGCAACCAAAAGCCATGGCGAAGGGCGTAGCGGAGGGCGGCAAAGGCCAGCGCGCTGACGGCGAGGAGGGCGGTGAACAGCATCTTGGTCAGGGGTCGTTGAATGACGGTGGCCACGGCGTGGGAGCTCTTGTGCACCAGGGCCCCAACCCCAGAACTAATGGACAGCATGGCGATGATGACCAAGGCATCCAGGGGCAATAAAATTGAGCCGGGCCAGTCCCCCAAACAGGCGCCACGGGACACCGCAGAGACCACACAGGTACAATCTGAGACGAGCCGGGCGGGGCGACGGGCAACAAGACGGAAAAAATGGAAAAAAAAAAAAAAAGAACAAGACGAGACGGCAAGCCAACAGTCAACAAGAGACCAGCCCGGGGGTCCACCGATGATGGAGCTGACGATCGCCAATGCAATGCGCAAGCGCGAGCAGCAGCAGCAGCAGCAGCAGCAGCAGCAGTGTGTGTGTGTGTGTGTGTGTGTGTGTGTGTGTGTGATCACGGAGAAGAGGTCGCAGAGGGCATCCGCAACGTCCTCCTTCATCATCACATGGAAAGGTGGAAAGGTGGTGCGGGTTGCATTCATAACAAGGACGTTGGAGACGGAGAAAAGGAGATGGTAGGCATGGTGTGTGTGTAGAGTGAGATGCCCTCTCTGCTCGGCGCCTCCGCCGCCGCTGTCGCCGTTCACCGCCGCGCTGCCGTTTCATCACGCTCACGCACCTCTGAGAGAGAAAAATCTTTGAAATCTCTGTGTGTGTGTGTGTGTGTGTCTCTCTCTCTCTCTCTCTCTCTGTCTCTATGTGTTTCTCTCTGAAGCTGGATCTCTGATGGTCCTTCACTCGGTGATGTGTTCTCTGAATCTCGTTTACTTCATTGTAGCAAAATCTGTCAAATTTTGGGCAACCTTGCAACTCTCTCTGAAACGTTTCCGATGGCACGCCACATCTCTTCATCTCTCTCTCTTCTCGTGTACGGTTTGGCTTGCTCAACCATGGCCAAACGCAAGCGGCATATTTAAAAGTATTTTACTTTTAACAAGATCGTGTGCTTTTGTGGGGGTGTGCAATCAGATGAGACACTGACTCAAACCGATTCTCTCAATAAGCTCCCAGATTTGAAATTTTCTCTGATATCCATACTGGAATAAGTAAAAGGCAATAATCCCCTTTGGTCATCTCTCTGAATAATGCTCCATCCACATCTCCTCCCTCTGCGGCTCTCCATTCCAAAACACACGCAAATCCAGTCCTGTGTCACTCCTCCTCTCTCGTGCCTCTCTCTTGTGTTGCTCTCATCTGTCACCCCTCTCTCTGCCATACCTCTCCATTTCGTCTCTTTCTCTGCCTCTGCATGAAAATACGCTCTCGTTTGCTCATATCCATCGCAACATCTCACTGCTCAGTCTCTTTCTCTCATTTTTTCTCTCATTCGCTCTCTCTCTCTCTCTCTCTCTCTCTCTCTCTCTCTCTCTCTCTCTCTCTTGAGTTTTGATCAAAGTGAGTTTCTCTCTTCTCAAACCAATTCAATTCTCTCTCTCTCTCTCTCTCTCTCTCTCTCTCTCTCTCTCTCTCTCTCTCTCTCTCTCTCTGCTGCTGCTGCCTGCGGGTTTTGCGCCCTGGGATAGGTCTTGAGAACGTGGTGACCGAGCGTCACCCGCTCAAACCGTACACGACCTTTACCGAGTTTTACACCCACTACGCCAGTGAGCACCGTGATCACACTTGCCGCCTTCTCCACATTGTGTACGCCTTGCCCTGCCCTACCCTGCCCTGCCCACCCCATCCTGCGCTTCTTGCTCGGCTGTCTCCCGTTGGGCCCTTGCACTCTCCCGCACGACCACTTTACAAACATTGGTTGATTGACTTGTGACAGGGGCACCAGCCTGATCACCGCCACCGTCCTGATCTCTTCCCCCGTCACCTTTGTGGCCATGGGTCTGGCGGGTGCCGTTGGCTACATTGCTTGCGGTCTTTTGGCTGCCGCCCCCTCTGGTCCGTCTGACCCAGCCTTGCCAAATCGAGCAATCTGCCCCGCTCTCCTTCCTTTTGCTGCGGGCAGCCAGCTTTGGCCAGCTGCCTTTTGCGATGCCGGGCCCTCACCTTGATCTCCATATGGCCAATTGCGCTGCTCCATGCCCCCAGGCATTGTCGAGGGTGTCCTCATGATCGGCACCTTTCTTCTGGCGCACCGCATCATGACTGGCAACTACAAGATGGTACGCACTGACTCCGACTCCACCGTTCCTCGACCAGCTGTGCTTTCCCGTTTTTTTTCTCAAACCCTCCATGACATCATTTCGCACCCGGCTCTTTCGCACCACTTTACCCTTGCCGTAGGCGCTCTTTGTTGTTCTCGTGGGCTACTGTAAGTGCTCACCAACTGGTACCACGCCGGCAACCGATTAGCCTCACTTCCCTTGCACCAATTCACACAGCTTTTGCCTGGGTCGGCCACTTTTTCTTCGAGATGAACCGCCCAGCCACCTTTATCTACGTACGCCCCGTCTTTCCTGATTACTGCGGAACCTGATCTGGCATTTTGCCGTCCAATCTCCCACTCACTCACTCACTCAACTCACTCACTCCCTCTTTTCCTCTCTTCCTCTCTCCCTCTCTCTGCTCCCAACCTTCCAGCCTTCTTTCAGCCTCATGGGTGACTATCGCATGACCTTCAACGTCCTCACCGGTATTGAATCCCTATAAGCCGATTGATCAACCCAATCTGGGCGTCCAGATGAGGTGCCTCCCGCTGGATTCATGCCTGTGGGCTACCAATCGAGTGATTGATTTCTAAACAACCACTTTGATACCAGGCCCCCGTGTACATTACAATCGGCCGTTCGTCTCTTGACGAACAAGCTCTTGTTCCCCTCCCCCCCCATGTCCCCAAACACTCTTACTCCCATCTCTGTCTTTTCCCAGACCCATACCTCCCCACACTCCTCTCTCAACACTACTCAGTCTCCTCTCAATCTCGCTCATCCCTCTCTTAAAAAGTCTCGGCATCACACACACACACACACACACACACACACACACACACACACACACACACACACACACACACACACACACACACACACACACACACACACACACACACACACACACACACACACACACACACACACACACACACACACACACACACACACACAAAATCTCAAACACTCGAAAGAGTTCAAAAAAAAAAAAAAATCGCTTTTTATTTTTATTTTTTTTTTGGTGCTCAAGAGTCTTTTCGTCGGACGAACTGAAGGAGCAGGATTCGGGACTTCGGGCTAGAGGTTGGGGTCCAGTTGCAAGAGGAGGGTTGATTATACAAGATTGCGATGCTGGAGCGGGCGCTTTGTGCACGGCATGCCCTGGGGCAAGGCCTGAAAGCACATCTGGACGGCTTTCAGCTGTTGCGGGCTCCAGTCGTCACCTCCTTCATCAATGGCCGCTACATCGAGCCGACCAACGACCCTAGTCGGGACATGCACTGGATCGAGCCCGCCACCAAGCAGGTGCTTTCTTTTCACTCAAGTCTTGCTCGTGTACCCGTCGATGGATGGCGCCAATGCACAACCTCGCAACTGCCCTCTGGCTGCCCTCTGATGACAGACAAAATGCTGTGGTCCCTTCAACTTACTCTTTCTCATGATGGCATCGTAGGCTCATGTACGGGTCGAAGCGGCAGCCATGGCTGACCTAGACGAGGCGCTGCAAGGCGCTCAGGCTGCACAGCAGCAGTGGGCGCTCACGTCAGGCATGGAGCGTGCCCGAGCCTTGATGGACGTAGCACACTACCTGCGAACCCATACCACGGCCTGCGAAAGCATTGAATGCCTTGACACGGGCCGCCCATTCCGTGAAATGGCTTTGGCGGACCTGCCCTCGGTCATTGATAGCTTTGAGTATTTTGCCGGCGTGGCGCAGCGCGTCAGTGGCGAGCACTACGACATGGGCGGTGGCAGCTTTGCTTACACGCGTCGCGAGCCCCTGGGGATCTGTGCTGGTATCGGCGCCTGGTGCGTTGCTCCCCTTGATCCCAGGCGCCCCTCCCCAAGCAGTGGGCTTGAACCTCTAACTTTCATCCTCTGGCATGTGCATATTTGATGCACCGTCTCTTGACATGGTTCGTAGGAATTATCCTATGCAGGGAGCTGCCTGGAAGGCAGCGCCAGCCATGGCGACTGGCAACGCTCTGGTAGGCCCTAGCTGCTTCTTGTTTCTCGAAACACAAACACCCGCCTATGCTTAGCTTGCCCTCCTCTTGTGTGAATGGGTGACGGTTTTTTTCAGGTTTTCAAGCCATCCGAGCATACACCACTCTCAGCTCTGCTGCTTGCTGAGGCCGTCCAGCAAGTGGAGGCCATCCCAACGGGACTCTTCAACGTGGTCCTGGGTGATGGAGCCTTGGGAGCCACCTTTGCCACCAACCCATCTTTTGCCAAGGTCAGGCATGCACTCGACCGCCTTGACACATCTGCTGCGTCATGCCATGTGGTGTGCCTGACACCAAATTGGCCCACCCAGGTCTCTTTCACAGGTTCGCGCGCCACGGGCCTCAAGATCACCAGTGCCGCTGCCGGGGATCTCAAACGCGTGACGATGGAGCTGGGTGGCAAGTCGCCTCTGATCATCTGTGCCGACGCCGATCTTGAGCAAGCCTGTCGCGGCGCCATAATGGCAAACTTTTTCTCCAATGGCCAAGTTTGTTACACCACCCCCTTACGGACTCGCCAACGTGGTCCATGCTCACTTTGGGCACCTCACCATTTTGACGCATCGCCGCGGTGTTTGCCTGGTCACCACAGGTGTGCTCCAACGGCACCCGCGTATTTGTGGCACGCGAGGTTTACCAGCCATTCACTCAGCGTCTTGTCGAGCTGACTGCCCAGCTGCGCGCTGGTGACTCCTTTGACGAACAGGTGAGTTCTTGTGGAGCCCGCACCTCACTCGCACGTTGGATGATATGATGAAGCATTCACTGCACTTGGAACGACCGACGTGCAGGTGGCCGTGACACCGGTCATTCACAACGACCACGCCGCCCGTGTACGAGAGTTCCTGGAGCGCGCGCGCACACAAGGGGCAACCGTGTTGTATGGTGGCGAGTATGCCGACGAAGAGGTTGGTTCATGGTTGCACTCGTCAGTCGCTTTGAAGTTTGATTGGCGGGCAAGCCTTGCTCAGCAGTATGTTGCTGGCGTGTTTGGCCAGGTCCCTTCACACATTGATCGTACTGGGCTGATCAAACCCCACATCTTGACCGACTGCTCTGGTAAGCCTCTTTCAAAAAACTGTCCAGCAGGGTGGTGTCGAACGCTTGTGGGTTCACAGCTGTGCGTGCTTTTGCCTTTTATGCGCTCTCATGCCGGGCGTCAGATGACATGGAAATCGTGCGAGAGGAGGTGTTTGGGCCCGTCATGGCCGTGTTGCCCTTTGATACCGTGGACGAGGCCGTGCGCCGTGCGAACGATACGCCTTACGGCCTGTCGGCGGGTGTTTTTACCCAAGACCTCAAGCAAGCGCACCGCGTTATTGCCGAGGTGAGAGTCGAATGTAAGGATCGGTGTGGCGGATGTTTGTACGGACCGTAACAAATTGCCCTCGATTGCCCTTGCGGCGCATGCGCTTGTAGCTCAAGGCCGGCACCACTTGGATCAACGACTACAACCTCGCACCCACGCAACTGCCGTGGGGTGGCTACAAGCAGGTCGGGCGGGTGCTGTTCGAGCCACCATGGTTTTCGATAGGAAGAATTCCTCACCCAAAACTGTGTTTGCATCTTTTCTGGCGCGTGTACGTAGAGCGGTGTTGGCCGTGAAAACGGCACTGACGCCATCAACCACTGGACGCAGCTCAAGTCCGTGTTTGTCCAGCAAGACGAGGTCTATTACCCTTACTAAGCTCCGCAGCGCCCGAGCGCTGCTGGTGGCACCAATTCCGTGCATGGGGCATTCATGGCCGTGCTCTTGCCCGTACGACAAGTGATAAACGACAAGCAAACAGAAAGGCATCAAACTGCACCGTTCTTATCAATACAAAGTGTGGTAGACCACCAGCAGCGTGGCGAAGCCAATGCTTCAGAGGGAGGTGATTCATGGCCATAAGCATGGCCCAGCCGTACTCGCGTGATGACGAGCACCCGTTTGCCGCTGGGCCAAAAGGTTGAGATGAGATCCCATTGGTACTGTTGTTGTCCATCGAAGCTCTTGCACAAAAGTTCTTCATTATTATGCTAAGAATAATACCCCATGTGGTTATAATCAATGAATGAGAAGAATTGGTTCAAGAGAGAGAGCGAAGAGAGAGAGAGAGAGAGATCTTTTGTTCAGTGGGCACTGCTTTTTATTTCTCTCTCTCTCTTTCTCTCTCTTTCTCTCTCTCTCGGTGTGTGTTGTGTGCTGGCACCTGCCCTTGGGGCCTTGGGCTCCAGGACCATGGCAGCAGCGTCTGGAAGTCGAGCAAACTCACTGACTCGGGTGTATGTGTCTCTGTGTCTATGTGTGTGGCGTAGGAGGATAACGGAAACGACAAGATGATGGCTGCCATGGTTCCCCGTGCGCCCGTGCTGGCAGGCCGTGCGTTGAGCACCGCCACTGCGCGCCATAACATCTCGCACGTGACGGTCATTGGCGGTGGTCTGATGGTAGGTGGTCCTGAACCGTTGTCGTTGCCTGATGCGCATTTGGAGGGCCATGCCTTCGGCTCATGGCTTGGTCGTGACCCCATTGTTTTGCTGTACACAGGGCTCGGGCATTGCTCAGGTGGCTGCTGGTAGCCAGCACAAGGTAATTCGGGCGGCCTGACAAGAAACATTTTGTTTGTGGCGGGCACCTGAGTGATGCTGATGCTGATGCCGCCACAACGGCGCTTCCCGAGCTAGGTCGTGCTCTGTGATGTGTCGCAGGATGTGCTTGACAAGACCATCAACCGCATTGAGACCAGGTTCGCCCTCGAGGCTTCCTGCTTGTTGATGACAAGGACGTGTGTTCACTGACCCTCCACGACGCGCTTGCGGCTTTATGTGCATAGCCTGGGCCGAGTGGCCAAGAAGAAATTTGCGGACGATGCCAACGGCGCCAAGGACTTTATTGCTGCCACCATGGTCAGTGCAGTCTTTTCGCCCTTCAGCACTTCCTGTTGCGGGTCTTGAGGCCCACTGAGCCAGCTAATGAGGCTTGATCTGACGCGCGAACCCGGTCTTGACTGTTTTGGCAGGACAACTTGAGCACCTCGACAGATGCCGTCAAGACCATTGGCGATGGCACGGATCTTGTTGTGGAAGCCATCAAGGAGGATCTGGATCTCAAGAAGAAAGTGGTAAGCGAGATGATGTGACTCCAAGGCTTCATGTCTGCGAGGAGTGGCTTAAAGAGTGTGGCCTCTCATTACCCTCGCCGTGGATATGCCATGCTCAATGACACAGTTTGCCGAGTATGATGCCGTTGCCAAGGACCACACCATCTTTGCATCCAACACTTCGTCGTTGTCCATCGGTGCGCCAGTGATCACACCCGATTCCCAAGTGGCTTTGTGTCATGCACCCCGCCCTCACTGATTGCTCTGCTGGCGGGATGGGGCAGGCAAGATTGCCGAGGCGACGCAGCGCAAGGACCGCTTTGGTGGTCTGCACTTTTTCAACCCCGTGCCAGTGATGGTACGAATACAGCGAATGCCGCCAACCTTGCCAGGGGAACCGAGGGGGAGGATTAGGGTTAGGGTGTTCCGAATGTAGAGGGGATAGTGAATATGTCAGCTCTGCGGCCTTGGTTGACCTCTGTGCTGACCTGGGTCGTGGACAGAAATTGGTCGAGGTCATTCGCATTTCCGAGACGTCGGATGAAACCTTCCAGGCCCTGAAGTGTAAGCTGCAACGCTGCTGGCTGGGCGTGTCTGTTTCCTACATCGTCCCTGAAAGGTATTGCTCACCCAGGACGATGGTTGGCTTGGATGGGTGTAGCGTTTGGTGAGGCCGTGGGCAAGCACGTTGTGGTGTGCAAGGACACTCCCGGCTTTATTGTGAACCGTCTTCTTGTGCCGTACTTGCTCGAGGCGGCTCGCATGGTGGAGCGTGGTGATGCCACGATTGAGGATGTGGACGCCGCCATGAAGCTGGGTGCTGGTATGTCGGGTTGGGGTCAAGGGATCAAGCCATCAGGGGCAGGAATGTGCGCGCGGTGCGGTTGGCTGGTCGTGAGATGAACTGATGTTTTGCTTTCCATCGCCAGGCTACCCCATGGGCCCTTTCCAGCTGCTGGACTACGTCGGTCTGGACACGACGGCCTTTATCGCTCAGGGCTGGGCTGAGGACTACCCGGTAAGTGCTTTTCTCCCTCAACCTCCTGGTACCCAAAACAACTTGCAGGAGAGCGTCCTCATTGGACCACCGGTGTATTGATGTGATACTGTAGGAGGAGCCCCTGTTCAAGCCTGTGAATGTGATTGCCGAGAAGGTGAAGGAGGGCAAGCTCGGCAACAAGTCGGGCCAGGGCTTTTATGACTACTCCAAGTAAAGGCTTGTGCCGGAATGACATTGCGCGCTACTCCCATCGATTCCCCTCCCGGCAAGGCGCTTGCCCAATTCCAAATGTGTTCAAGTGCTTCCGTCTTTTTCGTTTTCTTTTCTATGGGGGATGGACATCCCAGCAAAGATGACGTCTTTCTGAATGTCTTGGACGCTAACTTCTGTGCCAAGGGCGTTTGCGCCCGCTGCAAGGCCGAGCTCACGATTGAGAGAGAGATAGAGACAGAGAGACAGAGAAGGAGACACAGACAGAGAGACGTCGAGAGGAAAGAACAACACACGTCAGGCTACACACAACTCCTGTTTGGCACATGTTTTCCTTCAAACACGGGACAAGGACTTGCTTTTTCTGGAGGGGCTAGGGCAACGCAGCCTTTACCAAAGTGTATCATCCATTACACTTATTACTTTATAAAGTGTAAACAAGTGTAACTATTGGTCAACATTCTGTCATCTCCTCCAAAAGAGAGACACGTGTAGGCAAGTGAAGGACTATTGTTTGTGTTTGCGATCACTGGCTTTGTCTGACATTCTTCAAAAGAAGAGAGAGAAGAGAGAAGAGAGAGAGAGAGCAAGCACACACACATATCGAGAGAGAGAGAGAGAGGTGTTGCAGTAATGTCGAAAGGCGTCGAACGATCGGTTGTTGGACACGTTAGGGGGAACCGCCCAAGGACGATCTGATCCCAAGGCGTGTGAGTGAGTTGGAAGCTTGAAAAAGGGCAGCGTGCGTGCGCTGTGGCCCAGCTTCATGCTACCATAAGCCCTGATGGTAGTACAGGGACAGATACACAGCAGCAGCGACAGAGATAAGAGCAGACGAGGTGAAGCAAGAAGAAGAGAGAGATGTTGTGTGTGACAAGAAACTGTGATTTCTCTCATTTTCCTTCATTTTCGCCTTTTTCCGACATCACACACACACTCTCTCTCTGCCTCTCTCTCCTCTCTCTCTCTGTGGGCTGGCTCTAGCTCCCTGCTGCTGCTCCTGCTGCTGCTGCTGCTGCTGTGCTCTTGATACAAGGACCTTGCCATCAGTATCACCGACGCCCCTTACACACACACACACACACCGCTGGTTACCCTGCAAAAACCTCTCTCCTCGCCTCTCGCGCTCTTTTGATATTGGTATGTATGTGTGTGTGTGGAGGTGACCGTTGCTGCTCAAGACATTTCTGGAGGCCCCCCCCCCCCCCCTCCCCCCGCCAGCGGGCTTGCCAAGGGCTTCCCTTTTGCTCCTCCACTGGGCCCTCCATGCCCACTCGCACCTTGTCAGCTCACCCTTGTTGGACGCTTCTGGCTTGGCTCGCTCGACCCAAACAGAGTTGATATCGTCTGGCTTGCAACTTTCCATTTTTGCCCGTGCGCGCGGTGATCGGTACCAGGGCTGTCTTTCTTCCAGCACAGCACCCATTCTGGTGAGCCCCTTTCCGACAGCCTTGAGCAAGCTGAAATCCCACCTACGTCCCGCACACACCCATACCACACCACCACCACACCACCGCCGCCGTGGCCCTCTTTTGCTTTCTCCAAATCTCTTGCTATATTTTATTTTATTTGATGCGCACATGAATAATGAACGCATGATGGTCATGGCTGTCGTGTCTGTCTGCTCGACCCGTGTGGTGCGGTGGCTGGTTTGAAATGCGTTGACGTCGGTCGTGACTGTGTATCTCGTTTCTGGGCGGGTGGAGTCTGCACCAACACAGAATTGGATTCCAATGTTGTTGGTATTCTCGTGATGCATCACTCATGTAACGTCGATCTGCTTGGTGGTTGCATTGGCAGAGGATTGCCGTGGCCCATTTGTGTCTTGCGCCATCACCAGCTTGAGACCCAAAAAGAACATTCGTGGACCTCGTGTGTTTGACTGGTCGTGGATCCACCTTCGGCCCTATTTTCCACCAACGCCTGATTGTGCTGCAGCTCCCAAGCAAGGTGTGCACCAAGATCGGCAACCTTCTCTCAAGCCCACGGCCGCGCTTTCACTCACCCCATTTATCCATTTATCGGTGACAACTGGCCCGTAGAGAGCACCGGCAACATGCCGACGACGGTGCACATCTAACCGAGTTCAAGACACGCCCCTCGCACATTCATTCTCTCAGAACTGAACGTGCCGCCCATTCCCAACCCGTACACACACACATACCTGTGATGGCTCAGCTCCCCGGCATGGCTGCGCAAGTGCGGCTGCCGCTTGATCCCGAGGATGTGGACGAAGCCCAGACGGATGGTTCTCGTTCTCGATCCCTCTCCCGCTCGCAATCTCTGTCCATGTCCCGCTCCCCCTCGCCCGCTGCTCGGGATTCTGCCTCCGAGTCGGGCTCCGAATCAGGCTCCGAATCGGAATCAGAAGGCACCACTGACATGGACAGTCAAGAAGAGGATGTCCGACCCCCCCAATTCGCCACCCGCAACGCCCGTCGGCATAGCAGTCGCAGCCGCAGCCGCAGCCGCCCTGGCCCTGAGCTGCACCATGCTGCTCAAGCCACCGCAAGCTCAGGCCCCGCCCCAACTGCTGTTCCATTGACTGACATCCCATCAGGCACCTATCTCATCAATATCCAGGTTGGACCTAGCCGTCAAATTTCTGTTGGTCTTTTTTTTTTTTTTAAACCAAGTTGACAAAAGTTTCCCGCTTTCTGGTTGCTTGTATCCTATCTCGCCACGCCATGGCCCACTGACGCTCGTCGTGTCTGCAGTTTGAAGGCAAGCCGCTCCGTATGCGCCTACAACTTGCCGCAGTCAACAAGCCCCATCAATACATTGGCTATGGTATGTGCCTTGGCTCTTGTGCCCCGTTGCCAGCTCGTCAAGGCGCGCACGCTCGCCCTCATTCTGCTCCCCATGCTCGGCTAGCTTGCGATGATTGGCTGCGTAGCTATACCGTGACTGCCCATCCACGCTTAGGTATGCCAGACCACGTTGACGCTCTCCTCTGTACTTCTTTCTCCACCACCTGTTTTGCTCCCGCGCACCCTTTTATATATCTCTCTCGACCCCCCCTCCTCTCTCTCTCTCTCTTTCTCTCTCATTCTCCCTCTCTCTCTCTGACCAACATCCTACTGTTCGTTCCTGCAGATAAACTCAACATTATGCTGCAGGATTCCGCTTCCAAATTTTCCGCCTCCCTTTCTCTACAACCCGTGAGCATCGGCCGCAACACGGCTGCTGGCAATCTGACTCTCAAGGGCCAAGCCTACTGGCCTGCTGCCGCCCCAGGCCGTGCCGTCATGTGCTTTGAAGCTGCGGAACAACCCCTCGGTCTCTCCCCACTTGCCCCACCGCACGTCAACCGGGAGGTTGCCAACGTCCTCCTAGGGCCCTCAGAGTTTGCCATTCTCCTCAAACACCATGGATTTGATAGCGCCGCGGATGGCGTCGTTCGTGCTGTACGTTTCATGCCCACGTCTCTGTTTTGCAACATTTGCCTGCCATGAAAACAAATACCAATCTCCTTTGATGCACCTGGGACCGCGTCTCTCACTCACAAAATCTTGGTGGGGCATTTTGCGCTATCGTTGTTGTTCCTGTTGTTGTTTTGACAGAACATGACCTTGCAGCAATTTCTCTGCTTACCCCTGGAAGGAGTCCAATCCAAACTGGATCTCCTCTCCACGCGTGCCCTGGACTGCATGACGTTTGTGACTTGCTTTCTTTTCGGCCATGCCCGCCTTGCCGCGGCCCGAGACGTTTTGCAAACACACGAAACTCCTAGCCGGTTGCCTCCTCTACGCGCCGCTGCACCAGCCCCTGGCTCGTCCTCCCACGCGCGCTCTAGCCGCAGCGCCCGCCTGGTCATGACCCTGCGACGCTACCACGTTCCCCACTGGGATGCGCTTTTCAGTGCCGCTTGCGGGCTCCAAGGTTTCCTGAGCATGCCATTAGAAGACTTTCACCGCTATCTTGATGTGGCTGGCAGTACGTTTTTCTTTGCTAACCATTTGATGTTTCGCTCGGCGCAGCTGCTCAAGAAACCGAGCTGACCGGAGCAGTCTCGTTGCGCCGCTTCAACACGCGCTCTAGGGCGGCGGCTGATGGGCTGGATCGTATGGCCCGAGCCCCATGGAAATCGTTTGCGACCAGCGAACATCGCCTCATCGTCACGCTACGTGAGCGACAGGAACGACAATGGCAGCAACAGCAAGTTGCCCGTCGCCATCGCAGCGCGCGCAACAGCGCCGGTGGACACAGCGCCGGGAGCGGAACCCGGAGCAGCATGTCCAGCAGCGGCCAGTCATCAGACGCCGGCTCAGACGAGGATGCTACGCGTGTCGAGCCCTCAGCGACTACCACCCCTGTGGCAGACGCCACCGCTCAACCCCCAGCCATTCGTTATCGCAAACCCACACTCTGGGACCTGTTGCAGCTCCCTGTGGATGTCTTGGATGCCCTTCGTGTAGCTTCGGCCCTGGACCATCTCTTTGACTTTCGCCTGCAGTATCATGAGTTTCTCAATAGCGCGCGAAGTTGCCTGATCAATGCAGACACCAGTCGCCTTCTGACGCGCGTGTGCGAAAGTCAGCGCTTAGCCGATGCTTACTTTTTGCTAGTGGCTTGCCGGCCGCGTCTCAATGGAGAACAGCTTGCACAAATTTTTGGCTCTCTTGCAACGACCGGCTCACGGCGAGCGCCCAGTCCATTGGCTGGTCTCTTTCGCCGCATGCTCACCACTCACTTTGACACGGACAAGCTTCTCGGACGCAGTGGCACTTTGGGCATTATTCCGCATGGCGAGAAGAACCCCGTGCAAGGACTGCAGGCGCCGCCTGTCCAGGAGTTGTTGGCTGCCGATCACGGTCGTATGCGAGCCAACTCTTCGGCACTTGATCGCATCAGCAGACTCCACCCGCGTGGTAGCGTGGATGGTGGTGGCTCTAGTACCAACCTCGCGGGTATGGACGTGGAAACTCTGGGTGCAGCGCCACCCTCGGCCCCGAGCACGTTGCTCGTTGCCTCCAATGGAACGATCGGATCAGCCTCTCGCCCTGCCATGACGCCACCCACTCGTCGCGCCAATTTAATGAGCGAGACTGACCCTCTGCTTGTGCCGCCTGGCTCCAATGCCTCTGGGACATCGCCGCCTGGCCCTCGCTCGCGCTTTCCCAATGGACCGGCTCCTCCGAAAACCTCCGAGAGCAAGCCCTTTGCCAAGGGCGTCAAGCGGTTGAGCATGTTGCTTGCCTTTACCACGGCCGTCATCTGGGCATTGGCAATCGTAGCCATTACCAATGACCAGACCGAGTCGTCCTTCTTGGCTGCCCAACGCTCTTCTGTATTTTCCTTTGTGCCGTACGGCTTTGCCCTCATCATCTTGGTTGCCTTTTTGGTGCTAGCCATGCTCAACTGGCAACCACAGCCCCGCCAACCCAATATTTTCAACGTGCTCGGCGACTGTTTATTGCTTGTGCTGCTTGTTGGTGGTGTGGTCGTTGGCACCTACACCGCTCGCGTGATTGCTATGAATCTGTACCAAGATGGCCTTGAAATGGACCTGGTCCACGTCATTCTCTTTGCAGCCCGCACTCTTCTTCTTTTGGTCCTGGGCATCATCCATCACTGGAGCATTCGGTGAGGTCGCCCGCCATATTTTCTGCCATTTTTTTTATTTTTATTTTTATTTTTATTTTTATTTTTTTTTTATTTTTATTTTTATTTTTATTTTTATTTTTATTTTTATTTTTATTTTTATTTTTATTTTTATTTTTATTTTTATTTTTATTTTTTCTTTGTATTTTTTATTTTTCTTGAGTCTTTTGTATTATGGCACTTGTCCACGCCCCTCGTCCATGTCAAAGGGCCTCCCGTTATCTGAGTGTTTTGACACTTTGTCTTCACGCCTTTGCATTTGCTTTCTTGCGACAGGACTTACAATCGCCAGCTTGATGATGAGATGGCTCGACTGCCAAGTGTTGTCAGCGATGGCATGCCCTTGCCACGTGGCGCCCTGGCCGAATCGCGGCGCCCACCCATGCCGCGCTGGGTCGGTGGCTGGCTCAGCTCCTGGCTTCTCTTCTTCCTGATCGGCACGCAGATGGAGTTTAGTTATTTTATCATCATGATGGTGCAGCCGGCTCACTTTTGGACCTTCCTGGGCTCCTCCTACGTGCTGGACACCTTTATGCTCTTCGCTTTCGGGCGGGGTGTGTTGTTGTGGGACGATTGGGCCTGCGTGCATCCCGTGGATGAGCGCGCCCAGGCTGACCTCCTTCACGTCACACCCACCTACGGGCAGCCACGCACCATATGATGTACCCTACATGTTGTGCTGGATCACCTTGGTGTCATGAACTGGCTACTGTGTAGCCCGAGTCACGCCCCAAGTGTGCTTCGCGAGGCTGTCATCATCTTTATCCTCGTAGTTTTTCCCCTTCCTTGATTTGTCCTTCGTTTTCCTAGTTTTACTTCTTCCTCTTTTCTAGTTTTACCTATCTCCGGGCCTTGGTCAGCTCTGGCATTCGTGCTGTCGCCTGCAGATTCGTGCATGCCTTATCTATGCTCCTATATTGCATCGTGCCTCACTTTCCTTCACAAGTATCCATTTTTCATGATTGCTAGTTTTGTTCTTTTTGTTTTGTTTCAACTCTCTGTCCATCCCTTCTCATTTGTACATGCTCAAGCGAGTCGCATTAGACTGCAGCCTGACCACTTGGCGGGCATACATGCCTAGCCGGCCTTCAGAGCATGAGTTTTTTAGTTTTGCTTTCTTTCTTTCTTTTTTCTTTTTTTGTGAACTTATTAAATTTTTGTTCTTGCTCTGCCTGTGGACTCTTTTCTTTTTTGCTTCATCATTCATGTTGCAAGCACAAACCGCGTTTGTTCATCAGACATTTCTCGGAAGTCTTGTTATGCCATCCTATCAGGCATTCGGCGTGCTCCCTTAGCGTAGTTAGTAACGCGCAAGCATGTGCTCACGGCGTGAGTATGCTGCGTCTGTTTCATCGTTGCCCTTGGCCAGGTGTCGGCAGTGCTGGCTGTTCTGTTTGTATTCCATCCACAAGCCGCGGCTTGTGGATGCCAAGAAAAATTGTCAAACCCTCTCGTGGAGTTTGAGCGCCTAATCGATGGAATCTCAAAAAGAAAAAAAAAAATTCAAATTCACATGACTTGCAGGATCTTCAAGACAAGCCGATAGACACAATTGGACATTTAGGAATGAATGGCAAAAGTGTCCGGTTGCCCAGTCTGAGCATTGAATTTGCCCCACACTAGTTGCAACATGCCCTCTGCTAGCTCACCATTGGTCTTTAAATCCACCTGTTGGGCAACAAACCACATGACTGATATCAGAGCAAGAGGAGCAGGCCTGGGGGAGCAAAGGGGTTCCAGTCAAGATGACGCACGGTGTTGGGATGCACATGAATGGTCACGCTTGCCCAAGGAGCTCCGGACGCGACCCATCGCTGACTGTGGCCGTTGCGCGTTTGGTGAGATGGCATCATGACCCTCGCACAGGGCAGAACAACGAATAAAAGGGAAGGTGAAGCATGTACATTGGAAGACCAAGAGTTAGAAGCCGATTGGTAAGACGTACTGGGCAGATTGCAAGAGGGCTTCAATCTGAGTCGGGGTGAGCAGCGTGTTTCGAGTTTTTTCCACGTGCACGTCTTGAGGGCTTGGGCTCAAGCCCTCGGGTAAGCCCATGGTTGATGCGTACTCGGTTGGACACACGCTGAGCAGGCAATGGGTCAAAAGATGCGAACGAAGACCAGGCTGGGCGTTTGACAGAGGCCGTGGTACGCTGAGGGAGGAGTACGAACCTGGAAAGGCCGAGCAGGGGCGCGCTGAGACAGTCAAGAGTGACAAGCCACTCATCGGCACTAGAAGGGTGGAGGGGCCAGCTTGGCAAAGTTGTGGGCATGGACAAGCTAGGCAGCTGAGGATCAGGCCGATGAAGCAGCGGGGAGACAACAGTGAATAAAGCGCAAGCCTGCTAGTAGCGAGGGCAACAAACCATGCAAAGAGAGCAGCAGACCATCAAACGTACGGTCATGCGTGTGACGGGCTCAGACGGAGCTCCTGGGGCAGCAGCAGCAGCATTTTTGGCAATGACCGTGTTGAAGCACTGCTCTGAGGTGCAGCTGACCTCTACCTGAAGGTCGGTATGCCATCGCTGCTCGATGCACTCGCGGAGCCGCTCGACTGAGCTCGGATTTGCAACACCCTCGCGCGCCGGCAAGGTAAAACGAATCTCTGTGGAAATCCAAGTCCCCCAAATCAAACATGGCAAAACGCATCAGCTCAAAAGTGCGGTATGCATGGTGAGAGGAGCAGAGGCTGAGAAGTGCAGGCAGACGAACGAACCATGCAAACCAGTGTGCCTGGAAGGCTTGGAACCAGGCACGCCTACGCCTCAACGCATTCACATGCAGTCAGCTTAAAACCACCATGGTTTGCCAAGCACCAAAGTGAGCATGAGCTGATACGCACCAAACGTCTCATAGCGGTCTTTGCTCAGCTGAAGAACCAAGAGGCCTGGTGCCCAGCACAGGAGAATGAGGCAAGCACACCCATGCGACCCCTTGGACAGAGGATGGGTCATTTGCAACCTTAAACGAAGCAGCACGAAACAACATCTGACCATCAGCAAAGGAAAGGGAGCTTCCGTCATCGGAATGTGGCAGAGACGCAAGTGTCAATCCTGTGCAAGATGGCATGGTGAATGCCTTGGGTGGAATCGATACGGACAAGGGGTGGCTTCGCGGCAGCGATGGCAAGACAAAGACCTTCGGGATGATCAAGGATGAGTGCAATCAGGTCGCTCGGGGAGAGCGTCATCGTGCTGTTGTAGCTTGGAATGGCGGCCGCGTCCAAGAGCTTCTCCGCCTGCGGCGACACAATATCCAGCTGCGCGGCAAAGCATGAGCATGAGCACATGATGGAGCTCTCAGCCAAGCAGGCACAGCCCGCTCAATCCAATCCAGCGGCGCACCTGTTGATACAGCACATGACGCTGCACATTACGCCGCAGCGCCGCCGCATCCTTGGACCACTCCCAAGCATACAAGTGCTTCTCCGTCAACGGTGCATCCCAGTCAAAGTCCAGCACAAACGACCCCGCCATCCCGCCGATGCAAACTCTCTGTGTGTGTGTGTGTGTGTGTGTGTGTGTGTGTGTGTGTGTGTGTGTGTGTGTGTGTGTGTGTGTGTGTGTGTGTGTGTGTGTGTGTGTGTGTGTGTGTGTGTGTGTGTGTGTGTGTGTGTGTGTGTGTGTGTGTGTGTGAACAGTTACCGAGGGTATTTTTTTTGTTACCTTTGGACATTTGTTACCAAAAATAAATTTTTTCCCGTTCATTTTTCCCTCTGTTGGAGGCTGGAGCTGTCTGACTGGCAAGGAAGATAAACGGCAGCGCCCTGGTGGCCAGTTGATCAATATTCAGAAATAAAAAGGTGGAATACAATTTTTACCCCATTAACTATGGCTGAGCCAGTTTTCGAGTGCTCATCTCCTCGGATTCCGCTGATATGTGGCTGCCATTTCGGGTCATCCTGCCTCGGCTGGCAGACAGCCGGCATGCGGCATCGCCGGGGTAAACAGGCATGTCCAGGCGTTGCAACGGCCGGGCATGATGGAAGCCGGGTTTGTCAAGGATATCGGTGCGCCTTGGTGCTGAGAACCGCTTCACTGTGTGACTCTTTGGTGTTGGAACGTTGACATTTCCCCGCATACAGCTGACAGTGGTATTTGTGCCTATAGGCCGAGCGTCGAGCCAAGGCAGATCGTGTATTCCAACTCCTACGTCAGCTCACGGCGGGTTCGATGACGTCCATTGAAGTTCAACAGTATTTAGAGGTCGATGGCCTTCGTCAATTGACGCGTCAACAACTTGGCGGCCTGATCAGCCCTCCTACGAGCGCCAGTGCCCGGAAGGGGTGCCCCAATCGATCCGACGGGCTTCTGAAGCTGTACGGTATCACCAGAGCCGATTTTGTGGCTGCGCAACGCCGGAGACAGCGAGGCATCCAACCTCATGACGGCAGGCGGATTCTTCTGGCGCATGAGCGTGTAGCTTGCTGTCTACGTCTGCATGTGCTGCAAACATACTTTTGTATCCTCCTGATGCATGTCTGTTCTTATTGATGCCGGCCCCTAGGTCTTGGCCGTATCCTATCCGTGGATGAGATGCCTAGTCTCTGCGCCGGATTCACAAGGAATGTCAAGGTGCATTCCTCAGCCGACCGAACTGTAGATCAAGGGTGTCTTTCCGGACAAACCTACAACGCCATTCACGGCAGCTAGTTGGAGAGGCAGCCACCCTCGATGAGGAATTGTGTGCTCTTTATTTTGCCATCCACTTTCAAAGCAGTCAAGTCAAACGGGTACAGGCTGCCTACCGCCGTGCAGGCATTACGCGCTTGGAGCGAGCTGTTAGACACATGAAGAACCAACCCTCGCACGTTGAACCCGAGGATATAGCAGTGACGCCTCCCCAAAGCCCGGCAAGCACGCCCCAATGCCCGCGTCTCCGCCGCGTGATGACCGAAATTCACTTCCCTCAAATTCAACCCCGCCCACTCTTACAGCAGCATCAGCAGCACCTTCTCTTGACCGAATCGTTGAAGAGGAGCCTCAAGAACCTATTGCGCGTGTCGGAGGTCACTTTGCAGACTCCGATCTCCAGTTTTGGCTCCGAGACTATACCTCTCAAACTCAACCACGTCAGGACGCAACAAGCCCCGCATCAAACGCGCCAGCCGCGCCTCTGGCCAGATCAAATACAGACCAGAATGAGATTGATTTGCTCATCAAGGCTTACGACGAGAGTACCAAAAAGTACAAGGCGTATATCGACTCGCTGATCGCACTAGAGCCCCATACTTCCACGTCTTAAAAATAACACGAATTGAAGCTTATTTATTACAACCGCCACCACTGCACGAAAACCCACTTTTCTACTGATTTTTCTCGCCCTACCTAATTGAGCATCTTTGAAAAGCTGGCCACCCAAGCCCCCCTGCACTGCCGTCCCCGATGGACGAGAAACATCGTGTATCAAGTTCTCACAAGTTCCAGAGCAGGCACGTCCTATAGAAGAAACAAAACAATAATATAACTCTTGATGTAGGGCAGCTACGCTCACAAAATGGCATCTGATAGATTCAACAGATCTGCGCGGTTCGAATCATCTCAAGTGGGCTGAGATCTGACCACAATCAACGCCGACCGCCATCCAACAAATCAGCCCTATTAGGTGCGACATCCTCTCCAACAACCATTTTCCAAAAATAACAAAAATCAGGATCTGATGTTCTTTTTTTTTTTTTTTTTTTTTGGACTTTTTTTTCGATGCTCAGTCATCATTGTTTGCCCATGGCTTGCTGGGTCTACTCAGAGTTGTACAAGATCATAGCGTGCAGTGAGATTGATGATGTCAGTAGTCGCGGTGTACAACGACCGATACGACGAGAAGTGCTACAGATGTTTCAGACAAAGGGCTGCTTTTACATGTCACAAGGGTCGATTATCGGTGCCTGGTGCTGGGCAGTTATGTTAAAGCTCTTGTACATGTAGATCTAATCCGTTTTTGACATCGAGGAATGAGGCAAAAACCCTCAAGTTCTCGATTGTATTTTTTTTCCGAGCCTTTTATTAATTTGTGCTCCTTGTTGTTTTTTCTCTTGCTCTCCTCTCTGTCGATGGAGCCTGCTTGTCAATGCTCTTGCTCTCTTCGTCAATCTGCGAGGAGGGGAAGGGGGAGAGACTTTCTATGTTGCCGCGTTACTCACGTCTCAGATTACTTGAGCATGATAAGAAAAAAAAAACAATAATTGACATGTTGTCGTAGTTCAGTGAATCATGTACGTACATCAGATACATGATTTACTAGACTACGGGGCTCGGACTACGACACTCCACTCATCTCATGTGAGTGCGTTTGTGAATCGTCCCCATTAGAAGCGCTCTCCCAAGAGAAGCCCCAAACCCGACCACACGTTTCGACTTGTTTTTCTCCAAACCAACGTGTCTCAACTTGAATTTTTTTTCACAATAGGGGGGGCTCTTGTTCGTTGGCTCTGTTCGTTTGTAATTTTACAGTTGACCATTTTCTTCCTTGCACTACCAGAGCCATGGGCTTCCTCACTCAGGCTGCCTTTCAGCGGCTGTCTGTTCTTGTTCTCTTTCTCGTTCTCGGTTTGGTTCATTCTGCCGCTGCCGTTGTTTCAAAGGAGGATGGCGAGGCTTTGTTAGCGTCAAATAAACCTACGCGCTTCCTCGCAACCCAAAGACGGCCTCCAGACGTGCTGGAGCCTGACAGGCTTCAATTGTTGATTGAGCGTGACTGGGCCCTTTACAAGAAGCAATTACAAGAAGCCAACCGAGCGCTAGACGCCGACTCCTTTGCATGGGGCACTGGCGAGGTGGGTTCTGGTGAACATTGGGTAAACGTCAGGTTGAGTCGTGCGTCTGTCTCTTTGTCAGTTTCTCTGTTTCTGTTTTATTTGTCATTCTTCCCTAGCCTCTGTCTGGATATTGAGGACTGGCAAGTGCCCAGCCACGAGGCGAGTGAATATCTGCCTGCACTTACACTTGCATCATCATGCCATGATGGGTAGGATCTCGAGGCGAAGCTATTAGGCATAACAAGTAAAATCAAGGACACATGGGAACAAGACTTTCTAACTGCAATTACCCAGCGCATTGAGGATAAATTGGGCGCTTGGAAGACACAGCGTGCAGCAGCCGTTCTGGCTGCGCAGAACCAAGCAATGGAAGACACCAACATCGCAGCGGAACAAGTCAAGCGGAATGGCACCAACCTCATGGACAACTGTACCCTCTCCAAAACGAAAACGATGGCAACAGCGAATGAGTGCATGGCTCACCTCAACCAAGTATTGCTCGACTGGCACTCGCACTTCACCAATACCACCGTTCCCAATTGGTCCAGTATCGAGAAAAACGTTGAGGCTCACTTTTCGAATCTCTGGTCCAATCTGAGGAATAATGTTCTCAGAACCCTTGGCTCCGCGCCAGCCCCCTCAAGTATGACAATTCCCACAGGTTGGACTGTAGACCATGGGCAAGGCGGTATCCCAATGCCCCATTTTAAAAGCTTGGACGACCGATTGATCGCGTACACAAAGGACCATCGGGAAAGTGACTGGGCAGGCCAACGCCATCGAACGTTTGCAATGAAGGAAAAACCCAGCCATCGCTCCGTACTTGGCAGATAAGGAAAACATTCTTTGGATCAAAGTGTCCGTGCAGGTGCGTCGGTGGTCTATGCCCACCGCAATGAACCCCTCGTCGCTTGCGCCTGCTCTCCTTCGCTTGTCTAACGCTCCGTGTTCTGCAGATGGATGGGCGCCCACGCGATCCACTGCTTCGTAGAATACGTCAACATGTGATATTTGCACACGGGCTAACGACTCGACCTATTGTTGAGCAAAATGCACAGCTTCCCAAGACGACCAATGGCATGCAGCCACTCTTTGTATTGGGCGATTTCAGCGATGGATCCATATCGTTTGGCTGCAAAGTGTCATACAACGCAGCCACCATGGAGTTTGGCGTTTTACACCGCTGTCTGAATGTCGAAAGCCATTTGCGCTGTAACATGTACAACTTCCAACTCGAAATCCAACCCAATCAGCTGTTCAACAAATCCTCCGAGCTGGCTCTAAGCGAGCTGATCCCTCTCGCCACGCTTTAACATGTGAATGACTTTTTGAAGCCACGCCGCTTCGCCATTTCCTCTGCCCGATGCGTGTGAATGCAGATCAATTGATCAATGTTTGACAGAGCAGTGTTGGGGCATGACCTCCGTCAGTTGACCCTTCGATTTTTTTACGTTGCTGTGATGTCTGAATGCAAGGTCCCACACGGAGCCTGTGGCAAATGTTGCTTTCAAAACCTTTCGTTCAACAGTTGTCGAGTGCAAACTTATGTATCCTCACAGAGTGTGTGGGGTCCCGTGCCATATGAAGTCACAAGTCACACCTCACGAACCACAAGGTCTCTTCAGCTTACATGTTAGCTTGATTCTCTTGATCATCTCGAAAAAAATCTCTTCAAAACCTCGAACGCGTGACTGCTTTGTCAAGTGGCTGTACTCTACGGACAACTGCCTGCCTGGAGCCCACTGGCGGATCGTGGGCTATGTGATTGACGGTTCTAACATGCTGCTCAGCAAGCAGAGATGCGGAAACCAGCGTCGGCCGCCTGGATCACACTTTGGCTCTCAACAAAAAAAATCAGATGACGATGGACTTTCAGATTCCCCTACACTTTATTTTGCTTCAACTACACCTGTTGTACCTAGTTGAACTTTTTACCAATCGACCCAAGCCCAATGATATTGTGGAGCAAAACTTTCTTCAGCGCAAGTGTGTGAGGCTCCCGTCTCGTCATACCTTCATCGATGAAACCCCTTCTGAGCATCGCTAGCTAGGTTTGCTCCCAGCAGATTTTTACGACAGCAAATTGTTGGCCCCTCATGCCGTGACTGGGCGCAGAGGCTTGAAGCCAGGGCGGCAAGGCGAGCTCCCGCCGGCTCGAAAGTGAAGTGGCAAGGAGTTTGTGGTCTAGCCAGTCTGATTATCGATTGTAAAGAACCTCATGTCAAAAAGAACACTCTCTGCGCCCACACCAACGGTGTGACAAACGCTCACATCATGGTGGGTTCAAGCAGTGAGCGTGGCAGCCAAAAGGCGGGCCAAGTCACCCTCATACTCGTCCGTGGGGTCGAGATCGGTCTGCATGCGGCGCAGATTAGTGGTGACCGAGAGGGCCAGGGGGTTGCACACGTCGGCAAGGATGAGGCGGAGCTCGGCAAAGGCCTCCAGAGTCGCAAAGGTGACATCGGGTTGACCCAAGTTGGTCTCGATCATATCACATGCCCCGAGGCGCTTGATGTTTTGAGCAAGAGTAAGCTCGGCAACCAGACCCCGCTTGGTGTTGAGGTACTCCAGCCGCTCCATCTCGTGATCCGTGGCAGGCATGCTTGCCTTGGTAGTAAAGAGGAGCAAGTCTGTCAACAAGGTGGCCAATTTTTGCGTCAGACTGTGGGAGCGAGACGCGACGGCGTCGGCCGTGTCGAGGGCGTGTAGTTGCTGCCACAGCGCCATGACGGATTCCAGGCCATGATCTGCCACGAACATGGTCGTGGCATTGGCATGGTGGCGAAGCAGCGCAGCGAGGGCAAACAGAGTGCGCTTGTGAAGGAGCTCGCACACCACAGGGGTGGTGGCAGCGCAGCGATGTCGCAAGAGCTCCAAAAGACCGGAAAGGGCACCATTGTCCAGGGCCTGGCTTTGTACCTCGGCGTTGTTTTGCATGGCGGCGCCAAGCACGGTGGCACTTCGTGCAGCCACTTTGTACCAACTTGAGCGGACCAACGCAGTGGGAGCTGAGCCATGGGTGGGCAGCATGAGGAGCTGCACGAGCGGCGTCAGACCTCCCAGCTTGTGCAGGTCCCGCCCCATGTCCCCTTGATGGATGAGGTCCTCGATGGCGTCCAGAACGTTGAGGATATCAGGCACGGATGCAAGCATTTCCTCTTCTGAAGCGTTGGCAGAGGCCACCAAGGTGGACTGCAGGGCTTGGAGGTGTTGAATGTGGGTTTGCAGTTCATGACCCTCGTCGCGCATCATCTTGGCATAGAGCTTTTGCATGTAGTCGGTGAGTTGGCGGGCCTCCTCTGGGCTGAGATTGTCAAAGCGCGAATTGACCCCTTGCGGGTCATCTGACAGCTCACGCAAGGCAGTTTTGGTTCGATCATCGAGGACGATGGGTCCCTGGTCCGTGGCGGCGTTGGCGCTGGCGCGCAAGCCAGTGACGGCGCGTGCGACCGTGCTTTCTGCGGCAGGTTGGTCGGAGAGCAAAAGCCCCGGGCGTCGGGCCGGGTTTACATCCGTCTCCGCCTCGTCACCCGGGGCACCGGGCTTGGAGGCAGGCTTGTAAGTGTGACCAGGAAGCAGGCGTGCGCGTTTGCCCCCATTTTGTAAGTCAAACTCGACCTGCAGTCCAGCTGGAATGCTCTGGCCCTCGAGCACGGGCTGCCACTCGTGGGAAGGCACAAACAGGGGAATAGAGCCATCGGCCTCGGCTGCATGAGCTGGAGGCGCAGGCACCTCCTCTGCCACAGCAGGCGTATCAGATAAGACCAAGGCGTGGTCAGCCGCTAGCGGCGCAGCCAACGCCCAGGCTACCAACAGCAACGCGGGCCACCGCATCATGTCGCTCATGCCCAGTGACAGCGCAAGAGAGAGAGAGGTGTGATTCTCATTCAGGCAGCAGAAAGTCAAGGATCATACAATGCCCAAGCCTCTCATGAAACCTATAGCAGCCCCCTCGCATCAGGTGAATCCGCTGCGATCGCCCAGGCCTCTGTGCATACGGGTCAGTGTGTGTGTGCGCGCCGAGACGACGCCTTGAACAAAAATGCGAGAGAGAGAGACAGAGAGAGAGAGAGACAGAGAGAGAGAGAGAGACAGAGAGAGAGAGAGAAAGATGAATTTGTTTGGTCGGTCAAAGAGAGAAATAAAGAGCAAAGACACAAAGGAAAAGCACAGAGAGAGAGAGAGACAGACAGAGAGAGTTTGAGAGAGAGAGAGAGAGACAGAGACAGAGAGACAGAGAGACAGAGAGAGATACAGAGATACAGAGACAGAGACAGAGACAGAGAGACAGCGAAACGTCGAGAAACACACACATAAAACAAATGGCGCCACGTCAAGTCTGATCAGCGATAGTGTGGTTTAAGTTACACTGTATTTACATGTTCTCTATAAAATAAAGCTTTATACATAAGAGGGGGAGATGCACGAGAGTGTAACGGTCAGATTACTGCCACCGCATCAACTTGATATTTTAATACAACAACTAACACAGAAGTGGTTATAAGAACAGCATTATCCTGTTGAATAGATGCGAAAGCCTTCTGCGAGTCGATGCGCGAGAGCTGCACGGCTGTGCGCCGGATGTCTGAGGTGCGTGTGGCGGTGGGGGCTGTCGCCGTGACGGTGGGGGTTGTGGTGTGGCTCTGGTGATAGCATGAGCTGGCCTGGTGGGCTGAGTGGGTCTGGTGTGCGGGCTTGCGCGCCGAGAGAGGCCCGAGCTCGAGTGAATTGGAAATGGGGCGCGCCGAGCACGTTCATGTGACAGGAGCTTGCTGCGCCACAGTCTTGCACGCAGAAGTTGGCCTGGAGAACGCAGGGTAATCGATCTGGCCCCCGCGTGAGGACTGCGAGGATGCCGCCACGCAAGGGCGACGTGGCTCTTGTGCGCCACCCTCGCCATGGTGTCACGTACGTTGGCCGTGTTGTGGTTCGGCTCTCGACACAAGAGTGCGCGCAAGCAATGCGCTGCGCCCATTCCTTCGCCCCTCAAGCTCTTGCTGCTTTGCCTTCCAAGAGCACTGCAATTTGAAGCTCATCGGGTGGCCGCCTTGACGCATTCATCAAAATCAAATAGTTGGCCAGCCTTGCTGATTGATCTGCGTGAGGGTCGCGGCGGGCTCATAGGTTCGTGTGACGAGAACACAAACTTGCGCGCCTTCACTTTGGCTGCCTTCTCCTCACGCCGGGTCGTGTGCAGGAGAATACCTTGTGTTTGACGACGAGTATCCAACCCCAGTGCGCTACCAGATCAGTCGCAGCCAACCTTTTACCCAGGACCACATCCCCAACGTGGAGCTCCCCGTCCCATTGGTTCCAGCCTATGCTTTTGCCATGGAACAAGTCTGTTGAACGCAGCTTGCCCAATTAACCCTTCTTTTCGTGTCTGCTGAAACTCATGCCACCCGCCCCCACCCAACAGGCGCGCAAGATTCAGAAGCAAGCACGCCAGACCCGCCTTGCCAATCTGCACCAGGGTCCCGAAGGTGCGTTCTCACTTGACCAAGGCTCACGCTGCATGCTGCCGAGTTCTCAGCGCGTCAAGTCACCCATTTCTGGACCTCCTCCTTAAACCCCGTTGATTCTCAAGGTCCTTCACTGAAAATGCCTCAAAACAGCACGCGCGACCAAAGTACGCGCAGTCAGCGTTCAACACCAACCACTGTTGCTCGACCAACGCCGGGCAAGCAAGTTGTTGTGACAATCATCGATGATGATGATGATGATGATGACGACGACGACGACGACAACGACAACAGCAAAGGGGCAGAGAAGCCAGAGACCAAGCCAATTGCAAAAACCACAGAACCCTCCAACGTGCAAGGCAAGCACTCTGCCAAGAGGAAAAAGATTGATCCTCGTAATCCTGACCAGGGAGTGGAGGTGGATGCCACGGAAAACAGCGACAGTGACGATAATAGCAATCAAAATCGCACGCGGCATCGCCGGAGCCGATCCCAGCGTCAAAGCCACGCCAATGCTTTGTCTAGCCCAACGGTAAAGCGAGAGACACGGGCCATGCAAGCCAACCATCGGCGATCATCGACTCAGAGCGGTGATGATGCTCCGGTGGAACCCGCGAAGCAGCACTCTTCACATCGCGGGGCCAGGTCCAACACCGGCCGCTCAAGCAAAACAGCCTCCAGCCTTGAAAACCCCAAAATGGATTTAAGCAAGGATGACGTGGGTACTGAGCCTCAACTGGTTGATTCAATGCAGAGCACCTCGCCCGAGTCCCCGCCCTCTCGCAGTAAACGGACCAAGACGGAACAAAAGTCTGGCGCGCATCACCCCAACGCTGAGAGCCTGCGTGCAGAAGAGCAACCCTCCGAGCCCGTGGACCTGGAAGCCACTGACGCCGCTGACGCTGAACCCTCGATTGAGTCGCTCCCCGTCGAAGGCGGCCGCGACATTGTGCAGATTGAGGTTAATAGCGAGGCGACCTGCGCGATCTGTCATTGCAAATCTTCGATGCAAGAAATGGTCGTCTGCAATGGCGACTGCGATCAGCGCGTGCACCTCATTTGTGTACAGCCACCCATGGTTTACGTACGTCCGCGCAACACCGAGACATCTGTTCTCGCGCATAGTCGTTCCCTGCCGTTGTCGGAGTGCCTAGCCCTGTGTACCTGGCCACCTTCTCAATGGTACCCTTCTTTCATGTCTGCCAAATAGCTTCCCAAAGAACTTCGCAGCCTAAGACCTTACTACTGTGATCCCTGCAACAGGCGTTACACTTGCCTCATCTGTGGCGACCAGGCAGCTCCCTTTGGCTCCAAGGACTTGGTGTATGTTGCTTACCTCCTTTTTCTCAAACCACACCACCCCGCTTTGTATTTGCTACCCGCGTTGACCTGTGCGCCCGCGCATCTTGTGCCTCCCAGCGAGTGCGCGTTTTGTAGCGGAATCTGTCATTGCAGCTGTGTTCAACAACGCTCACCTGATGCCGAGGTACGTTGGCCGGGTGTTGACCAAAATTCCTCCCGAGCCAGTCAACTGCGCGTGCGCACGTGTGTGTGTGTGTGTGTGTGTGCGGCCCTTGAATTGCCAACACGCATCTCAATGGCTGCGGTTTTCATCACGTTCCCTCTCGCAGTTTGATGAAGATTGGGAATGTTCAGACTGCGATCGGCTACGTTTTGCAGAAGGCATTGATAAGATTTTGACCGCCATGTCTGTGTCTCACGTGGAGGCAAATGGGACTGCCACGGCTCCTTCAGACAAGGAGAACCCCGAAGTTCATCGTGAAAGCCGTCGGCGCCCTGCGCCACCACCAGAACTTCTTGAATGTCAGTGGGTGATGATGCGATGTGGCGCGTCACAGTGCTGATCAACCAAGTGCCGTGAGCATACCGGATGCGTGGCTTCTCCTCACGTACACGGGTTCTTTTCAACCTCCCAGCCATCGCGGCAACACAGCCAGGCTACAAGTCGGACAACTACTACTTGCTCAAATGGCGTGATGTGGCTTATATGTAAGATGCCATCATTTGCACCGAAATATCGAGGCCTCGCGGTGCAAAGTTTGATTCTTGGGTTCAGGCTCATTGACATCTGTATGGTCTAGTCATGCAACGTGGGCTCCAGAGGCCTGGGTAGAACGCACCCTGAAACGTCGCCTCAAGAATTTTAAGGTTGATCTTGCCATCCAATTACTGCTCCTGTGAACCATCGCTTTATCCCATCCCTATTGCCACCGTATCCAATCAAACACCGGAAGCCATTAAAATTGTTGATTGTGCACCCACCTCTCTAGGCACGGCATGACGAGGGTGAGCTGGACCAGGCAGAGGATTGGGAGTCTGTGGTACCACGGACATACTGCATCGTCGGCCGGGTTCTCGCCGAGTCGCAAGATGAGTCCAACGATCGCATCGTGGTGCTCGTTAAATGGCTGGGCCTGGAACACAGCGAGGCAACTTGGGAATACAAAGACGATATTCAGGTTGGCGTGTCATTTCTTTTGGGGGTTTCGGGCTTGATCACCATCATCCATCATGCTCTTGATCTACGAACGCAACCTCATTGCATGCTTTTCGACAGGATGTGACGGGCTTCAAAGAGGCCATGGCCCAATTTGAGAAGCGCCGCAAGGGGATCGCCGAGGTCAAACCGCCGCCACGCCGTCAATTTCGCTTTAAAGTGCGTGTGCTCCCTCATTGGCGCCACAGTGCAAGTGAAAAATTATCCTGGTTTTGAGGTTGACGATCAAATGACTTCCTTGACCTGACCTCATTTTGGCTGCTCGGGTCACGCATAGTCGTTGAAAAAGCAGCCGTCGAACATTAAGCATGGCGAGCTTCATGACTACCAACTGGAGGGACTCAATTTCCTAATTTTCTCATGGATGCGCAACCGCAACGTGATTTTGGCCGATGAGATGGGGCTCGGGAAAACGCTGCAGACCATTGCGTTTGTCTCGTGGCTAAAACACACTGCACAGCGCGGGCCGTTTCTGATTGTGGCCCCGCTTTCCACGTGTCCCAATTGGGAGCGCGAGTTTGCCCAGTGGGCCCCCGATGTACGCGCGCGAATCCTTTTGTCATGCTTGGGGAGAGGAAGATTCTGATAGGATATTTCTGACGTGCTTGCTGTTCGCGTACTTAACGCATTTGTCTTCTCAAATCGCACTGGTTTCCATCGCAACCCGCAGCTGCATGTGGTCACGTTCATTGGTGGCGCAAGCTCACGCGAGGTACGAGTCGAGGGGGACGGCCGTGCGCAGGTGTCCAATTAAGAAAAAATGCTCATCCATGATGCGCGTGCGGCACGTACAATCGGGCTTGCTACGCTCTGGATCAGGTGATCAAGCAGCACGAGTTGTACACTCCGGGCAAAACACGTCGCCGTCGATTCGACGTTATCATCACCGCATGGAATGTCATTTTGAGCGAGGCTGCTGTCTTTCGCAAAGTGGTGCGGTAAAGCTGCTCTTGTGTCCATCGGTGCGCAGACCGGCCTGACAGCACACATTGCAAATGCTAACGAGTCTGGGTTGTCGTCTGGTGCGCAATGATCATAGAAATGGGACTTGTTGGCAGTCGACGAAGGTCACCGTCTCAAGAGTAGATCATCACAGCTCACGACTGTGCTAGAGAGCTGTACCAGCGATTTTCGCATCCTACTGACCGGCACGCCGCTACAGAACAATCTGCAGGTATGAGCAAGTTCCAGCGGAATTAATTGGCTTGCATGGGTCCTTGGGCAGCGGAACGGCGATTGAAAAGGGACCTGCTGGCGCGTAGCGCTCACATGTGGTGACGGCTGGCTGGTCAGGAACTTTACAATCTCCTCATGTACCTGAATCCAGAGGAATTCAAAGAGTTTGAGGGGCGTGAGCGTTTGTCTGACGAGGAGACCAAAGAGGAAATTGCGACGCTCAAGCCCAAACTGAAGAAGCACATGTTGCGTCGGCTCAAGACCGATGTCTTCAAGGTTCGCAGCAGCCTGGGTTGCTTGGGTTGCCATGTCAGCTGGCTACTTTTTCATTGTTTACGCGCATCTGTTAGGACATGCCACAAAAGGTTGAGGTGGTGGTTCCCGCCAAGCTGAGTAGCATGCAGCGGCGCTTTTATAAAGAGTTGCTGGCCAAAAACTATTCATTTCTGACGGCCACCACGCAAGGCGTCAGTTCACTCAATAACCTTCTGATGCAACTGCGCAAATGCGCCAACCACCCATACCTCTTTGACGATGCCGAGCCTGAAGTGGAGGACCACGACGCCATGGTCAAGTTACTTGTCGGGGCCTCGGGCAAAACGCTGTTGCTGGACATGATGCTGCGCAAGGTGCGCGACGTTTGCTTGGGGGCGGATGTGGCATTGCAGGGGCCTAGGTTCAAGGCGGCTCTCCACGTTGAGACGCATCGGTCCTGCCTCACACTTGAGTGCGGGTTTGCATGTCGTAACTGTCACAGCTCAAGGAGCAGGGCCACCGTGTGCTGATTTTCTCACAAATGACGCGAATGTTGGACATTCTGCAAGACATCATGATGTATCGCGGTTATCACTGTTGCCGGTGCGCACATTGGTGTTTGTTTGCGTGCTTAGGACGGCGCACACCCTCCGATCGACCTGTTTGGTCGACTAGCTAGGCTTGCATCTTATGCGAGGGTCATGAACCGTGCTGGCATGCTTTTTGGCAGGCTGGATGGCAACACGGATATCTTGACACGCCAGGAGCAGATTGATGAATTTTCCCGGCCAGACTCGGACGCCTTTGTATTCCTGCTGTCCACTCGTGCCGGTGGCTTGGGCATCAATCTGACGACAGCAGACACCATCATCATATTTGATTCGGATTGGAACCCCCACGCTGACTTGCAGGTGTGTCGCGCAAGCACGAGCTTGAGTGGAAGAGGATATGATTGCTCATGGCAGCGTGCCCTGATTTTCCATCATCATGTTTCTATGAATTGGCAGGCGCTCGCTCGGGCACATCGCATTGGCCAGAAAAACCTGGTCATGGTCTACCGGTTCGTGTCGGTCAACACTGTCGAAGAGCGAATTTTGCGTCGAGCCCGTGAGAAGCTGCGGCTGGATCAGGTGAGCCAGCATGCCCGGCGCTGACACGTTGACGTCGTATAAACAAGCGGCAAAGGCAGGAATGCTATCGATGTTTTCCTCCGCAACTCTATGTGCTGACGGGACTCTGCTGCTGCTGCTGCTGCTGCCGTTGTTGTTGCTGCTGCTGCTGTTGCCGCGCTGCACGCGTGCTGGTGCAGGCCGTGCGCATGGACAAGCTGAAGAAGAGCGAACTGGATCAATTGCTCAAGAGTGGAGCGCAGGGCTTATTTGAAGTGTGTCATTGCTTCGAGGAGTTGTTCTTCAATGTCAGACTGTGCGGCACGTGGCTCACATCGTCTTTGCATCTATCTGTCTGTTGGTCCTGTCCTGGTCCATACAGGAGCAAGATGAGGCTGAGATTGTCTATGATGACAAGGTCATTGATGCTCTGTTGGACCGTGAAAGCCAGGCAAAGAGCCGCGAGGTTTGTGCCCCTTGCATGGCACCCAGGCTTTTGACGCTTTGGCTTTGGCAGCCATCATTGATACGGTACATTTGTAAATCTAGGCGCAAGAGCAATCCGAAGCCGAGATAGCCCAGGCGCAAAACGATCTCTTTGCTGACTTCAAGGTGGCACAGGTGTGTGATGGCGTCTGGGAGTCGGGCCCCCAGTGCGGGCATGACTGCTGCCACTGACCTTTTACGCTTGATCGGTTGGTCTGTAGTTGAGCACGGACGCAGGCGCAGGCGATGAGGCACCGGTGGGCAAGGAGGATGGGGCATTGGCCATCTCGACCGATGACGACGAGTTTTGGCAAAAGTTGCTCAAGGACCGAGCTGCCGCGGTACGTCCTCATCTTGGATCGTTCTGCGTCTATGGTGACAAGCTCGCCAGCAGACTTGCCGATGTGAAGGGTGCTTGATCAGTTCACAATAAACCTGGTGTGTCTGCTGAGGCATTGCAGCTCGAGACGACCAAGGAGGAGGAGCAAAAGCTCGGACGAGGACAGCGCAACCGCGCACCTCCAGGGCGTAGTCGAGGGTAAGTCAAGCCTTTTTTTTTGATGAAATGTTGAAAAAAAATGAAAGGGTCTGTTGTTCACGCTTGTGCCCATGCTATGACCGATCTAGCTTGGATGGCGAGAAAGGAGGCAAGGGCCGAACCCACGGCGAGGCAGACACTGATCCTGAGATGGCGCGGGCGCTAGCTGAGAGCCGGCGCGAGGCCGAGCAGTCTCTTGCTGAAGGGGGATCGGAAAGTGGGACTGGAACTGCCGAGGCCGAGCAGCAACCCGATGCCCAGCCCCGGGTCATTGGCAATGGACTACGCTCTTACGTGATTGGCCCGGCGCCGGCCAGGCTTCAGCCTTGCCAGCCAAACCTCACGTATGAGCTCCAAGATCCACAGTACGCGGCGGCGCTGGCCCAACTGCACCAGCTGGAGGCTAGCAGTGGTGACTCAGCCAAGTGTCTACCGCTGCCCGTCTGCCGCACCAACGCTCACCCCAAGGTCTGTCAGTGGGGTCGCATGGGTGAAGACTGAGATGCCAGCGTCAGTACCTTGACAGTGCATTCTTTTCTTACTCTCTGTTTGTGTATGTGTGCATGTGGGTGTGTGAAATGTAGATCTTGTGGAAGATTCTGCGGCAGACGGGGCTGGTGGCCACCTTCAAGCCCAACTTCAAGGAGTTTGTGCTGCTGCCTAGCTGGTACTTTGGCAAACCGCGCTGGCTCACAACCCACTTTAGTCTGGCAACGCCGCCGCGTGGCGCTGATATCTATCGCGAGGTATGCTTTCATTCAAAGTCGTATGTGGGGTATCAGGCCTGCATGCAGGGCCTGGCTGCTGCTCGTCGCCATGGAGCTCACGCTGTCCCGCATGTACTTGGATGCTGGTTTCGCTCGGCGTGGTATCGCATGGTAGTTTCGGATGCAGTATTTAGCCAAGCAAAAGATGCGCAAAACCGCAAGCAAGAACATGATCCGGGACGAGTGGATGAGCATGGCGGGTTTGCAGCGGGCACCCTTTCTGATTCAGGCGCGCAGTATGAACCAGAGTTTCCAGGCGTGGCGAGCTGAGGCCGAGGCTTGGGTACGGGCGCGACTGGAGCGCAATAACACGCTTCAAAGCACGTTGATGATGTGCAGTGCACGTCCGTTCGTCGCATTGGGCCACCCGCGCGCCGTGATTGAATCGCTGCTGAGCCCGCACGACCTGACATGGGAGAGCGTTGATCTAGCAACCATGCCGCCTGTCATGACCGACGTTTTGTTTATGTACGAGTTATCACCAAACATGGACATGGCCGTACCCTACGACGGGGTGGAGTGGACGGATTTTCGCTACAACGACATCAAGGTGGCGGAATGGCCCAACGTGGTGCTTCAGTGCGCATCGGCACTACGCCACACAAAAGGTCATGTGCCCATGCCGCCCAACTGGAATGCAGGGCACTACAATGTGCACTTGCCGAGCATTCGGCTCCGGCTGCGAGTTTTTACTCCAAATAGCGAGGGCAAGCTTTGCCCGTCCGGGCGGGCGCTCAGCCTTTCCGTTTCCCTGGCAAAGCTGGCCAGCATGTCTCCTTGGAACCGCATCTTGGCAGCGCACACTGCCAGCGAGTTGGAGCGACTGCGGGCCGAGGAGGAGCAGTGCCAGACACAGCTTGAGCACTTGAAGCGGATGCACTTTCCCGTGTACGAAGACGCACCGGCCGAGGCGACCACGCCAGCGCCAGCACCCTCGAGTTCAGCTGCCAGTGTTTCCAACCCGGCTGTGACAGCAACTGCACCGACGATGGGTGCGACATCCAAGACGGGGGTTGCACCTACGCCGGGACCTACCTCCTCCAGCACTGGCTCACACACGCCACGCTCACCACGCGCGTCGCCACCCCGCCACGGTTGCATGCAACGGCCCGAGACTTGGGAGGATTTGGCTGGTGTCGCAGATGGAATACCGGCCGCCAAGGTAGCCAAGTCAGACGCTGCTGGACCTTTGCGATTGGGGGAGGCGTTTGGCCCATGGGCAGGGCAGGCCATTAGCAAGCACGTGCGTGGCGATAGCTATCCCCGGCTGGAGAAGCTACAGGTGCCAGTGCATGGATATCGTGTTCTGGGGTGCCCACACACGGGCAACGCGCACCACGTGTGCAGCGTGGGATGCGCTCTCCGGTTTGGATTGTTGGCACCCATGACGGCAGCCTGCCCCGAGTTGTTATCAACCTGGGGGCTGACGGCCCAGCTGATGGACGTGCATGTCCGACATCAGCCGGGCACGGAGGAGTACCAAGTGGCGGTACGCGAGCTGATGCGCGAATGTGACATTGCCCACGCTCAACTCTCGGGCCTCATCACCGAAGCCGCCGAACTCACCAGCCACGTTGACCCCGAGCCATGATCTTAAATGACAACGGAACATGAGAACAATTTTTATGGATGTGCACATTGGCGCGATTGTGCGTATGGGGCTGAGCCCCTCCCCACACCTTCATTTCTTTGAAACTCGTGTGGTGGAACGCGCTGCTTCGTTATTCAAGAGATGCTGTTGAGTAGAATGCAAGCATTGACACAGGCACAAGTGTGTGTATGTGTGCGTGTGTGTGTGCGTTGAGTTGATGAATGGCAATGTTGAATCTTCACATCCTGATGTGAGAACAGTACAATCACCAACGTCCTCCATCACATGTCGACACCAGGCACGGGGCGGGCGAACAGACAAGGATGACAAGCACAGAGATGAGCCCACATCAATAATTTTCTGACATTTTTACAACAGTTGTATTTGTGGTTTATATACAATCTTTTTCTCGTTGGACTTCTTGGAGATGTTGCGAGCTAGCCATGACCTAGTGGTCTGTGAGCTTGGCCGCCACAAAGACTTATCCATCACACGATAACAGTGCCTTGCTGGACACTTGTTACTTTCCTATGCGCTTTTGCTTTCTGTGCCCCCCCCCCATCTTCCCCTTTGCCTATTTTCCTCGTACGCCCCTTTTCAGCGTCATTGAGCCCCACGGGCCACTACCAGTTTGCTTTCAAGCACAAGTTTTCACGTCGGATGGTGTCAGATTCTGCCTTCGACACGGTCTTTGACCGCCTGAGCACACGGATTGTGATGCTCCTTTCAAGTACTATTACATGCGCACGACACGTCCCTTTGTCCCGGTGCCTTACCCATGCTTGCAGTAGCATTCTACTTTCTGTTTCGTCGACAACGCCACCGGCTCACAGCGAGCGCTGCTCAGCGTCGACGTTCTTCCTTTAATGACGATTTCGATAAGCAATTTCCCCCCTTTCTTCCGCTTTGCTCCCGTTGAATGATGATGATCATCGGCATCCTTGCGCTCTTCATGAGCACAAGCAACCTTGACTACGATATCTTCCCAACGACAGTTGCAGTTTACATTACAGACCAGCATCAGCGAGCCGCCTTTGTGCAAACCCTTGTGCTAGGACAATAATGGCCTTCTGTCCTTACTACTTCTTCAATGGCTACAGATCAGCTCCGACCCCCTATTCCTATGTCCCCTTTTCCCCTTGCCGTGCCCTTGTTCGACAACATGTTGCCCCACTATTCAATGTCCCCCCTTCTTCAGACCCCGATTGCTCGTCCCTACGATGCCAATTCTCAACAATCTCGTTGCCCGTCCTCCTCATGCGGACGCCTCCCTGCTTGGCCTTGCGCCCAACAGTGCATCCCTGCCATTCCCGCCAGCACAAGCTTTGGTTGGACGCCCACCCACGCTTGGTCCCACGATACCCTTCACCCCCAATTTCAAGTCGGTGACGTGCGAGCAGAGATGAGCACGACTGCGCCACGATCCCTGCGTCCCCGTATTGGGGGTCGCTGCAGTACGATGATCTCTCTTGCTCCCCCCTCTTGAACGACCCTTGATTCCGTTGCTTTGTCCATGTATACGACGTCCGCAACCGTCCCCTTTGCCCACCCATCAAGTTTCGAGCCGTCCAGTTCCCGATATTACGACTTCCTTGCCCTTGCCTCGGCAACAACAGCTACGACCCTGTACCCGCCTTTCTCTCTCTCTCTTGCCCCGTTTGTCCTTTGGTTCCGAAGCCCAGCTATCTCCACAACAAATAGGCTTATCTTTGATAGATGAGTCATGGCCAGTTCCTTTGACGATCCTTTGGTTGGGTTGGTTCAAACCGTCCGGACAACTGTCTGGTGCCGGTCCCGTTTCCGCCTTTGGCCCTATTCTTGCACCCAAGTGCCTTGGTGTAGCCCTGTTTGTCCCATTGCCTTTGTCGTAGTCTTCGCGTTGGCATCGCTGTCATGGCGTTTGCCCGCTGGAGGACACTGCATATCAGTGTAATGTCGTTTGGCATCCTTGGGGTTTCTACACGAGGTTGAGGTACACGAGTGGGTTGGAAATGGGACAGTATCAGCAGTTGGATGTTGGTTGCGCTGTGTGCTTGACCCTGCTGCATCAACACCAGATTGATTCTATAGTTGTAGCCCGTCCCATGTTGGGGGGAGGCAGCCCACACTTGGTGTGTGGCTCCTCCTTGGGCTCTCAGTCTGACCTATATGATAGTTTGACCACACGAACAAAAGGGCGACCGACCTTCCTTGCTTGTAGACGGAAGAGACGCTGACAGCTCTTTGTGGGGGGCCAACCCTTTGGGGTTTGCGGCCCCCCACAAAGAGCCCACGCTGTTCTGCTTTGCGAGTCATGAGAAGGAGACGCGTTCTTCTAAAAAGTACGAATAGGCCCCGTTGATGGAGAAAACCCATGATGATATACCACCTTTGCTGTGCGGCGCGGAAGACCGAAAGATACCTGTGTTTAGAAGGAAAGAGATCCCCTATGCAACGATGAAATGACGCGACCAGCACATTGCCTTTGCACGATGCACATTCCTATGGACCCTTTGGGGGACTTGGGGTGGTGCTCTGCACTTTCCGTCCGTAAGGTTCGGTTATGATGATGATGATGTGTGATTTTGGACGCTCTTTGATCGCTCTCACCTCCGAGGATGAGGGAAGGACAAAAGTGGCGAACGGATGGCATGCTTGATGGTTGAGCCCTTGGATGGCCTGTGGACAAACAGACGCAAACGGAATGTTATTGAGAAGCTTGTTTGAAAGAAAGCAGATTGGATTGATGATTAGGAGGATGCTGGTAGATGATGGCCAAGCTGGCTTGGTGTTTGACCGCAAGGCCAACACACTTCGAGCCGGCCACCTGTCCTCGCCCGATCTCTCGATTCTGCTCCCTTTCTCTCGATTCTCGACTTGAGCTCCTGTAGGCACGACCACTGAAGAAGCCGTCCTGGCTTGGAATTGGGTGGTATCGTGTGGGTGAAGTGTGGGTTGTGTGCGGCCCAACTAAAGCCTTGTGCTGGGGCATGTGGGTGCATCTGGTGGGTTGGCCAAGCAGGTCGAGTGCTGGAACAAAACAGTATGTGGATGATGGATGACGTGTGTCCTATTACGATTGTTGGTTGAGGTTGTCGTGGCTGGACGCTTTGGAGAGCAATATGGATGTGGCTGTGAGTGAAGAAGCTTTTGGTGTGTGGATATCGAACGGGTGTCGTGTTGGTTGGCGGGGTGTATGCAAAGGGTTGCAAAAGGATGGAGTTGGGGTTTTGTGCAGTTTGTCTGGATTTGCGGTTTGTAGAGAAGAAGCAGTGTGTGTGCGACAAAAGGTCTCTTTGTCCGTGTGGATCAACAAGGGTGTGTGGGCTGGCTCCCACTTTGGATGATGATGGGTCTGTGAGCGACTGTGGGTCGTTGGTGGTCGCGTGTTGGCCTGGTTGGAGTATGTCAGTGGTTGTATGCGTTGATGCAGAGCACACCAGCAGATGTGTGTGTGTTAGCAGAAGAACAAGTTGTAGGCCAGAGATTGCGCTTTGGAAGCGTTGATGAAGTGACAGAGCGTTGGTTTGGATGCGCGCTTGAAGTGGTCGTATCCCTTTGGGTGTGGGCGTTGTGTGTGTGGAAGCAGGAAAGCTGCCTTGCAATGGTGATGATGATGTGGGTAACGTTGTTGGTTCAAGTTTCTGTGTCTTGTCAAGTGTATAAAGTTTCTAGTGTGGTCGGCCTGGTGCCTGAAGGACCTTTGGTGCCCTCCCCGCTGTGTGAGTTTGTGTGAGAACTGGTGTGTGGCATTCTGATGTCATGTAAGTGTGTTGGTGCTTTGGCGTCCTTTGGTGTGTGTGTGAGGAGACGTGAAGGGAGTGTGTGCGTGTGTGGCAGAACAAAGGCGTAATGTTCCTTGGAAGGTGACGCGGGTGTTTCTTGTGCGCTGTCTTTGTGAGATCTCCAGCAAGAGGCGTGCCCCTTGGGGCCCAAGCCTTGTTTTTGGCCTCCGACACACCCGGTGACCTGTTCTTTTTTTCTTTCTTTGCTTCGAGGCAGGGGGGGGGGACGGCGAGGCTGTTTGACTCGAGAGCTACGTATGTGTACTACAGGTGTGTGCTGCTACTCCTTACGTGTGCACCCTCCTTGTGATAGTTGTTCTTCTCTCTCTCTTTCTGCTCTCTTTCTTCTTCTCTCTCTTCTTCTTCTCTCTCTACTCCTCACTTTTACATTTGGACGTTAAAGGCGGTGCGCGCTGTTTTTCACTGCGGTCATGGCTGAACTTGACGCACACAGGCCCGAGCCGAAGCGGACGCGGCGTGCTGCTCGTCATCAGGTTGGACACGTGCTCCCCCCGCTCTCCTCTCTCTCTCTCTCTCTCTCTCTCTCTCTCTCTCTCTCTCTCTCTCTCTCTCTCTCTCTCTCTCTCTCTCTCTCTCTCGCTCTGCCCCATGAACTCCCTTTGCAATGAATTACACGCGTAGGAAACCGAGCGGCGGCGGCGCATGGGCATCAACAGTCTGATTCAGGAGATTCATCAAGAGCTGGGTCTGCCTTCCTCGGCCACCAAGGTTGATGTGCTCACGCAAGCCGTTGCTCTTCTTCGAACGCGCCAGCAGCTGGCCCGCCAACTCGCCGACCTCCAAGCCGAAAACAGTCTCTTGCGTGCCGACAATGTTCGCCGTCGTGCCCCCGCTGATGCACAGGCTCCCTCTGAACGGGCCACCACCGACTCGTTTCAGCGCCAGGTGACCAGCTCCTCCGAGAACGACGATGTGGATTGCTGCCACCAGATGGGACTCTTGACCGCCAACGAGGTCCAACACCGGCAACTCCGCTCTGCAGCCGCCCGCGCACAGACCGCTGCGCGCGCCCGTCAATATCACGCCTTTATCAAAGCCCACCCCCCCGTGCTCCCCCGCCACCCGAACCGCCACCACTGGGACGGCAGCAGCGAGGACGTTGAAGACAATCCCGAGCAACTGGCCCTCGCCCTCGCCCTGCCCCCCTATCCTGACGCTCAATTTGAGGTGAAGAGCTGCCGCAAACACAACTCGACAGGCGCGATTGAAGTGGGCGACGACGACGACACTCTGTGGCCCGACATCAAGCCGTGGGACCTGTACGACTTGTCCCTTGACCTTCAATTACACTCGTCCCTGGGCCGGGATCTCTCCCGTGGGCTTCGCCTCCTCGAAGCCAACAACGCCCTCCTCTCCATTACCGGCGCCACCTTCAACCAACTTCAAACCCTATGGACTGACCCGACCTCAGCAATCTGGGACGAGTATCCGCACCTGGCCCAACTGTTTGTGCAGCTCGTCGAGCGCCGGGGCTCCGTGCTACGGTTTCTGGACCGCTTTCGCCGCCTTAATGATAACAGTGAAATCTGGGTCTACTGCGTGGCCTACATCCTGCCCGAACGGGCGACCCTTTCTACCTCGCTCGAAGCCCAAACCAGCACCAGCACCTGCGCCACAGACGCCGCCGCCTCCACCACAGCCTTCTCTTCTTCCACGGCCTTTTCTTTTTTCTCTTCTTCCTCCCTCACTTCCCCGACTGCACCGCTCATTGCTTCAACCACCATTGTGGTCGAACGTCCCCTTGACAATCAGTCCTTTTCTAGCATCGAGTAAAGCCGACAGCGTCGAGCGCTCCTGTCCCGCTCTTGCTCTCGCCCCCTAGGTCAAAGCATTGCCCGTCCATCATAGTCCTCTTTGCGCTGCGCGCAGCCTGGTCGTTGGCCATCTCCCAAAAATTCATATCGGTTATACACTTAAAGCATCACCCTAGCAATTGTGCAAATATCATCAACCTCTCGTGCACAGTCCCTTGCGCGCACCAAAAAACCAGTACTCGACACGCCCTCGGTCCCTCCCAGCGACCCAGTCTACAATGTGGTGTCTACCCGAAGAGTCGATCGGCCTGGCGAGATCTCTCCCTCTCTGTCGATTGCTCTGTCGATTTCTCTGTCGATCTCTCTCTGTCGATTGCTCTGTCGATCTCTCTCTGTCGATCTCTCTCTCTCTCTCTCTCTCTCTCTCTCTCTCTCTCTCTCTCTCTCTCTCTCTCTCTCTCTCTCTCTCTCTCTCTCTCTCTCTCTCTGTGTGAATGGGGATGATCGGGGCGAGGCAATGCCGGCTGCAGCCTTCACTCGCCAGGAGCGGCAGCGGCAGCTTGAAGGCGCTACCCATGCTTCCGCGTCGGGTTCCTCGAGCTCGAAACACGCACAGCGCCGTCGCCTTCAGGAGGCTCGCCCAGGGCGCAATCCGGCGCAGGATGCTCAGACCGTACAGCGCAGCCTTGAAGAGGCCGCCGAGCTTGAACGTGAATTTGAACGTGAATTGAGCGCCTCGCCCGCCTCCCTGCCCCGTCTCGCCAGCCTGCACCCCGAGGGATCCAGCAGCGCTGCTGATAGTGAAAGCAGTTCCCAACCCCTCTCCAGAGTCTGGTCCACCACCGATGCTCAACCCGCAGAGCAAATGGACCCCGAATCGCCGGCTGCAGCCACATCTGCCGCCATTTCACATGCCTCCCCTGCGCACAACGCCCACAAGCTTCAGCTCGGGTTTGTCGAGATTCCCCTTCAAACCATTCGTACGTCTCTGCTCCCACCCCTTCCCAACGCGAATGATCCCATCGCCCTTGCGCGCCTCGCTCACCTCCTGTTGCTTGTTGGCATCGTCATCACCGCCATCACCGCCATCATGATTGTTGTCCTGCAGAGTTCCTCGAGCTCGTGGGTGGCGGCCGCTTTGGCTCGGTGTACCGCGCATTTTGGGATGGTCGCGAAGTCGCCGTCAAAAAAACCGTCTGCTTTGATCGCGAGGTGAGCCGCCGATCCCGCCCACCCGCCCATCCATCGCATGGCCTCGTCTCTTTTGGCTTGAACGCACGGGAAGCAATTGGGGTTGCCCCCATCCGCCCTTGCTGCAGCGACGCTCATCCATCGGCCGTGAAACGATGCATCCAGGCCCAACTCTTGTCCCTTATCCGACACAAGAACATCATTACCTTTTATGGTGCTTGCACGGCCGCCCCAAATTCCTGCCTCGTCACCGAGTTTGCTAGCCAGGGGTCTCTCTACCATTTTCTTGAAGGTCTTGTTTTCGGCTGTATTTCCTTCGCCCCCTCCTCGCTATGCACGAGACACCCTCTGCAGGTGCCACCCAAAACCCAAGTCCTCACATCGATCGCCCCCGCCCTCTCCCATCATGCCTCTGTGCCAACCAACATCAACCTTTTGCAACCAACGCTCAGAGGTCGAGTTTATGGAGTGCGAGCAAATGATCACGTGGGCCTCGGACATTGCAGCCGGTCCGTTTGCACCCCTCGGCGTCCCAGTCAATCGGCACGATCTTTGTGTCGATCATCACCAACGCCACTGACGACATCGACGCGTTGATATCTGCTCGTGTCAACCTCTTGTCTTGGAAATGCAGGCATGCGTTACCTGCATCACGAAGCCCCTGTGCGCATCATCCATCGTGATCTCAAAAGCCTCAATGTCCTCGTCACCGACGACTACACACTCAAAATCTGCGACTTTGGCAGCTCTCGTCAAGTCAGCCGTGACACCAAGAGTGTCACCTCTGCTGGCACCGTGTCTTGGAGTACGTATCGTTCAGCCACGCTCCTTCGATAATGCATCAATAATGCATCGCCCCCTCACACTACGGCCCGCTGATTCCCTGCTGCCCAACGCACATCAACTCCTGTACCATCGCAACAGTGAGTCCTGAAGTGATTCGGAACGAACATGTCACAGAAAAGGCAGACTGCTGGAGCTTCGCCGTGGTCGCTTGGGAACTCATGACTCTCGAGGTATCCTCGTCACCACAATTGTGCTTGCTTTGTTGACTTGATGCTGGTCTATGCGCCCTTTGTCCGCATTGACCCTCTTCGCCAACCCCTATGTCATTTCTATAGGTGCCATACGCCGACATGGAGCCGTATTCCGGTACAGTCTCTTGGCCCGCCCAAGCACACGCACACGCACTCTTGGGGTAGATCAGTAGTTGGACTGCGAGACGCACAAATGTATCAAACAAGCATGGCAGTCTTGACGCGTGTCCTCACGGCCTAACCTCTTTCTAGTCATGTGGCTCGTGGCCAAGCACGGCATGCGACTACACATTCCCGATTCGGCGCCGCAAAGGTCAGCTTGGACCGTGCCTCTTGCCGCCCAACGTTTGCCAAGACAACCCCTCCATTTTTTTTTTTTTTTTTTTTTTTTTTTTTTTTTTTTTTTTTTGCCACGGCCATGCTGCTGGGCCGAGGAGGCCACTTACTTTTGCCAAACTATCCCACTGCTCACCCAGATACGCACAACTCATCCGTTCGTGCTTGGCGCAAGACCCTGACAAGCGCCCGGCCTTTACAACAATTGTCAAGGAGCTTGAATCCATGCGGCATGACGGTAGGAACTACCAACCCCCACCCCTTGCGCACCCGTTTGCTGGCCAGGCGCTCAAACAACCAACTTGCTTGCATCAGAGGAGCTCGCGCAGCAAACCACCATCTTTATGCATCAACGTGAACTATGGGTTAATGAACTGGACAAGATCACCTCTGGTACGCTCCGCCCGACAGGAAACTTTTAACACTTTGTCATATCAGTGACCAACCCTCAGTCTTCACCGGCCCACTCAACTTTTGGCCGCCTCCTATGTCTCTTCCACATACATATGCAGCCTACACCACACTTGAGGCTGACTCGGCACAAATTGCAGAGCAGCGTGCACAGCTCGAAGCGGTGGGATCCTCCGACGGGCCATGCAATCATGGCTTTTTGCCATATCTCCCTCTTTATACTCTCATGACACCTGCACCCATCGCTATCCCAAATCGGCAGAAAGAAGCACAAATACAAGCTCGCGAAGTGGCCCTGCTGCAGCTTGTAGGTCACGCGCATCCAGTTGAGAGAGCACGTGCCCCTGTTCCCAAGTTCAATGTTTGTTTCCGGCATTTCGATACAGATTCGCTCAAAGGATTTTGTCTCCCCAAGCTTGGCCACGCCCGACAGTCCGCACCACCAACTCCAGGCAAGTCTATTTTTACCGGCGGGCCTGCTGCAGCACTCGACTTCTGCCCTCTGCTGGACATCGGTCGATCGACCCATACTCATCACATGTCGCCTTTGCAGCGCTCGCCCTTTGTGCACCATGTACCAGCCCTGCAGTGGTCCGTGGATGACGTGGCCAACTGGATCTCAGTTTTGCCAGACGGCCTCAGCCGCTACAAGGTATGACCGGATCAAATGTGAGGACGTGCCTGAGTAAAAGCTGGGTCTTCTCACTCCTGACCTCGATGGCCGCAACAGCCGGTCTTTGAGGAGAACCACATTGACGGACGCATGCTGCTCAACCTGACGTCGGATATGCTGAAGACTGAACTTGATATCAAGAGCTTTGGTCACCGCCGGGCACTCCTAGAGCAAATTCAGTCCATTCAGCTCTCTACGGTATCGAAGCGTTTGGACATTCGCCCCATGCATACCCGCCTTGTGTTGAGGCTTTGTTTTTGTTTTGCTTTGCTTTGTTTTGTTCTGTCTAATCTGACCGTGTCTGTGCCAAGGATTTTCCTCCACTTGCATCCCTGAAAAACACAGAGGCATCGCCCTTCTTCACAGGAAAGGACATGCAACGGGACAAGGTGTGCCTCGTTGTTGCATGCAGACTGAAGATGTTCCCTGCCACTCGGTGCAATATCAAGGCAAACGGCGTTGCTTTGCACCGGGCCCCCATCCAATGGCTTGCTTTACGTTTATTTTCCACTTGTTCTTCCTCTCAGGTTGTTGTGAAGCTGTCGCTCATCTATGAGCATGATCTGCGACGCGAATCATGGCAATGCGTCATTGCCCACGAACTCGGGACGGCAAATTTCATTCATCAGGTACAAGCCAGTATTCGGCAGATTCTCATGCACAACCTCCCTTGGTCCTCTCTTACTGAAAAAGTCGTGGTGCCCTGCCCCGTGTAATCAGATTGAGTTTCTGTTGGAGACACCGGGGCAGCCAAACGACATGGAGGTGCGCGACCAGACTGCGCTTGATGAGGCAGCGCTTTGACATGGCTGATGCAGACCTGATTGGTTGCTCGCAGATTTGTCACACGCCTCCCTTCAAGTACCGGGGCGTGACCAACCCCCAAGCAGACGCCCAGTTGCTCTTGCACATTTACTTCAAGGCCAACTTATTTGGGCGCAAATCGGTCAAACGACGACTCAATATCAACGGCAACCCGCTGCGCGATACCATTGTTGTGCGCCTGACGCCGCGCCCCGGTGCCTACCCTGAGGTCATGCGCCTTTTGGGTGCCAACTACTCTGGGCTTTCACCCTTTACTCCATCGCAGTCTGGACCCGAAGGCGGCTTTGATTTTGCCCGGCAAATAAGTATTGGATCCCAAGCGCACTCTGACACCAGCGTCGAATCGGTGCCCCTCACAGATGGGGAGCTGCGTGCCGCCACAGCCGCGGCCGTGCAAATTGGCCTGATTGGTCCAGGTAACGGAAGTCACAAGCCCCAGTTGCAAACTGGTCCAAGCAGCCCAGGCGCGCATCATGGTACCCCAGGTCGAGGTGTACAGCAGCAGCAGCAGCAGCAGCAGCAGGCCCAAGCACCAACACGCCCAGATCGAGCCGACTCAATCACCAGCACATCCTCTGGTGGTGGCAGTGCTAGTCATCCCAGCAACAACAACAGCGGCAGCAACGGCAGCGGTCTAGCTTCAGGAATAACGGTGTCCCCGACCACAGCGGCCACAGGGTCTTCAACATCAACAAACATAACACCAAGTGGGCATACCACGCGCAAGTCACACCGGCGCAAACGCGTGCCTTTGGACCTGCACCAGACCTCGCACCCATCCTTTGTGCAACGGAATGTGAATAACGCCTGGCAAACGGGCATCAACCCTCTCACCCGCCTGCCCTCTGGCTTGCCGCGTGGTACGGCCGTGGTACAACATCAACGAGACTCGGCACCCGGCATTGTCAACAGAGCCCAGCATCGACCCTCGAGTGAGGAGCTGGAGGGCTGGTCTTTAAGTGCAGGTGGGCATGCCACGCTTACCCCGAGTCGCAGCACGCACTTGGCCGGCATGGACTACAGCGTTTCACGGCTGAGCCAATCGCCGTTCAACAAACTCGATGCGAACAAGGGCCGGGGGCGGGCACCGGCCAGCGACAAGACCAAAGTTAAGGGCCAGGCTCGCTCCCTGCGTCACGTCCCTCGTTAGTGGGTCAAGCCATGCGTGCCAAAACTGTTTGGCTCAACAACCATCGAGTATTCCTGACATCCCGAAATATATTTCGCGGCGACAAAAGGTTGAACGACCGAAGAAAGTTGAACTCTATGTGCGTCTCCCGTGGGCTGGGCAACCAAGTTGCCGGCCACGGCCATGGAGAGGCTTTTTGCCGTGCTTATTATTTTCAATGCTTTTGCTTTGTGGGCTATTCTTTGCAAGAATCGAGGCTGCCCTTTCCATTCCTCTTTGCGCTTCTCTGCCATCCACTTGAGCGCCTTTAACTCAACTTCCAACAACCGCCAAACCAGTCCAAAGGCATCGAGGTGTGCAAAGAAGTAAACCAACCAAGCACTGGCACACCCCGCTTGTGCGAACAAAAAAATCAGCGTGAGGTTTTCTCTCGCTCTTTAATTTCTCTCTCTCTAAATCTCTCCTCTCTCAAATCTCTCCCCAAATCTCTCTCTCTCTCTCTCTCTCTCTCTCTCTCTCTCTCTCTCTCTCTCTCTCTTTCATTTTCTTAGCAACAAGAAGCAGCGTTAGAAGACAGAATCAAGATGACGGGGGTGCAGGAGGTGGTGGTGGCGGCACAGGAGACGGCATCGTCGGTAGATTCCGGGTCCGGGGATGAACATACACCGGTGGAAGAGGCGCCGTTGAGTGCCACTCAGCAGCAACTGGGCCTTCTTGCGCAAGGATTACGGGCTGCCGTGGCGCAAAGTCTGGTCTTGGCCGATGGCGCCGCCAATCAGCGGGAACATGCGCTCGACGCGCTGATGGCCCGTTTGTACGATGAAGCCACCATTGAAGACTTAGCCAATGCGTTGGCGCAGGGTCGAGCCGCTTTCCAGCCCCAATGGACTGATTTGGTGGCCCCGCTGGTCATGCACTTTGATGCTGCCGCTGTGTCGTTGCTGCTGCGGCTGCTGCATGATGGCTACGTCCAGCAGCTTCCGCTCCTAACAGCCTACCTCAGGACACCACAACGCCTAGCCACAACGCCCGCCCGTTGCCTGATTGAGACGGTGCAACCAGCCCCCCTGATGACAGCCATGACTCAACAGGCACACGATGAAGCAAAGGCCCGCGTTCTCGAAGCAGAGGCAGCTGCCCTTCGAGCAGCACACGCCCGGGAAGCAGAGCTCGCTCGCAAACGGGAGCAGGTATGTTCTGAACTTTTCATTGATATTCATTGCTCTCCAGACTCGCTGTCTTCTCGGGCTTTGCCCTGTCCTTGTCGCTTCGCCACGCCATCTCTCACCGTTTCCCTCCACCTCCACTCGCCTTGGGCATCAACGTTTTTAGAGAGAAAGCATTGCAAATTTTATCGAGGCCGCCGATCTGGACGACGCTGCGGCCGTGGACAGCATCGTGGCCCATACGCTGGAAAAACTTAATGTTCGACGTCTAATCTCGGCGGCTTCGGTGGCAGATGCACCACCCTCATAACCGTGCCGGCAGGTGGACCCTGTGTTGTTCAGTTTCCCGCCTTTGCAGTCGCCTCATTTTTTGTTTTTCGCTCTTTTGACTCGCCGCTGTGCGGCCTTGCTGGGGGGAAACCCCCATTCCCATTAAGCCAATCGATATCTGTTCAAGACAAGTCTAGGATCAATTTCAAAACACCGCGTCTCGAAATTGGGTTAGCGCAAGCAGAAGCGAGCTGTTCAGCCAGGCCTGCTCGCACACTGCCACGGCAACTTTTGATCCTTTCGGTTCTTCGAAGAAAGCTTCTCCTCCCCCACTGTGGCGGAGATGCCTTTCAATTTATTGCGTCTGGACTCATTTATCGCCACTCTTGATTTGCCGTGCTCAGCTCAGAGCTGACTCTCATTGAAATTATCAATCTCCCCCAAGGAGCCATCGCACCAGGCTCTAGAAGGCGCTGCTACCGTGGCTTGCTGGCTCAGGTGCACCGCATGCTGCAGCAGCCCCACAGCCTCGGCACTGGAGGCGCGCCTTCCTGGAGCAAAGACCATCAATCGACCCCACAGCTACTCACAAGACACAGCAGCCGCACAATGAGCCAAATTATGGTCAGACTTGCAAGCCCTCGCCGGCAATCAAGAGCCTTACCTCAAAGAGACCTGGCACCTGGGCAAAACCGGTCCGGGCCTCAACACTCAGCTGCAAAGGATAGCCTTGCATGATGGCCGTAGCCACGTTGGCCTCGCTGACCACCTCGACATACGGGGTCTGCCCCATACTCCAGAGCTCGTAAAGTAACACGCCGTATGACCACATGTCACTGGCCGGCGAAAAAGAATCCCGTGCCAGACTCTCCGGCGGTTGCCAGCGCACGGCTGTCTGGATCGTGCTATGTTGGCGGTAATATTCGCCCCCGTGGGCTGCCTCATCATCTCGTGATGGTCCAGACTCAAATACAGGATTTGACGCCATGCCTGCGCTCATATCTGTTGCGGGATCTGGATTATTCTCGCTGCCTTCGGTGCCTCGAGTCAAAAGGCGAGCGTGCCCAAAGTCGCTCAAGACCACCTGCATGGTAAAGCATGATGACCGCTGTCAGTTGGTGGGCTCTCGAATCTGCACATTCCAGCCCAAATAATGGCACTTACTTCCACGGCGAAGGGGTCCGCAACCGCCTGCTGCAGAAGCACGTTACGAGCCGCAATGTCTCGATGAATGATGCCGCACCCATGCTGCCGGGCACACAACACCCCGCCATGACCAGCAAAAGAAGAGAATCTGATGACGTGAGCCAACAGACTAATGGCGAGGTTTCAGGATGGAAGAAAAAAGGCAGCGCAAAGAACAGGCAATAGTAAAGAAAGAATGACGAGCTAAAGCGTCCATACCAGATGCTGCACACCAGAGGCAATCTGGAGTGCAACCGCCACCATCCATCGCTCTGAGAGGAAGTTTTGCTGGCGTTGTGCACGTAAAAAGTCGAGCAAGCTACCGCCTATGCAAACACGATCTCATGTGAGCTATGCAGAGCAGAAGACGCGAACACTCTGCCCTCTCTCCGGGCACCGACCAGGAAGGTGCGGCATAAAAAGCCCAGGTCGACCATCTGGTAGCGTTGTGTGACCCAACAGGGTCACGACTCGATCATGTTGAGCCAGTTGTAGCAACGTGATCTATGAAAACCCGCACCATGCATAACCATCAATATAGTAATACATGTATTATTTCATCGGTTTTGGCAAGTAGTTTTGATTCGTATAAGATGGCGCTCACCTCGAGCAGCATGCCAAGACGATGTTCCTCGGCCGCATGCGTCGCGCATTTTAAAACGGTGTCTTGAGTGCCAAGGAGAGGTGCTCGCACTCTGTATAACAGCGAGCGCGTACCCTTGCGCAACGTCTGCTGGATTTGAAACTCCTCACTGGGAATCAACTTGGACTGCGTGGCAATCAAGGTGTAAGTTATCATGGCTTTGCCAAGTCGTTGGTGCCATGAGATGGCACCCTTACTTTTGGAACAGCAGCAACAGACATGCTGTCAAATTTGGCACCGGCCGTGGGGGAGGTGGTGGTGCGGGCCAGTGCTACTTGCAGCCTGTTGATGAGCGATGAACCAATGAACGGAGAGGGTTAGAGGGAACGCCGAGGGTGGATGCAACTGGCAAGATGTACATCAAGCCGGGCTAGGCAGACGGAGCGTACCGTTGCGCCAGAACTTGCTCGTTGCTCACGTCGTCGAGCCATCTACACGTGAGGTGAAGCAAGTCGGTGAGAAGAAATGGAGTTTGAAGCTTTGGGGTGGCGGGGGGGGTGGGGGACGTTTAAGGCTACGCACGGGATGGGGCGGCGCCGCCGAGCACGCCGGATGAGGATGGTTGCACCGACGGCGCACAAAAGCAGAGCACCTGCAATGGTGGCAAAAACCACGACATGCTGCGGGCCATGGGCCTGACGTGCGGTGGACAGACTGTGCGGGGTTGTGGTACCAGGTAGTCTGGGAGCGTCCGTGGTGCTCTTGGTAAGAATGATCAAATTAGCAAGCGTGTAGCTGGTGGCTAGTTCTGAACCATCAATGTAGGCATGGATGGAAAGGGTGGTGCGATTGAGGTCGTAATGAATGGTTAATCTGTCCTCAACACTGGAAAACCTCCACTGGGGCTGTCCCTCCTCTTCACTGGGTTTGGTGCTGCCAAAGTACATGAGCCGAAGGTAGGTTAGGGTGAAGCACGGAACCACGACCGACTCGTCTTCGCTACGGGCAAACACGTGACCATGATCAAAGCGGACGACCATGCGACCGCTGGTGCAGTCTTTGATCAAAAAGGCCTCGCTGGTGTCCCAGACCTGCGTACACGCTTCCTCATCGTCAGCATCTGGGCAGTCGGGGATGCCGTCACACAATTGAGAGGCACGGTAGGTTGCCCCAGAGCGGCAAGTGAGGGTGACTGAGGTATCAACCACCCGGCAGGAGGCTGCGGGTCTGACGGTGCTAAGACCGAATTCGGAGCTGTTGGTGGTGGTGGTGGTGGTGGTGGTGGTGGTGGTGGAGGAGGAGGTTAAGTCGATGATGGTGGGAGTGGCAGAGGCGCTGCCGGTGGGGTCGGTGGCCAAGAAGGCGTTGCATGGTACAATGGGTGGGTTGCAGGTATCAGGCAAGAGGAGAGCGGCGCAATTTGAACGCATGGCCGAGACAAAGGTGTCAGCACGAAGAATTTGGATGTCATTGCCTCGAACGTCCAGCACATCGAGGCGATTGTTGAACGGCAGTAAATCCGGATGTAAGCGAGTGATGCGGTTGTGGCTAATGTTGAAGTGCCGAAGGCCGGTGAGGGAAAGCATGCTGACGCCGCTAATGGAGGTAATGTTGTTGAAGCTGAGGTCAAGGTGCTCGAGTTGCTGGGCGGCAAAGGTTTTGCGCACGGGGATCTGGTCAATCGCATGATGGCGCACAATTAGGGTCTTGACATTGGGGGGTGCGCCGCTGTCCGGCAAGACGGTCATGGGGTTGGATGCGAAGCGACCATCGCATAGAATGTGCACGCCTTCAGTACGATCAAAGCTGATGCTGCAGTTGTATTTGTCCAGCAAGCTGTGCCCTGCACGGTCAATGTAAAACTGGTTGTCGCCGTGGCAGACATAGCGTGACCAGATGGGGTGACCGCAGTACCTATTGGGGTTTGAGGTTTGATACACACACACAGCGCCCTTGGGCACGTAACGCCTGGAGCCGGCAATGCTACTATCGCAATCCCAGCACCGAAAGTCGAGCCCAGACATCGGCTCGATCTGATGCAAGGAGCACCCCGGAACATCCTGAGTCCAAGTTGACGGTAGCTGGCTCAGCACCACCACCGCCACCACCACCACCACCAGCGTTGACCCCGACCCCCGCCACCCTTGCCAAGTGACCCTCATCCCGAACACCCTCCTCTCCCTCCCGCGCCCAACACACACACACACACACACACACACACACACACACACAACCCACTCTCCCCCTCTCCTTCACCTCGAGCGAAAGGAGGGAGGCAGGGAAGCAGCACGAGGAAGAGCGAGCACAACAGGGAGCGCCAAAATTAAAAATTAAAAATCGGATCAGATGTAAAATTTGAATTTAAAATTTAAATTAAATTTGTGTGTGTCTCTGTGTGTCTCTGTGTTCGTCTGTGTGTTCGCCCTGTGTGTTCGTTTCGGTGTGTGTGTCTGTGTGAGTTCGTCTGTGTGTCTGTGTGCTCGTCTATGTGCCTATGTGAGTTCGTCTGTGTGTCTGTGTGTGTTCGTCTGTGTGTCTATGTGTGTTCGTCTGTGTGTCTATGTGTGTTCGTCTGTGTGTCTGTGTGTGTTCGTATGTGTTCGCCTGTGTGCATGCTCACATGCGCATGTGTGCAGTGTGGGTCGTTGCGTCTTCAAGCTTTCATCAAGGGTTTCCACCTTGGCGAATGATGATGATGATGATGATGATGATGATGATGATGTCTGCTCTGTTCGACCATGAGGTCAACAAGGGCGTTGCGACAATAGCAATTGAGGCAATTGAGTGTGGCAGGACAATTTGAAAACGGACGAGGACGAGAAATCACGACACAAGCCCGAGACCCACCCACCCCCCTCCCGGGCAAGATCACTTCTCCCTAGCTCGGGTGTACTTTTTGAAACGTCTGATCGTTCCAGATAAAAAGTGTTCGGCCTCGATGACGATAGGGCTCACTCGCCGAACAACAGCTTATAGACATCTGGAGCCGTTACACTCTTGACTCTGCTCCGCAAACAACGCGTGAATACTCGCTGCCACGCTTGCAAACTTCTCAGGCTGCTGGCCATAAAATGTGTGATCTTCGAGCAGCGGCTGCAAACCCTTTTTGAACCGGCACACGCGCAGCCACCTCAATGCGCACAGGATAAACAATCTTGGCAGACGATATGCACAGGTCCGTGTAGCTGGATGCAACCAGGATCTTCGCTACCAGCTGCCCACTTTCCGTCAGCGATGCATCATAACCAGGTGCCACGGCATCCTTCACCGCCTCCACAAGCAGGCAGTCGCCTTCATACACGACCACATTGTTTCCCGCTTGCATCTTCATCGCCGCCACGTTCTGACCAGCGGCAGGCCCGTCGCACACCCGTCCACCGCCGTTGGCGCGTTGGCACGCCATAAAAAGTACAAAGTCGTCAATTCCAACACGTGAGACACCCCAGCACCATCAGTACAGAATACGCGCTTGGTTGGCCTTGAGGTCTCGTTCTCCGCGTGCGGAACAGTGGTCAAGGGACAATCGTACATGACGCGACCGTCCTTGGTAACACACTTGAGCATGTCCCATGGTCAGATCCAAAAGCGGCATTGATGGAACAGGACCTGTCGTCAACACTTTGAGGTTTTGTGGTTGTTGGAGAAAGCGCACAAGGGAACCGATTTTTATCGGATTTGAGAGCACGCAAGTGGAGTCGAGGCTCAATAAGTTTCAAAGTCCAATTGAGCAAGTGATAACATAGCATTCGCAGCAAATGGATCATCGGACGCAGGATTCGGACAGGGACAATGCCCCACCTGATCGCAGTGGCGAGAACAAAAGGGAGACAGCGAGGGTTACAAATTGGTCAGTTTACAACAGCGGCAAACAAGAAGTGCACAGTTGGATTCGACTCGTCTCCCGCCCATTTAGGTGTTCCGATGGTGGGAAAGCTTCTTGAAGAATGTGTGTGACCGCAAGAAGTGTGCTAAAATTTGCGGGTGGGCGGATCAAACTGCTGGCGCGGACGTGCTGCTTGTGGTGGATTTAGCAGTCGTTGTTGTGGAAGGTCCGGCTAGTGCAGCCGTCTCGAGCTATGGATATCAAGCAACAAGGTGACGGTACAGCATGAAAATCAAAGCCCCTGCGTGAACGCAACCTAGATCTTCAGCGCCCCCTCCCATTGGCCCTGCCCTCTCCAGGTCCTGCATCCCAAAACTACGACAGGAACCACCCATGGGTTTTCACACACCAAGGCTAGGCGATCACCAAATGTCTCGTTAATGAGGCGATCAATGGTCTCGATCAAAACAGACTTGCGGCACGCAGCCAAAGGCGCATTATCCGTGAAGAGGGTGACGTTGGTACACCCACACGACGCCATGGCCGTGGTGGAGATGGTCGAAACGCTGCTGGAGGTGGAGCTGGAGGTGGAGCTGGAGGTGGAGCTGGAGGTGGAGCTGGAGGTGGAGCTGGAGGTGGAGCTGGAGGTGGAGCTGGAGGTGGAGCTGGAGCTGGAGCTGGAGCTGGAGCTGGAGGTGGAGCTGGAGGTGGAGCTGGAGCTGGAGGTGGAGGACGACGGCCCGATGGCAGCGACGTCGTACGCCACGAGGGCGATCGCCAGCATCAGCGCGACGGCAACCCGACCGATCATAATCGTAGGTGAGGGAGTTTCTACCCAAAAAAAAATCAAATCCGAGGTGTGTGAAACGTGACAACGCTTTTACAACACGATAACATGATGTGAAAATGGTCCAAAGAAGTCGTAGCAGCAGAAGTAGTAGAAGATCCGTGATAATGTAGATAAAATTGATTGTCAGATTGTCTGGAAACACTGTCTGACATTTTTTAAATGAGATCGGAGGACACACACACACACACACACACACACACACACACACACACACACACACACACACACACGAGAGAGAGATGGCGGCGTCCGATCAAATGGCAGTGTCGGGTACGATCCGAGCCACGGACGAGCCCTGCATCGTCAAGATGAATAGGATCTTGGAAGGATCAGAGGACGTGGCTTCTCTGGCTCAGGTACGTGCGATGCGTGCTTCGTCGGTCACATGCCGCTGTCATGTTTCGCCGGGCTCACGCTCGGTCATCGGGCACAGGGGGTCACGTATTGGAATCCTCCAGAGGCATGCATGGCGGCTGCGACTGCTGCCATTGGTCAAATGGAGACCAACCGCTACAATCGTGTTGAGGGCGTGCCTGAGCTCACTGCTGCCCTAACACGGTTCGCACACGTGACTATCTGCGCATCGGCGTGTCCTCTGGTACCCGGCCTCACGCCATCCCTGCTTTTGTGCCAGCAAACTCGAAGCCGATAACAAACTCCACAACCAAGGCGTCATGGTCACCATGGGGGCTAATCAGGTTGGCGGGCTTGTAGGATGTCATGCGCCACGCGATGCCTTGCCTTGCCCTCGCCTCACCTGTACACGGCACGTCCACTTTCATGGCCGGCTCGCAGGCCTTTATGAACGTTTTACTGACTCTTTGCGAGCCAGGCGATGAGGTCATGCTTTTCCTGCCGGTAATTCCCTTTGCATCTCGGCCGTGTCCATGGGATCACATGCAATGCAATTGCCGAAACAATTTTTTGTTCAACGTTTCATGGCCCCCGCCTGCCTCCCTTTGGATCCCGATTAGTACTACTTTAATCATCACATGGCCCTTCAAATGACGGGCATGAAATGTCGCAAGGTGGCGCGACGCCCCGACACTTTCGAACTTGGTACGTGTGCAACGCGTCCCTTCGATCAGCAGTCACCCTTGCCAACCTCCCACCGCTTCAAGGACCCGGCTCACCCCCGCTCTTGGCCTCAGACATGGATGCCATCAAGCAGCATGTGTCCGAGTGCAAGGTGGGGTTCCACATTGTGCTGCGCAAGCCTTGAAGGCTCAACTCTGTCCCACTTGCCACTGACACATGGCTTTGGTGCTATAGATGGTTGTGTTGGTCAACCCGTGCAACCCCAGCGGCGCCGTCACGGATGCCGAAACATTGAACGTGCGTCCGCATGCCCTTTGACCTTTGTCTGACAGGCTCGATTCCTTGACAATGGAAGAAAAAAAAAAAAACAGTGATTTTGACACCTTGCGCCGCAATCTTGACAGACTCTCAGCGAGCTGTGCCGCCAGCACAATACCTATCTGGTTGTTGACAACACCTGTACGTTTTTCGGACGTCAGCGTGCACTACAGTTTTCGCACTTTGCCCTTTGCCTTGTGACTGACCGCACCACTGTCCTTAACATAGACGAAGACTTTATTTGGGATGATGCAGCCAAGCACACGTGTGTGCACCACCCGGCCCGTCGTTGCCCAATGCTCCCAACTTGACGGCCAATGTCCCCTTGCTCTGCGCATCGTAGGTGCATTCAAGGCCCCCATGTTCTCAACATCTTTTCCTTCTCCAAGGCCTATGGCCTCATGGGTTGGCGCGTCGGCTACATTGCCTATGAGTTGAATTCAGTGGGTTTCCAATCAGCGAGACTTTTTGTTTTTAAGCTGCAGCTGTGTCGGCGCCTTTGTTGTCGTCACGGTTTCGCTGTAGGACCAGGTACGACTCTAACTTTGTATTACGGCCACGTAGCCGGAGCTGGCGCAATCCCTGCTCAAGGTCCAGGATACCATTCCCATCTGTCCGTGCATCATCAGCCAACGCGCGGCCGTGGCAGCATTGGAACAAGGCAGCACGTGGGTTGCGGAAAGGGTTGCCACGCTCGCTGCCAATCGCCAAGCAGTCCTTGATGCTCTGGCGACGGTGAGTTGACAGCGCAAGCATGCGGGTTGATGCATCGGTTTTGCACCTCACTGGCTTTTGCTGTGGCAGGTTGATGGCTGCCAGGTCTTGGGCCAAGCTCAGGGGGCCATCTACATTATGGTGCGCTTACCCGTCGACGATGACATGCAGGCCGTAGAGTGGCTAGCACGGCAGCACCACGTGGCTGTCATTCCGGGCAGTGCGTGCGGTGCGCGCGGCCACATTCGAGTGGCTTTTGCCAACCTGGACATTGATCAGGTGCGGCCCTTGCGTGCCATCAACCTGGGGCATGATTGCCTCGCGCGCTGATTCAAAACATGCTCACAAACCTGTCCCTCTTGGCGGCTTTGCAGTGCATGGCAGCCACTGCGCGCCTGGTAACCGGGTTGCAAGAGCTGCAAACCCACGGTTCAACTGCATTCAGCCGATCAAGCTAAATCCCGTGTGTTGCTGCCCAAGCCCGAGCTCGAGTGGCGGGGAGGCAGAAGACCCAGAATAATGTGTGGGACTCAATCAAGACCGTCCAGCTACACGCTTCAAGCCACGCTGTCGTCGCCCCTCATCATGCAAAACGAAAGTACAGAACACCAACAGGCTTGCTTGACCGAGCTCAATTAGGTCATTGCATCAAAAAAAAGTTTACACATAGGCACGGTACAGTTGGACAGCCTCCTTAGACGCCGCGATGGTGACCGCTAAAATGTTCATGCACCAACGAGATGGCAGCCAAATGAATGAGTAAAGGCCGGCAGAGATCAAGCCCGACTATTGCAGGCGGTGCTGCCAAGTGCGTCCTCACCTTCTTGAGCGGCGACAAAAAGCACGTGTCCAGCAACAATGTCGAGGGCTTTGTCCTCGCCCTGGGATGACCGAAGCCCACCATAAATGAGAGAAATGCCAGCGAATAGGTGTGCAAAAGGGCACGTCAGAAGTCGACTGAGGCACCTACCCCTGCCTTGTACTGAACGGCACCAGCGCCACCCTGAATCAAAACGATGCTTGGTCCTTGCTCGGCAGGGAGCACCATGGATGTCATGGGCTCAACCTGCAAAACAATGTCATGGCCAGGGCCAGGGTCGGCATGTCGTGCGAGACCGTCAGTGTTTGGATGCCTGGTACACATGGAGCAGTGCGAGCGTCCGTACCTTGGCACCAGCAACAGTAAAGTCGGGGACGGGAGGATTATACACGGAGACGCGGGGCTCATCTGGATGGGGGGCACTGGGGAAGAGTTGCTTCTTGGCATCGCCCGTCTCATAAGTCAACATGTCCACAAGGGTGGGAACGTCCTTGAACTTGGGCGTGCAGCCAGCACGCACCTATCGCGCCGTCATCGAGGATATCAAACTGCGACAGGGCCGAGGCCAAGCGGGAGATGACAAGGGTAGCAGGAGCGACGAGACGCACAACGTTGTCGGAGCAGGCCATGCACTCGATGCAATCGCCGTCGATGTAGGCATGTGGCAGATTTGGGCCCAAAAACATGGCCTCGCCTGGCTGCAGGGTCACAATGTTCAGGAGATACAAGCAAAAGACGCCCACATCGCCTGTCGTTGTACACGTCAAAGTAATTGGATTCGCTTGATGAGCGTGGCCTTGACGAGGCAGAGGGCTAAGGTGGCGTGTCCTGAAATAGCAGCGAGAACAGTCCTCACCTGGGTATTGATCGGCCAGACGGAGGACAAACTGGGTGGTTTCATCGCGTTGATCCACGGGTACAGTCTTGAGGCGGCTCTGCAGATGGACAATAAGGCACCCATACGAACATGAGTCTGGATGGCAAGTCGCTGCGAGCAGCTCTGCAAGATTCATACCTCGAGCGCGGAGAGCTGTGTGGCAATCAGTGTGGTGTCAGCACGCATAAGAGTGCCAAGAAGCTGGGCCAGCGATTCCTTGACAGCATCCTTGTTTTTCAGACTGGCTGCCATGGCATCAGCTACAAAGGCCGGCAAGCATGGCAAGGGAAAACGCCGTAGTGCGTCAGTCGTGCTGCGCTGGGCAGGGGTGGATGCAAGGAAGCCAGTATTATGACGGGGTCAGAACAGACCGGCATCGGCACCCACGACGGCGCGCAGCTCGTGGATGGTCTTGAGGAACTTGGCAATTTCCTCGGGCTCCCGGAAGCCACACATGCCCTGACGCGCGCAGCGTGTGCAAAAGGAACAGATTCACGTCATCAAGCAGTCTGGTAAGCCGAGTGCCAATCGCTTTGGTGCGCGCAGGACAGCGTATGACTGGCGACAGGAGACAAAGAGGTCGAGGGGCGGTCGAAAACCCTCTGGCTCACCATAAAGGGGGTGATGGCAATGGCCATTTCAGGCTTGTGATTATCGTCGGGGTAGTGCTCGGGGTCACGGGCGTGCAGGGCTTCGGCCAGCTTCTTGTCTGGGTGGGCCTGGATGGAAAGGGTTTTATCGACGGAGAGCACTTTGAAAAGATAAGGAAGCTGGCCAGCCTTGGTCACGCTGCCCTTGCTGTAGAGGCGAGCGTAGGCTATAGTGAGTATTGACAAGGGAAAGCTGGCTAGAATTGTGGGAGCTCGATGGGACAGACCTGAGTTCGGGATAGCGCTCCAGGGCTTCGGAGAGGGTGATGACACTGTCGTCGGGCAGCACCACCTTGGAAGGGGCCTTGGCGTGCGTGCCCATCCACAGCTGCGAGCCAAATGAGGTGAGTATACTCAAAAGAGAGGAGAGGCGAGGCGAAGCGGTCGCTGGTGGTAGATAAGTGTAACCCAGGAGAGGATTCCCACCTCAGCGTAGGGCTTGTCGGCGTCGAGCTTAAAGTCAGTGTTACCGGCCTGGGCCAGTTGCGCAACGGCGGAAGCAGCGCCAAGTTTACCCCAGGCGTACTGCTGCACCTCGCAGCGCATTCGCAAAACTAGGCATCAAGCATGGCGGCGTAGCGTGTCCATCATTAAAAGCAGGTGGGAGCGAGAGCAGCCCAAGATTGCGTGACAGAATCTGAGGATTGGCCGAGAGCAGCGCATCGTGGTCTCCTACCGGGATCCATGGTGGCAGGCTAGAAAACTCAACGAAGGAGATGTGGTCTACCGAGACGCGGAGGAAACTGCCGCAAACAGGAGTGGGGGCAAGCGAGATGAGCGGTACGTTGCAAGTCGTCGCGAAGCCAATATGAACATGTGAAAGCGTGGAGCTGGCCAGTGGGACTGCTGCCCTCAATCAAGGGGCCAGACATCCAACGCAGAAGCCGCTGGAGGCCACCAGTGACGAGCTGGTGGCCTCTCACTGAGCAAGATTCGCAGCAAGGGTCAATACAACAAGTGCAGCAGCACGCCAACAGTCTTCCTGCATTCACTTGATTATTGAATAAGCCCCCGTCTACCTTGCCGCGTCAAGGGCCGGGGGCGAGGGGTGCTGGCTGTTCAGTGGCGCTGCCGTTTTACCCCCGCCAACGGCTCCCGTTTCAACACTTTTTGCGTTTTTTATGCGATTTTTGTGTTTTTTTACCTTCAAACGCAAAAAAAAAAAAAAAAAAATTGATGTTTAAGAGACACGGACAGTATTTTGCTGATCTGGCAGAGAAAGGGATTTATGAGGGAAAGCCTCTACACTAAATTTACCTGCAAAACCAGAGACTTGGTAAGAAACGATGCTAAAAGCAGAGGTATAGCAACACGCAAAAAGAGAAGCTTAAATGTCTGACATCCACTTTCGTCTGACAATAGCATGATTGCGCCCTAAATTGTCAGATTTTATGATAACATTTGGTAGTACCTCTCTCTCTCTAAAGCTCTCTCTCAAAAGCTCTCTCTCTCTCTCTGTGGTAGTTGTGCTTTTCCTTTGTGTCTTTGTATTTCTCTCTTTCTCAAACCGACCAAACCAATTCATTTCTCTTTCTCTCTCTCTCTCTCTCTCTCTCTCTCTCTCTCTCTCTCTCTCTCTCTCTCTCTCTCTCTCTCTCTCTCTCTCTCTCTCTCTCTCTCTCTCTCTCTCTAAAGCTCTCTCTAAAGCTCTCTCTAAAGCTCTCTCTAAAGCTCTCTCTCTCTCTCTCTCTCTCTGTCTCCATTTGATGGATTTTTACGGAGAGAGAGAGAGAGCGCGCATGACACCAACGGCGGTGGCGACACCAGCGGTGGCGACGGCGATTCCAAGCCGTGGAGATAAATGCAGAGGCTTGCACTGAACAGCATTGGCTTGATAACAGGCTTTTTCTGAGGTGGTGTTTTCACGAATACCCCTCCGAGTGCATATATATCTTATGGTGTGACATCTCACCGCATCGTGCTCTTCAAGACGACGTGACTTGACCTGTGTGCGGGGACGTTTGGACCGATCAGGCCGGGCCTGGCCGGGCCTTGCCCCTCCCCCTCTAGCGGCAGCATGGACGACGTATGCCTGTCAACGCTCCTGCTGTGATTTTGTTTCTGCTTTGGTTTTTGCCTGGTCGCTGATTTGCCGGCCGGCCTGCCGCATAGGACACCACGAGCATCGGCTCAAACTCGTCCGACTCCTCCAGTCTCGCCTCTGCCCTCTCCTTCATCGATGAGGTGCGTCCTGTCCATCCCGTAAAAGTGTGACCAGAGAGGAGGCCAGTTCCATGAGGTGCCATCTCAATTCATTGTTGCCGGCACACGCTCGCCCAGGGTGTCGATGCGCCTGATTGGGACCTACATGAGCTCAAGTGAGTACTTTGCACCCTTTGGCCCCTTGCATCAGCCTTGAGGGATCGCAACGCTTCGAATGTACTCAGCGCCCATCCTCCGCGTCGCGCGCCCGCCACCATTGTACCCTGCGCAGCGTCAACCCCAACCCGGCCGAGGCCGCAAATGGTGCCGCTCCCCTGGCTCAGCCCGAGGCCCCCGTTGCAGCCCATCACCAGCCCAGCCCGGCCGCGCCAGCTCGGCAGAACCCCGAGCCGGTGGGCTTCAATATCAGTGAACTTGGAGGAGCTGCGCCCCCGCGTCGACCGGTGGCCAGTCCGCCGAATCGTCGACCCGCAACCGGGCCCACAACTCCCATCTCCAGTTCAGCTCGGCATGAGGCTAGTCACACTGGCACGGCCTTTTCCCACCTCCATCGACAGGTAAGACGCAATGCATAGGCAAACAAGCAAGCTCGCCCACACGGCTGGTGAGTCACGCGCCCAACTCGCCCATCTCACCACCGCATTCAACCCAACGCCACAGAACCAAGGCTCTCCCTTGCTATCGCGGCCTCCGGGAGTGCCCGCTCCAGCTGCCCCCAACCCCGCGCATGCCAGGCCTCCGCACCGTCCCAATGGTATGACCGGGCGCCCCGCTCACACCCCTTGGTCTGCCCTGAAGCACTACCGTCATCCCATGCCTGTGCTTTGTTTTGTTTTGTTTTGGTTTTTGCCTTCCCCAGGCGCCCAAGCCGTGCCGCAAGCAGAGCCAGACCCCGCTGCCCTGGCCATCTGTCACCGCCCAGCCTATCGCAATGGTCTCATTGAAGGATTTCTCGAGGTTCGCAGCCTGCTGCATCAAATTCGTGACCTGATCGCACAAACTTGCCCAGGACACCGTGCCAGCTCAGCTCTTGATGTTGATGTGTTGCCCATCCTGACGCCCTTGTTGCACCTTTTTGCGTTCCCGCCTGCGCAACGTGCAGTATGGTGACCCTTTGCTGCGCCGCAAAGTTCGCATGATGATTGCTGATGCGAACAGCAGCCAAGCCCGCATGCTCAACCTGACTACTCCCTTCACCTCGGACTTTATCGGTTGGTGACGCCTGGCAGGCCATCCTCGCCCCTTGCTGTCCCTTGAGACGAGCCTTAAATCTTGCGCAGCATCGGTTCTCACGTGCTTCGCGCTCGCTGGACGGCTTGCGACACAGTCGAACCACCCACCTCGCAACGATCCTCCCGCCGTGCATCGCCCACCAGTTTCCGGCATGGCCTTTTGGCACCAGCGCAAGACGATGCAGCCCATTGCCGCCCCGTGTGTGGCATTGGTACGCGCCTGGCTATTGGTTTCCATGCTGTTTGGCTGAGCCGCTACCCATGCCTCTCACACCAACGTTCTTCTTTGCCACACCCAACTGATGCTATGTCCTTGGTTTTTGTTCTTTGTTTTTTTTTTTTTTTTTTTTTTTTTTTTGTGGTTGTTATTGCTTTTGATTTTGTATTCGCGCCGTGACCCCATAGCTTTTGACTCGAGCCCTCGCTACTTTGTGGTTGTGGGCTGGATGAGTGATGCTCGGTGGCGATTTGTCTTCACAGACGTGCACACCCGTGCCAAGTATGCTGTTCAAGGTAGATGCCCTTGGTAGATGCACTTGTCAATGGCATTTTCATTCTACTGTCATCGACACACGCCTCCATCTGATCGCCTGGTTCGCTTGCCGTGTAACTAGGCACTTTTGAAGTGGCTCAAAAAACAATGCACGGTGTCGTCTTTCCCATCTCGAGCCTGGGCGCAGCTGGCAATGCTGGTGCTTGCACGCTGCAAGTCTTAGGTATAACATGATTCGCTCGTCCTGGCACATGAGACCCTTTCCTACCTGCCCAGCTACGGCATTGGCCATGCCTCACCGCGCATGACTTTCATGCACGCACTTCGTAGGGCCTGCTCAATGGCTCAGTTGCTTTGCTGGCCCCGTTCAGCTGGGCTGGGCTCAACGCTGTGAGTCTTTTGGTCCTTGGCTGCGTTTCTTGCCTCGTGGCTGTTTGATTCTCCCATACAAGATCTTGTGGATTGCCGTCCACCTGCTTCCCTTTGACCCCTCATAGTGTGCCCTGATGATGATAGATGTGAGTGATGTCCAGCAGGCCGACTCCCCAAGCGCTGTGCGCGCGCCCCTGTCGCCTGAATTAGTGGCCAAGCTTCTTCTTGCCCATGACATGCCGCAGGCTGCCCAACTGTTGTTAACGGCAGCCAAACGCAAGCCTTGCGATTTTATTACCCTAACTGGCCTCTCTTACATGCAGCTGCGTGAGCATCTTGGTACGTGTGCCGCCACTTCTCCGCCCCTGGCCTTGGCGTTGGCTTCCTGGCCTGATCCAGGACCTCACTCGGTGGGTGTTGTCGTCTACCATGTGATTGTCGTAGATCTACCCACGGAAGCCGAGGCGTTTCGCGTCATGGCAGTCTTGGATTGGTTGCTGCATTTGCGCCGCCGGGCGCGCCTGGCCTCAAGCGCACGTGTGTATTGTCACGTCCCCATGAGTGACCTGCTGTTTCGGCGCATGTCTGGCTTTGAGCGCGTTGTGTCCATGAATTTTCGTGAGCTGGCCTTGTATCTCAGCAAGCCCGGTGAAGAAGCGGCTCGCATGTCTGGCGCCTCTGTACCTCGACTTTGGAATGAGCAGTCTCCCGACCTGCAGAAAGGCATCAATCAGCTCTCCTTGCATACAGAACGCTTGCGACACCTGCAACGTACCAGCCTAGCTTCCAATTCCACCCCGGCCGGAGGTGCTACCTTTGCCAAGCATCTGCTGGCACTGCACCCCACTCAACTGCGGCAGAGTGGCTTTCAACTTGTCACCGAGCGTGCCTTTGACTACTTTCATGAATACGGTACGCGCTGTACAACGCTAACTTGGGAAAGAGGGCCAGCAACCCTTGCATGCCGGTCCAACGCTGTGTTTTTTGGGGTTGCTGGCACGCCGGTCTAATCTTGTGTTTCTTTTGTATTCTGTGTTTTAGTCTACTATCTGCAGCACAGAGACTCACTGCTGGCCTACAAGGGCAACTGCCACTACCTCATGGGTCTCATGATTCAGGGCGACAGCGTCCCAGACGTGTACACTCTGCTTCGCGTCCAACCTTCAAGTGCCGGCGCTCAACAGGCCGGCCAACCCTTGACTGCCTTTAGCAAAAACCAGGTCCGGCCGCCCTCTCAAATTTTCTCTTTTTTATTTTTATTTTTATTTTTTTTTTTTTTTTTTTTTTTTTTTTCCCCGTCCCAGGCATGCCATGCATATCCGTGTGCTCGCATGTCTTGATGCTGGCCACATGTTTTGGTGCACTCCTTTACGGCAGGATATCAAAACACTGTTGGAGCAGCACTGCCAGGCCTGGATGCAAATCCAGGGCCCGCTTTTGGTAAGAGGTGCACGACGATACGTTTGGGTACCCCGGAAGCTAACCAGGTCATTTGCATGCCGGTCTCGGTGGGCGTAGGATGCCTCCCAAGTGCACTATGAAACGCCAGAGGTTTCACATGACGAAGAAGCCGAGGAGTCACTCAGTGAAGACGAGGACAGCCACCCTTTGCCCACAAGCCCAAAGGTACCAGCCTGCTCACGGGTGACGAGCCATTGGAGTGCACGGTCAAGACCAAATGCCGAGAGTCGCCAATCATGTCCGTTGCGCAGCAATACCTCATCGACTCTTGTGCATAATAGACGGTACACTCTTACTATGATGCCGCGCGGCCCTTTGAGAACCTCCACCTTGTTGTCCCATTTTTGCTGGTGAGTCGATGGCCCCAACTGTCATGAATTGCTGCATCAGAGCTATCAGAACACTCATTCTTTGGGGTACATTGCATTGGCCCAGTTGATTTCTGCGTACGCTCTGGCCGTGTCCGTGGCCGTTCGCTTCCTGACCTCGGACGGCATGCTGCGCGCCAAGAACGTTTCTTCGGAGGTGCGATCAAAGTTCTTCTTGCCTTGACAGACTGGGCCACTGGCTGCTCGTGTGCCATTCCTTGGAGCTTGCTTGCTGCAACTGCTTTGCATCGTATGCCTCTATACCTGGCCACAATGGTTCAAGCCGTACTTTGCTGCCCTCGCTAGGCCGGCCGCTTGGAGTGCATGCTGGTGGATCCGGCCTTAATCCTCGTCTCGGTCGTCCTTGTGGTCATTCTCTGGAATAGCTTCATGCGCTTACGGCACTTTATTGTCAAGTTTCGGTGTGTCATGATAATCCTTTTTTGTTGAAAAAGTCTGGGGACAGTGTGATGTCAGTTGGTTTGGGCTTCACCGCGCCTGGTTGACGATGATGCCATCCTGCACTGCAACACAGAACGCGTCGGCCGGCATGGGTCATCTTGTATCTCTTCATGGGCATCATTTTATTTTCATTTGCAACTTATGAGCTGCTCAACTCGCTGCCCGTTTGCCATCACCCTCACGGCCTGGACTGCAACCTTTTTCGAGTGAGTGCTTGCCCTTTGTATCTTGTCATCTGCCGCCAGCTATTTGCAGCCCACTGTGCTACTTGACTCTAACTTTGCACGTTTATCGCAGATTCATGTGGCCACGTACCTTTTGCGCACATTCGTCCTTCTACTCTTTGCCTACCTCGTCTACGTTACGCCCATCTTGGTGCGGCCGCCTTGGGCAGTTGCGCACATCCACACGGGTAAGGCAATTGTCCGTCACATGCAGGAACCTATGTCTTTTTTTTTTTTTTTTTTTTTTTTTTCTGATTTGACTTTCTCCAGTTCCGCTATTTTGAAACCTCACAACTCTGCGCTTTGCGTCCCCGTCTATGATTGTGTAACGCTCGAATATCCCCTTTTGCGCCACCAGTTCTGGTCTTGCTCACGGTTACGACGGATGTCGAGTTTGCCATGTACATGATGCGCTTTGCACCTCTGCACAACAACCTCTGGTACGCCACTCCTGCTTCATTTGATTCTATTCTTTTCTTTTTGTGTTAGGCCCAGCTGCTGGCTCGGCTAGGTTTTGAATTGTCTGCCCCTCAATGAACGCATGTGGTTATGGCGGGCATGGTCTAGGGGTCTCAAAGCATGGCAAGTCTGCTTGGTGCCGTTCTGGCTACTGGATCTGCTGTTGGTGATTGCACCGCTGCTCGAGCGGGCTATACAGTTGGATTTTCGTGCGCCACCGCGTCGTCCGTTGGAAGCGGTGCTCGATAGCGACGAGGCAGCCGAAGGTCGGGCCTTGCTGCCCCATGACCCTCGGAGCCGCGGTCACATTGGTGCCTATGGCAGTATCAACCGCTCAGAACAAGAGCTGGACGACGAGGATTTTGAGGTATGCGAGCGTGACGAAGACGACACACCACATGTATTTTTTTCTTGCGCAGTCCGACTCACATGCTGTTTGGTTTGTAACGGGGCATAGCGCAACTTTGACAATCAAGAAGGCTTGTGCTCGCACGTCTGGTCGGGCTGGCTCGAGCCACTGATCTGTCTGCCATGTTATGGTTGCTTCTCGCGCGCTCGCCGTGCTCGAAAACAGCTTCGAGGTAGGAACATTTGCACCACGTACCTGCGAGTGCGCGATCAGCTTTCGCGAAGCGTGTTTTGAAGTGGCTCATGAATGGCGGGACTGTGGCTTGTGGCCTTGCGCAGAGCTGTTGTGGGTCCTATCACACGATTCCAGCCTGAGTGATGACACAAGCACATCGGTCCCCGCGATCGATATCCAAGAACTAGAGGTTTGTGCAGGCTTCTGAAGATTTTGTTGTGTTTTGCTTTCTCAACTTTCATCGGGGTTTTCTTGACAAACCAACCAACCGCGGCGCTGATGGATGGCACGATGTCAACTTTGTGCAGGGGTTGGCACTGATAGAGTGCTCAGATAGCTATTCAGTCTATCACGCTGAATACCAACATCATGCTGTGATTGTGGAGAACTTTTCACCTCTGGATCAGCTTCATTCGATTCCTGCAGGCGTGGTCAGCGGACCAGAAGAAGAGGTCAGACTGCACGCTGACCCAGGAGGAAACGGCTAGGCATGTGCTTCTCTGAGGCTGGCGAGGGCATGAGCAACTCATTGGCTGCTATTTTGCATTTCGCATTTTTTTCAACTTTTTGCAGATCCGATCATTGCGGGGCTTGAATCATCCCAATGTAGTGGCGATGTACGGCACGGGTGTACATGACGGCATGCGCTTTGTAGTGACGGAACGTCCAGAGCGGGGAAGCTTGCAGGAGTTGTTGGATTCGAGCTACTCGAGTCTCACGCTGGTGCAGAAGATGAGCATCACCTGCGACATTGCGGCGGGCTTGGCATACCTGCATGATCAGCGCCCACCAGTGGTGCATCGCAACCTGCGTCCAGCCACCATTCTACTCGATCGATCGCTGACGGCCAAGATTGGCTGTACGTTTACCGTGGCTGGCTGGTGTGGCGTACGGAGGTGTGGCGTACGGAGGTGTGGCGAAGGGCGGATCTCATGGCATGGACGTTGTGGGTGGTTGAAATTTAGATTTTCGGTCCTCGCGGCGCCTTATGGATCGCATTTGGTGCGAGGCGGCGGGTGTGCTTCCGGATGCCAGCAGCGTGCGTCCCCCAACTCCGCGCATGGGTTCGCGTGGTTTTATGGCCCCGGAGATGTGCACTGGTGCCACGACTTACGGCCGCAAGGTGAGCGCGTGTGCGCACGCATGACACCGGCGCCTTGCTTGAGGCAATCTTGTTCGACTGGGCTGATTTTTTGTGCGCGCATCGACAGGTTGATGTGTACAGCTTTGCCATGCTGGTGTGGGCTATTTGGACGGGCGCTCGTCCATATAACGAATACAGGTAGGTACCAAACTAGTGCCTGGCAGACATATGAAAGGCTCCATGTGCAACCTCGATCATCTGATGATGGTCGCGCGTGTGTCTGCTTGGCTTGGTATGACAGCCATTTGGTCGAGTTGGAGGCAGCAGCTGCAGAGGGCGTGCGACCGGTGCTGGATCATCGGTTTCCATCACAACTCGCTGCTTTGATCCAGCGGTGCTGGCACGGCAAGCCCAACGCACGGCCCGATGCGCAAGAGGTCTTGGCTGAGCTTCGACGCATGGACGGGCAGCTTGATTTGTAGCCGCCACAGAGGCTGAGTTCTTCAACACCACTTTCAGACGCATTTATTCAGAGTCTTTGATGAGAATCTGAGTGTTAGTTCAAAGACGGCCCTCCTTTACAAAGAGGGCGAGAGACACAGACAGAGAGAGCGCATAGTAGAGGACAAATGACATTTCGCCCGTAGGTTATGCTAGGCCAACCCACGATTATTTTGACCTGTGAATTGACTGTTGCTTGCATGGTCTGAATTGCCTTCTGCGTCAATCACACGTGTGTGCTGCTAAGTGGGTAGGGTGGCTGTGCACACTACATTGATAAGGGTCCTCTATCTTTGTGTGGTGTGTTGATGATAAGGCTTTGGGGGCTCGGCTTTGGAGTTGGACAAGAAGAAAGCTGTTGACATCAAATCGTCAATTTTGGAGTAGTTTAGGCTGAAAAATCGAAAGAATAAAAAAAATTGTTTGCCACACACCGACGCCCCAAGAGTCACTGGGGGATACATACATGGCAGAGACGAAACGAAAACGAAATAAGAGCGGCGTGTGCTGGCACGGGAAGCCGAGGGAGGAGCGCGGTCAGGCGCGGGCGCAGCCCGCTGGCTCATGATCATGCAAAACCCTCACACAGCTTGAGCTGAGTGGAAAGACAAAGAAAACACGATGGAACGGAAATCGCGGGGGGAGGCACTCGAGCCACCAGGGCGCAAGTTCCAAGCGATACGGCTGTATTTAAAAGCCTTGTTGGGCAGCGCGGCGGAGGGCCTCGCGGTGCTGCTGATCAGCGATCGCGGGCGTGCCAGCCGTGTTCTTCCAAGTCAGGAAGACGGCCGTGGCAAGGAAGCCCTGGACGGCCATGGCCTTGAGGTTGGGGGAGAGCTTGGAGAGGATGGCAGTCATGATGCTGTTGGGGTTGGAAGGGAAGGAGTGCTGAAGGTGCTGAAGGTGCTGGTTAAGAGGCTGCTTGATTTGCTGTTGATTGCAATGTGAGAAAATGCCATCGTACCGCCCGCCACCTCAATTTATATTCCGCCGGGACCTGAGGCGGGAGGGGAGGGTGGGGAGAGGAAGCCAGCAAGACGAGGTTCAGTGGAACGCGCGGCACGATCGCGTCCCCCTATGAAATCCAAAAAGCCATAACATCCAAAGCCAGCAAAGCCAGCAAAGGGGGGGACTCATCGGGTTCAGTCAGGGCACAAATTGCATATTGACCACCTTTCCCGATCTCGCACTCCCATAGCAAACCCCGTCTTTGTTTAGGGGAGCAAGCTACACAGCGAGTTGCATAGCGTTGTTGTGTGGCGTTGTAACGGGCGTTCATGCCACAGCTTTTACACTTTAGAGGGGAGGTTTCAATATTAGGCTGGCCCCTGGCCATCCCTAACGTTTGATGCTTCCTTGGCAGAGGCAAGTCGGATGGGGATTGCATCGAGGGTCACAATGGGCTGGTGCAATCCAGAACGATGCACAAGAAAAGAGTGGCCCCGCTTGCATCAGGGGCCACCCTTGTCATTTGTTAAGTAAAGTATCCCCTCCAAAGTTATATGTATACCTGTGCAGTTTTAGGCTGTTCATAACTGGTGTTGCAAACTGGTCTGAAATGTCGATATCGTCACTGGATTCGATGTTTCCAAGATTGGATTACCTATTCTGCTTTTAGTCGTCTCGAGCTGCTTCCGACTCTCTCAAGTTTCACCCAGATTCCTGCCACTCTCTTCTCACCCTTGCTCTTTCCTTATAGCTCAGTTCACGATCCACTCACACCTCTATCAACACATCTCACCTTCGCCAACATCTCTGCGGCTCTGCGAGCATCAGTGCACTCGACAAAGTGGACGGCAGCGCCAAGCGCCAGCGTTGCAAAGGGCGGCGTCGGAAGACAGAGGCTCACTGGGACACAAGGGGCACGCGGCGTGGGGTCCTTGCCTTGTGCGTTCCGAGTCGTCTGTACCTCGTAAACTCGTCTCGGACTGTATCAGACCGCGTCAGCACGGAAATAAAATTCATCGTGTGCGTCGACTCGTCGCGCTCGGCATGCTCGTCAAGCACTGACCCCCTTTCCTGCCTGCAGCATCCGATTGACGCTTGCCAGGCCTGATCAAGCGCGTTTCCTATTCTGTCCTGTCCCGGCGGTGCAAGATGGCCAGCGTGTACTACGAAGCCGCCACCTCGTTCCTGGTGGGCGAAAGCCTCCGCCGCGCCGTGCTTGCCAAGGTAATAAAATTTAATAATGAATGGGCCATCTGCGGCTTTTGCAGTTCCGGGTCGCTCCCCATGCTGTCATTTTCCGGATCAGTACTAGATCTCGGCTTGCCTTTCAATGATTGTGCTCAAACTTGCTGGGGTCCTGACATGGAATGCTTCATCCCTCCTTCAGTATCGTGAGCCGGACCTGGTTCTCTCACATCTCATGGAGCTGACTAGTGTCTACGAAGATCTAAAAATTGTACCCGGCACCTTTTGTATGTGTGCTTGCGCTACGTCCTCTGCTCTTTTTCTCAACTGTGCTTGAAATTTGGCACCGCGTCCACGCATGCCCTCACGAAAACCTTGCCCCCTTTCGTAGACTTTGACAATGGTCAGCAAGCAGACCTGCTCTATGCCAAAGGCACCATTCCAGTTCGCGTCAAAGGTTTGTCCAGGCCCTTCCCGTGCCTCACCCGCCCTATCTGGCCTTGATTGACCAGTCACGGCTTGATCATGGCACGGCACCTGATCACCCCCTTGGACAGGCAAAATTTACAACTTTCCCGTTTACATTTGGCTCTTCCGCGAGCATCCGACCTACGCCCCCATGTGCTACGTCGTTCCCACCCGCAGCATGAAGGTATATGGCACACAACAGCCCAACCACCTCGCATTCTCATTGTCGCGCGTTCTCAGCGCATGAGCACCCTATTTTCACTGTTGCCTGCCTCGACCCCCTGCTCTAGTTGCCGGATCCTGGAAAGAACTCGCACGTCGGGCCCGACGGACGTGTATACTTGCCTTACCTGCACAATTGGAATCGCAGCGTGCGTTTGCCGCTCCCAATCGCACGCCCTCGGGGCTTGGCGCTGGGCTTGACCAAACTTGCCATGGAGCGAGCCTCACCCACATCTCGATCCGCCTCTTGCTCATGTCGCCCCGACAGACCTCGACGCTTCGTGAGCTAGTCGACAACATGTGTGCCGTTTTCTCACAGCACACACCCCTGTACAGTCGAGCCCAGCCCGCACCTGCACCTGCCCCAGCGAGCCAGGCCGGCGGTCCCCCACCATATGGGGCCATGGGACCGTATGCCAACCAGAATAGTCAGCTCTATCCCCCGCCCCAGCCTACCAGCTCTGCCGGCCCCTCAAATTGGTACCCACAATCCACCCCAAACGCGGGTCCGTACGCCGCCTATGGCGCGTCAGCCGGCCCGTCTTCTGCTCCCGGTCAGTTTGCCAACCGTGCCTTGACTAGACGCATCTCCCGATTTCTCCTCGACTCACCTTTGCATGCGCGTGGTCTTGTGCATCCTCACTCAGCAGTCGGGCCCTACGGCTCCAGCAATGGCTGGGGTGCCAGCGGTGGGGCACCACCGTCCTCGGCAAGCTCCTCGCATTCCACGACCTCGGCCTCGGCAGCTGAGGAAGAGCGCCTGCGCCGTGCACAGGAAGAGTCGGCTGCCCTGGCTCGCAAGGAACAGGAAGAAGATGAAGGTTTGTCATTCACTCATCATTCATTTCATTTTCCACAGCCAGTGTACACATGATAGGGAGGGGAAGGGAAGTGTTGCCACCTTTTCCAATGCCTTCATCTACCATCCATTCCTTCCTCTTCTCTCGTCTTCTTTTTGACATGGCATAGCCTTGGCCCAAGCCATGCGATCTTCATTGGAAGATAGTGTTGGACAAAACATCTATCGAGCATTCAACGAAGCCACCAACCCGCTACTGGAAACATTAAGCAACTATTCATGTGACATCAACGAGCTCTCGGTTGGCCAGGATCAACTCCAGCAACTCTTGACTGAGCTGCAGCGGGAGTGTGAGCGTCTCACGGCACGCGTGGCTGAACATCAGCAACAAGATGCGGAAATGTCACGTGCCATCGCCGGTTTGACCGAGCTCCAGGACACGGATGTTGACTCGATCTTTGTCGTCAAAGCCCCACTGCATCGCCAGTACGTTGAGCATTGACTAGCGACATGTTGATCTCGACCGCGTGCCCCTCCTGCTCTGGCTGCTATCCAACATGTTTCTTCTGACATGCTCCCCACCCCCGTCCTCGCTGCTTGCAACCCAGAATGGTGGCTTTATATGCAGAGGATTTGGCTTACGACGATATCATCTACTACCTCAATGACGGTCTCAAGCGGGGCATTGTCCCGCTTCCTACATATCTCAAGGTGAGCCCGCCAGAGGTTTTTCTCCCCTTGCATGACAGTTGTCTTTGCGCTTGTTTTTTGTTGTTTGGGGGGTTTTTTTTTTTGTTTTTTTTTTGGTTTTTTTTGGTTTTTTTTTTTGGTTTTTCACAAGGCGTCTTGTTGAGCAAAGTTTCGCTTTCTCGCGTGTTGCGTGTTTTTGCTGTCTTGTGGTGGGAAATGGGCACGACTTGGTGTATGTGAGTTTGATGCGTGTGACCGGCAGCTCACACAACCCGTGGTTGACAATGGCACAGAACCTGAAGCGAACGGCCGAGCGGCAATTTATGGTGCGCGCCACCATTAACAAGATTCGAGGTATCATGGACTCCCACTAAGGCCGCCACTGTCATGCCCATGAGCCTAAGCCAGATGCGTGTTGACGTGGTGAACGCGAGAAAGAGTTTCTGGTTGACCCGGCGCCAAGCGCTGTGCCCCAGCTCGCTCTCAACATGTGGGGCCAAACTTTGTTGGTTGACGTGGCTCGGTTTTGAGACATGGACCTCACGACGGGCACAGATCTAGGCCAATCTCTTGTCTGGTCCATCAATTGAACCAGTTGCGCACCCTCCCTCTGTCAAACGTGAAACAGTCTCCAATTGGGGCACCAGAAAAAAATAAAAGCAGCATCAGTACCTTTTGAACGTTACATGTGTACACATGACGCGTTGTGCTTGTATCGTCACTCTGTGTGTGGGTAAAGCTAAATCTCTTTCTTCTCTCTCTCTAAAGCTCTCTCTCTCTCTAAAGCTCTCTCTCTCTCTCTCTCTCTCTCTCTCTCTCTCAAGCTCTCTCAAGCTCTCTCAAGCTCTCTCAAGCTCTCTCAAGCTCTCTCTCTCTCAAGCTCTCTCTCTCTCAAGCTCTCTCTCTCTCTCTCTCTCTCTCTCTCTCTCTCTCTCTCTCTCTCTCATTTCCCTCTCTCTCTCACTCTTCCAACGTCAGTTTTTCTCTCAAAGCGTTTAAGTCGCGCGTTCTGATTGACGGCGGCGCGACGAGTGCAAGGGCAATAGTTTGAGGCTCTACGCCAGTGGGCTTGGCTTGGTTTGGTGATAGGCTTTTGACGCGTGTGTTGGGAGGAAGTGAAGGGCTCAGCATGGCGAGTGCCCGATTTTATCAGGCGGCCAAGCTCAAACTGGCCGAGGCCATTCAGTACGATGAGCAGCTGCACTTGAAGGAAGCTGCACCCAGTTATGCCTTGGCCATCAGTTATTTATGTCAGGGCGCTGCTGTTGATGACGATCGGCGCAATGCGGCCAGCATGGAGGTATGTGTGCACGTCTGGAGTGAATACCGAGCCCTGCATGTTTGACCGCTCATCCCCTTTCCTCTCACCTTTGCCACTCATGCTGCAGCGCATGGCACAACAGTACCAACAGCGGCTGGATCAACTGAACCAGATGTTGCAACGCACTCCGGCGGCGCGACAGGCCGCCGCCGGCTCTGCGCCCAGTAGCCATACTCCTTCTGCCGTCGAGCAGGCGGCCAAGCTGGAGCGACGCGGCGATTTGCAGCTCCGAAACGCCAACGAAGCCGTGGGCAACATGCAGTGGTACGACGCCCGCAAGCGCCTTGAACAAGCCGCACAGACTCTGCTAGATGCTCGCAAGCTGATTGTCGAACCCTCCGACTGCGAGCGCCTCGACACCAAGATCACAGCTACCCTCGACAAGCTCCAGCGTCTCAAAGTTGCCCAAAGTGATAGCCCCAACCCCCGGCCCTCACCACCCCCGGCCCCCATAGCCACGACAGCGGCCCGCTCTTCGCCCACAAACTCAGAATCCTCCCTACCAGGCGCCGGCACTAACCCCTCGGTGGTTCCTGCGGACAGTGAAAGCTACACCCCAGCCGAGCTCAGCGTACTGCGTGAAACCTCAAGCATCAACGGCCGTGTGTACTTGCCGTGGGTGCCGGCTGACGCCAACGACCACATTGACCGCCGAGGCCGCTTCAGCGATCCCGACGGCCATCTTGCGTTCAGTCCCAAGCAGGTGTGTGCCCGATCGTGCTCTCCTCGCGTGGTCCCGAAGGAGAGCTTCTGCTTCTTCTTTTTTTTTTTTTCTCAAACGCGTATGTGTTGCTCTTCCTGTCTGCTATGCCAGCGCTCGCACGGTGCGGTCTGGGCCCGCCCAGCCGACCTGCACGCCAACCCCAGTATCATTCGAGAAGTACACAGCAAAAACGTTCGGCAAACCCTCGTTTCCGACTGCTCGTTTGTCTCAGCCCTCGCGATCAGGTCAGACTGCCCAGCTCTTGTGTGGTTCTCTGTAGTATAGGGTGCGCAAGGAAGATCACTCAAATTTGTGTCCGTATATGCCATGTCTCATGCCGTGATCCCTATTATTTATGACTCTAGCGCCGATTATGAACGGCGCTTCAAGCGCCGGCTGGTAACTGGAGCCATTTATCCACAAAATTCCCATGGCCACCCCATCTACAATCCCTGTGGTACGTCGACGGCTGGTCACGAGTCACAACGTCACACCTCATGCCAGCATCCCTTCGCCCAACCCCCAACGTATTCTCACTGTGCCGCCACCCATGCTGCTTCTGCACACATCAGGCAAGTACCTGCTTCGTCTGCACTTCAATGGAACCTGGCGCAAGGTCATCATCGACGACCAGCTGCCCGTGGACGCCGGTCGCCACTCGTTACTGTGCTCGTACTCGGCCAATCCAGACGAGTTTTGGGTTTCCCTGTTGGAGAAGGCTTATCTCAAGGTAAGGAGCACGGCACACCCACTTGCCAAAGCATATTGCTGATGACTCACAATGTCTACTCAACCTCCCGACATTGCCCAACCCCGCGCCGCGCCGCGGCTTCTTCAGGTCGTGGCGAATAGTTATGACTTTCCTGGTAGCAACAGCTCGGTGGATCTACATGCCATGACAGGATGGATTCCGGACCGTCTCCCAATCTCGGTGAGCGTTGATAGCTGCTTGGATGATCATCATCATCATCATCTAGCCACACCCTATGATCTGAACAAATTTTAACTTGCTGAGAAATAAGAAAGAACCATAATAGCTCACCACTCACCGCCGGCGTTTTTTTTTTTTTTTTTTCAACGTTGTCGCTCAGGATTGCACCGATGATCTGTGGCACAAGCTTTTTCGTGGCCTACATGCCGGAAACGTTGTGTTGACCGCAGCCACGGTTTGTCTGGTCCTTTCTTTTTCCCTCGCTCTTCTCTCCCCTTTGCCGTGCCTGCTCTTCGTAGCGGCAGGTACAGAAAGCAACACCCCTTGCCTTGGTCGTGGATTCAACTGCTGGCTTGCCGACTTGACTTGCAGGGCGAGTTGTCAGAGCTCAAGGCAAAGCGTGCCGGGCTGGTGCCGACACATGCTTACGCTATACTCGACATGCGCGAGGTCAACGGCCTCAAGCTCCTGCGGCTCAAAAACCCTTGGGCTCATCTGCGTTGGCTTGGCAACTTTTCTCCGTACGACACGCGGGTAAGTTTGGCAAGCTTTCAGGTCCTTGTGTGTGTCTTTGTTTGCTCCCACCTGGTCTGATAGGAGCGCCGTGCATTTCTTGCTGTTTCGTGTGTCTAGAACTGGACCGAAGACTTGCAGCGCCGCCTACAATACAAAGCTAGCGAAGCCGTTGAGCACGACGATGGCACTTTTTGGATCGACTGGCCCAGCGTGCAACACTTTTACGACGTCATGTACATGAACTGGAAGCCCGATCGCTTCTTGCACCACAAAACCTTTCATTACTGCTGGCGCCAGGTATGTCAGCGGCCGTTGGTTTTTTTACAATCTTTTATGGATTGTCCGCTTTGGGTGCTGTTAGATAACCATACACCCCGCCTCCCCCCTCTCATCGTGTGTATCGATTAGGATGCGGGTCCAGTCAAGGATGCATACAACATGGAGCATAATCCCCAGGTAGGTGAGCTCATGCGATTGACCAAGTGCTGACCGTACCCCACGTTTCAGTCAAGCAACACACACCCCTTGGACCGTAGTATCGAGTGGAGGTTGATGCCGGTGAAGACTGTGAAATGTGGATCCTGCTGTCTCGCCATATTACGCGCCTCAATGACTTTGCCAACAATGAGGTACACACAAGCAAGAGCTCGCCGACCCGCTTCTCACGTGCTAAAATGGTTCAAAAATATCGTGCTGCCGATAGCCAGTCCTCTTTTTATCTCAAATGGTTGGCGTCGTGCTTAGGAGTTTATTGGGGTGCACGTTTTTGGTGGCGGCGAGCGCATATACTACCCGCAAAACCACATTTCTCAGGCTGTCAAGATCAACAGCCCGCATCACCTGACCAAAATTAAGGTACCCCTCGACAGGAGTTGCAGGAAATGGGCCCTTCCAATCGGAAGCTGGTGCGTTGTCACCTTGTTCTCATGATTTGGGGGCTCTAGGTGCCTCGCGGCAAGCAACCATACACTTTGGTCATCAGTCAGTTTGAGAAGACCAACACGCTCAACTTTACCGTCAAGGTCAGCGCCTCTGCTTGCCCGCATCATTCATTAGCCTTTCGGCTCGAGCAGTGCACCACGTATATTCATGAAGCGCGCACTGTTTCACGGACGCCGACTATAGGTGTATTGCACCCACAAGATCCGAATGAAGGCCCTGCCAAACCCGTTTCCCGAGGTCTCTCGCGTTGTGAGCCAGTGGACCGCCCAGACGGCAGGAGGATGTGCCAACTACCCACAAACTTTTGGTATCAACCCAAAGTTTCAGTTTCTGGGCCCGGGCAGCGAAGGAACGGCCACGCCCGTCTTGGTTAAACTCGAAGGTGAGCGCGTTGCACTTGACCCCAGAGATGGGTGGTGTGGGAGTCTTGTATTAACCCCGCTCAATATATGCATAGGGCCGAGGCAATACAGCGTGGGTTTTGAGATCCGTGGATCTGATGGCTCGAAAGTGTACGTTTCTTCTCGGCTGACACTTGAATCCAAGACCGGCTTGTTGTCCCTCGAACCGTATCATCCTTTTTTTTTTTTTTTTTTTTGTCTGTCTTTGTTTTTTGTTTCTTTAATTTCTGGTCGTGGTTTTCGGCTCAAGATGCGCTTTTTGGCACACATATTTCCTACTCATGCCCATGCCCCCGCTCTGCCACACAGGGACGTCCCCACGTACCGCTCTGGATTTGTGTACACGACCCTGACGGCCAAGGGGGGAGTGAAGTATACCATTACCCCCACCACCTTTCAGCCAGGCCAAGAAGGAGCATTCTTTTTAACAGTGGCTAGCAAAATCCCTTTGCGCCTCTACCCGATGCCGACGGCCTGAGCAAAAGCAATGTGTTTACCCGTGCAACGCCACCTGGCCTTGGGTCGCGGTGGCTGCCATTCTGCCGACAAGACTCTCGTTAAGATTGCCATCTTTCGTTCACCGCTGGGGTGGCTAGTGTGGGCTGAGCCCAAACGATGTGATTGGTCTGCAATTGATGTGTTGCTTTGCAGTCCCTCGCGAAGTTGGGTGCGTTGCACAGCTACACCCTACCCCTGCCCTTCAGCCACTGTGTAAGGCTGACCAAGGCCGAATGCTGCGGCTCAAAGCTTGTCGCTACAAATAATGGCGGCATTCCGCAAGGCTTGTCGAAAGCGTCGCGCGACAAAAACTTGCTCCGCCCACCGAATCATTATGCGTCTGAAAGGCCCATTTATTTTGATCGATTTTTGACGAAGAGTCGCGGCCATGATGGCTGCCATGACAGCCGGGACGAGAGTGCTGGCAGCGTGGAAGTTGTGAGTCCCCCTCCCTGTTTTTTTGGGAGTGGATGGCGAGGGCGTTTTCCTCTCTCCTTCCTCGACTGATGCTGGAGCTTACTTGGGTCTGATAAGTGCAGTCTGGCCCCGATCAGCGAGACGCGCAAGGTTTGCCGTTAACGACGCATGCGCAAGAGCATTCCAGTCGATAAGCTGATTTCCAGAGTGGGTACACTCCCCCGTTTTGTTGAGTTGTTGAGTGATAAGAGAGGGAGCGAGTTTGCCTGTGAGCACTTAACCAAGGATGCTATTCGTCAGCACTTGTACCAAAATGCTTGATCCAACTTGGCAGGATTGTCACGCGTTTTCTTCTTGTGCTTGGGGTCTTAAGGTGACCCTCACACAAGTCATCGCGCTGCTATCGCCATCACTGGCACCAGTTCAGAGTCGCACCCTAACCGTCATGATAAAAAGCCAACAAGCTCGGCATGACACACACACACCGCTCTTTGGCTGCTTCTCTCCATCCCTCCTTCCGTCTTTCCCTCCTTCTCTCCTTCACTCCTTCTCTCCTTCTCTCCTTCTCTCCTTCTCTCCTTCTCTCCTTCTCATGACCATGACGGTGATGATGGAATGCTTGACCTTGCGTACAGCATGATGACAAGGCATGCGGATTTCTTATGCATGAGAGACACGGGGGAGCCGGGGGTCAGCATCAACCAACGAGTGCAGATTCCCTAACGCACCCCAAAGTTAACACTGTGTTTGGGTCCACTCCCTGCTTGGGGTGCTCAATGCTACTCAAAAAAACCCTAAAGGGCAAGGCTTTTGTCAGGACAAGTGCGGCAAGGCTTTTGTCAGGACATGTGCGTGACTGGCATGTTGCCCGACTGCGTAGGTTGGGTCTACATGGGGCTATCAGACGGCAGATCTCAAACAACATCTCCTCCATTCAACAGCAGTGGGGACTGGGCCAGCGAGGAAGCAGCTCACGTGTTGCTCTGGTTGATTGTCACTCAGTACCAGCACAGTTGCCTACCTGACAAAAAGGGTAGCACCATGATATGGTGTGAAAGAAAGATGCTGTGTGTTGGCACTGGCGACCCAACGAAAGGCTTTAGAGCCCAGTTGCCCCTCAACCTTTTACAGCCAGAGTATCATCCTGCTGAGCGTCACACACTGCCCCCTACGTCGTGGGGTCATATCGTATTGAATGAGCTGTCGATACGAGCCTGTGCTTGATCCAAGCCGCAAACGATCCTATCAGCCGGCAAATAAAGTCCAAGAAGTTTTTGCACTCGCGATCACCATGGCTCATTTTATACATCCCGCACCCTGCAACACCCGCCTCCTCACGCCAACTGCACCAGCACGGTCCCTCCCTCCATTTTCAACCCGCTTTGCCTCGACCCAGACAAAATCAGCCCGACACCCAGGACCTGTTCCGTCCCTCCTCACCCAGAGCCATGTGCGCTGCTGCTGCCAACCCAGCGCCTATTTCCCCCCCTACCCTGGCGGATATTGTGCGTCACGCCTACAACAAGAACATCCTCCTGACTACTCAAGCCACCACCTTTTCGCACGCGCGCAGCCAAGCTCGACGCAGCCCTTACTCTCAAGCCATTCCTGGCATTGCCGCTGGCCACAACGGATCGATCCTTTGCTACAAGCTGCAGCAGACCTGCTTCTGGCGTCACTTGCAACGCGTCTTCTTCGACAACCCGCATGAGTGCAGCTTCTACGAGAGCATGACCGTGACCGAGTACGAGCAGTATGTTCAGGCCAAGCACCGAGCCTCTATCTTGGAAGCAGCAATGGTCGTGGGGATCGAGGCAACGAATGTGACAGAGCCTCACACCGACATGGCCATCCCGACTTTCGCTGCTGCTACCACGCTTGATACCGCTGCCACAGCTGCTACAGCTATTACAACAATCACAGCGGCCTCTCCTCCTTCTTCTCGTGTGCAGACCAACGTCGCCGCTGCCACCTCCTCCCGCTCGACAACCATGAACAAGCCTATCAATGTCATCAAACAAAATGTTATTGAGAACTACAAGCCCACGATTGATGACGACGACAACGACTCGATACCAACACGACTGCAGACCTTGGTGCGCTGTACCCCTCGCCTGGCGCGTCATCACCACGCCCGTCAGCGCCGATCTTTCTCCCGATCCCGAGCCTGCTCCGACGACCGCCATCATCTCCGAGACGATTCTACCCAGCTGGCACACGTGGAGAGTGTACCTCGTGGCAATGTCTCAGCCCAGTCCTCCATTGGCACTGCACACGCCTCGCTGCAGGCTCGATCCTTTATCTGCTGACGATCATGCCCTTTGGCTGGTCTCAGCTATGACCAGTCGGGGTGACCCTGATTTCTTGCTCATCCCCTGGTGGCCATCTTCCTCACATTTATGATAACATACATCCGGATAGAATAATATCATCATAGACGAAATCGTTCCAACCTCTCCGTGTGTACAATACTAATGCCTCTCGCAACTCGACCAATTGATCAACAACACAGCCGCCAAACCTTCCTCTTTTGCCTCGAACATTCCTCAATCCAATATCCTGAGCGACGTCTCCCACGCCCATAACCAGCCAGCCATTCGATCCACATCCTCAAACAAGCACAGCCCCCTTTCGCGGTTTCCAATCTTGAGCGTCAAATCAAAGGGTGTCGAATTGACAATAACGTCTGACAATTTGCGTCAGGCCCCCAATTCCATTCCAAAGGGCGTCGAAACGAGAAGGGCTGCTGTTGGGTTTTTGCGGAACCTTAGCAAACCTTGCTTGGGTTTTTGCGGAACCTTAGCAAACCTTGCGCGGAAGCAACGCCTGCGAAAATCCCGAAACTGAGAGACATCGGTTCTGGTACACCCCATTCCGAGTTGGCGCAGGGTTCAACAAAGCTTCCCCAACGTGTCCTCTCCAAGCGTAGGGCCATCATCAGTAGCCCCCTTTCCATGCTACATCTGGACCTCAAAAGAGTGATGGAAGTTGAGGCTCGTGCCGTGCGTCGTGCATTTTTTTCACGGCCGCTCGGGCCCAGCACAGCACGCATCAGCTAGCCCTGTTCAAATCAGGCAACATGGCTATGGCTCACTGCCCTCGCACCAGCACACGGCTGTCCGGATCAAACAGCACGACCAACTTGGCGGCCACACCTGTAGCTCAGGCCTCAGGCCCACCATCATCTGCGAGCTCGACACTGGGCGACATCGTTCGCACTGCTCACAACAAGAACAAGCGAAACATGCGCCGACGCCGCGGTCTGCATCACGTACTGCAACAATCGCAGTTCTGGCGCCACCTCCAGCACACCTTCCTTACTAATCCGGCCGAGTCAGCCCTTTTCGAGAACATGACCGTCCTGGAATACGAGAACTACTGCCGTGCTCGAATGGCAGATGTCCATCCCAAATCACCATCCAACCCGTCGACCAAACCTGCCCTTCGACGCTCATCAGAAGATTCCCATTCGCAATCACCGACGGAGACAAAGTCCTGCCAAGGGGGCACATGTCAACGGAAACGTTGCTCTTACGCCATTTTAATCGCGATCGTGTAAAGCGGGCTAGCTTGATGGGCCAGCCATTTGAAAATGGCGGCGGCTTGTTTCTGAGAAACATCCTCGCCCGACACCTTGATCTGCGATAAAAGAACCCTCACCCTCGCCCAATTTACTCATTTTTTGGGTTGCCCGCGCGCCGGCCATCGATCTCCGTGATCTTTGTTTTAATTTGTTTTTGTTTTGTCTTTTATAATACAATAGATCCTACACATACTGCGCCCAAGCGATGGCTTCCCGCTGTTCTGACGAATCGCTACTTTGAAATGCGGACGAAGCAGCCCCCGAGATGTCCTAACATGTAGACGAGAAATTGAACACTTTTGCTTACCAACAATATCCAACATCATGCGCATGTACAACTGTAAAGAGCTTTGCCTTCGTCAAATCTCAATCCAACACCTCAACAATGCCGGCTTACATCCATATCTCAATGTTCAATCTGATGCCCCTTTGTGCCTCCGCCTTGCACGTCCTCAACTTTGCACCTCCTCAACCTTGGCCCCGCATTTCATCTCCAGTTGAGCCATTCGTAAAATCAGCGACGAGTATATTGATAAGCATCCACAGCCCCGTGCAAGTCATTGTAAACCCACGCAGGCTCCAACAGGCAGCTTTGAAGAAGAGTCCGGTTATAACATTACCCAGCAATAACAGCTCCTGCGTTTCCTTGGACCAGCAATGAGCAACAGCCAACTTGCAGGGCACGTGAGCACGATGCGAAAGATAGTGGTATGGCCATGGGCCATGGATTGGCGCACATCCTCTTTCTCAACGTACAGCCAAGGCCTTCTCCGGACCAAACCGATGCAGGCCAAAGCAAGGAGCGAGGACACGAGCACGAGGTCGCCCCCAAGGGCCAGGATACCAACGCCGTGCGACTGACTGACTGACTGACTGACTGACTGACCAAGGGTGGTGTCGTCTGGACCTGCGCAATTGGATGCGTTTTAATGTCAGAAAGTACTAGAGGAATGAATGTAGCCAAGGCACCCAGGGGACGGCAGTTATGATGACCGGGGTGGTGTGCATGGCCCAACGTAATCTATTGTAAGAAAATAATGGGAAATGAATCAATTCGAAAGAAAACCAAAAGCACACCCACAACGACCACAGAAGGTTGTTGTCGAGCAATTTTGTGTCACCAACACCAATGCTTTTTGTACATACTTCCAACCTATGGATTGGTTCGTTCTGCCTTAGTGTTGCCTTAACCCAGCTTTCCCGCTTACTCCCCTAGATTGGCGAGAAAGCCTGTTGGTGGTGCGCTTCCTTTTAAGCAGAAGCAGAGACATAAAGCATAATATGCATTCCAACTCCTTCCAACGAATGCGTGTGTGTGTGTGTGTGTGTGTGTGCGAGGTACGATGTCTCGAGGGGGGGGCACAACTTGAACTCATGGTCCAAGCGGTGGCATTTTTCATCTCCCCCTTGGCCTCATCATCATCATCATCATCATCATCATTATCGTCATCAACAGCAGCAGCAGCCAGCAGCATCAATCAACACTTAGTGCCCATCACAACAACCGCCATGCCTTCCTCCTCCCCCACCGCCACCACTCTGGCCGATGTCGTTCGCATGGCCTACCACAAGAACATCAAAATGTGCAAGCAACAAGACCGCATGGCTCTCCGACAGACGGTCCAGCAGTCGCAGTTCTGGCGCCACCTCCAGCACACCTTCCTCGAGGACCCCCAGGAGGGTGCCTGCTTGGAACGCATGACTGTTCCCCAGTTTGAGGCCCACCGTCGACGATCGGCCAGCCCCTTGAGCCACACCAAGCCCGTTGCCTCGGCAAAGACCGACCTCGTCACCCCGCCTCTGCACCAAGTCGAGCCCAGCCACATTGTGGTCCGGCCCTGCCGCCGCTCCGTCCTGGCCTCGGCCAACCGGGTCGGTATCTGCTCCACCGTCTAGTTGGGTATCCGTCTTCTCCGAGTCGACACTCTCCCAACCCGAGAGAAACCTGTGTACATCATATTACAGTCCTATATTATTATGTTTATAATGATGATGACATCCTAGTATCAACCTGCTCCTGCCAGCCCGAGTCCATGGCAGGCCTCTCTACTTTTTTTTATTCTTTTTTCAATGCTCTAGTGACGTGCTCCTTCCCTCCTTGCTTGTGTTCATATGGAGCCGATGCCACTGTGTGGCCGAAACGTTATGATCCAAATCGATTACCGATTTCTCGACTACCATCAATCTCTGCCTCGATCTTCTTCCTCCTTTCCGCATTATAAACAAAAAATATCATCACTCTTTGAAGACCACTCTCTTCCTAGACTCAGCCACTTTGCATTCTCACTGCCTCATTCCCTCAAACTACCGGTGCCAGCAGGAGGGAAGACACATAACACTGTTCTGTTACTCTTTGTCAAGAGTTGGCACAATCCAACCATCACACAGCCAGCGCCGCTCTGCTCATCAATCTACACTCTCTCATGATAACATACGTCATGTCGTCAATTCGCGGGCTCGCACACCAGGACACCCGTTAATCCAAAGCAACCATCAGATAATAATTGAAACAGAAGAAAATACCATGCATTGTACATTGTAAATGTACATGCAGATGGCAAGAAACACTAGTGTGGAGCACTGTACATTTCTCAAATTTATGGCTGGGCGTGACCCATTACTCCTTAGGATCCCTGCCCTTCAGCCACGGCATACAGCAAAAGATGCCAAATGGGAAAACCCACCCTCCTATTCGGCGCCACTGCTCACAGAGGCCGAATCCCTCGGCTCAACCCTTGCCGCCACACGTGACCAGAATATTGGCTCACAGCTCGTCGAAACCGTGGTCGGCGCCTCAGTCGTCGATATCGTGGCACCGGTGGGACCTTGCTCCGTACACAGGGCCCGTGCGTCTGAAAGCTCGATCCTCTCTTGACTAGACCCAAGTAATTGCTAGTGGCAGCTCCAGCTCCACCTCCAGCATCAACCGAGGAAGAGGAGGAAAAAAAGCTCGTGGTACCATCTCCCAACGCAGGAGGGAGCTCGGGCGCCACAACTAGGCGGCGCGGCTGTACCACCACCACACCGCCAGCTCCCTCGCCCCGACGGAGCACGCTTCTCTGATCAACATCCCTGCCAGCTGCAGCGGTATCATCTGCCGCCACCACAGACACGTGGTCCAACTCTTCAGTATGCCGTCTGGAATGACCACAAGAAGCACAGCCTGCGCATTCCCTCGGTGCATGATGGCCGTACACCGGGCCTCCGTCTTCGCTCCTATGCGCTGCCGACACAGTCGCTCTTGCTGCTGGCGTTGTTGTTGTGGCCGGGGTGGCCGCTGTTGCTCCCGTCGTTGCTCCCGTCGTTGCTCCCGTCCTTGCTCCCGTCCTTGCTCCCGTCCTTGCTGCCGCCGTTGTTGCTGCTGCTGCTGCGCCATGGCGCGACATCAGCTGGCGCACCAGCTAGCCCAGAAACGCACGTACTTGGGCCTGCCGACGAACAGCCTCGTCGCTCGATTCATTCGACAACAAAGGCGCCGCTGTCATGGCAGTCATCGTGGCTGGCGCGCCGACGCATGTCGCTGCCCCGCCCATCTTCGTCCAGAATCGGCCCTGTGCGCTGCAGTCGATGCAGGCACACTCATAGCCCTCGCCCCAAGCACCGAGCTTATGACCTCGCGCTCGTGGGGAGCGTGGCCCATCGGCACATGCGCTCGCGGTCGACTCGTCCCGATACCGGCTGCCCAAGTGGGCATCTCACACGCATCTCCCTGCTTGAACTTGTCGTGTGGTCAATGGTCGTGTGCGGGGGAAAAGGGAAAATGACCATCTTCGCTCTGCGCACCCCACCAAACCCCGATGCCCACCCCTAACCCAACCGGGCCCACGGGTTCATGGTAGTGGAGATGACGCTCGTGTCCTTAACCCGTTGAGCTACGACGGATGCTCCACGTCAGGACCCCAACCATTTCAGGCGTCAGAGCGTAGGCATCCGTGAGCCCCAACCCACCATAACGTCAGATTTGACACGGGTCAGAACCCCCTTGCACACCTTGCTGATATCGCTGTCACCCCCGTTTTGCCACCATGATGAGGCCTCGTGAGGGTCAAAGCCTCCATGATGAAGGCTTGTAAGGGGCAAGCCTTTGGTCGCAGGCGTTATGATGTTACCACATGCCACCGAAACTCCTCCCCTCTTGAAATAACGGTCACAACGAAAAGGCAATGAATGATGGTAAGAGTAGTAACGACGACTGACCCAAGCCTTTGCACGAGTCGATGAAACGCGAGGTTCCCTTGGCCTTGAATTTGAGCTAGTGTCAAAGCCGCTCATGTACGGCGTGAGGATGGTCTCGGCAGAGCGAGCTGTTGGCATCCCCTCGAGAAGCCAAAATCCAAAGAGTCATCCCATTCATCAGAAAATTTTTCGTGGGAAAAAAGGCTGTAGGCTAACTAACCTTCTCCCAAAATACAGGATAGGGACTAAACCAACAAAACTGAAGACGGCACATGTCCGTTGCACATGTGGGGGCGCGCACTTGCTGAGAATTATCCGCCTTCCCAAGAACAGGCAGCTGAAAAGTAGGGTAGAGCAGTGACTGCCTCGTGGTGTGTAGATGACTGATTGCAGACAGCCGTATCACCTGCGCAGTGAGATGCACCCTATTGTCAGAAAATCGCAGAGATTCGAACGAACACCCATGTGTCACCCACAACGAACACGAGCACACGAGGTTGTCGAGCAATTTTGTGTCACCAACACCAATGCTTTTTGTACATACTTCCAACCTATGGATTGGTTCGTTCTGCCTTAGTGTTGCCTTAACCCAGCTTTCCCGCTTACTCCCCTAGATTGGCGAGAAAGCCTGTTGGTGGTGCGCTTCCTTTTAAGCAGAAGCAGAGACATAAAGCATAATATGCATTCCAACTCCTTCCAACGAATGCGTGTGTGTGTGTGTGTGTGTGTGTGCGAGGTACGATGTCTCGAGGGGGGGGCACAACTTGAACTCATGGTCCAAGCGGTGGCATTTTTCATCTCCCCCTTGGCCTCATCATCATCATCATCATCATCATCATTATCGTCATCAACAGCAGCAGCAGCCAGCAGCATCAATCAACACTTAGTGCCCATCACAACAACCGCCATGCCTTCCTCCTCCCCCACCGCCACCACTCTGGCCGATGTCGTTCGCATGGCCTACCACAAGAACATCAAAATGTGCAAGCAACAAGACCGCATGGCTCTCCGACAGACGGTCCAGCAGTCGCAGTTCTGGCGCCACCTCCAGCACACCTTCCTCGAGGACCCCCAGGAGGGTGCCTGCTTGGAACGCATGACTGTTCCCCAGTTTGAGGCCCACCGTCGACGATCGGCCAGCCCCTTGAGCCACACCAAGCCCGTTGCCTCGGCAAAGACCGACCTCGTCACCCCGCCTCTGCACCAAGTCGAGCCCAGCCACATTGTGGTCCGGCCCTGCCGCCGCTCCGTCCTGGCCTCGGCCAACCGGGTCGGTATCTGCTCCACCGTCTAGTTGGGTATCCGTCTTCTCCGAGTCGACACTCTCCCAACCCGAGAGAAACCTGTGTACATCATATTACAGTCCTATATTATTATGTTTATAATGATGATGACATCCTAGTATCAACCTGCTCCTGCCAGCCCGAGTCCATGGCAGGCCTCTCTACTTTTTTTTATTCTTTTTTCAATGCTCTAGTGACGTGCTCCTTCCCTCCTTGCTTGTGTTCATATGGAGCCGATGCCACTGTGTGGCCGAAACGTTATGATCCAAATCGATTACCGATTTCTCGACTACCATCAATCTCTGCCTCGATCTTCTTCCTCCTTTCCGCATTATAAACAAAAAATATCATCACTCTTTGAAGACCACTCTCTTCCTAGACTCAGCCACTTTGCATTCTCACTGCCTCATTCCCTCAAACTACCGGTGCCAGCAGGAGGGAAGACACATAACACTGTTCTGTTACTCTTTGTCAAGAGTTGGCACAATCCAACCATCACACAGCCAGCGCCGCTCTGCTCATCAATCTACACTCTCTCATGATAACATACGTCATGTCGTCAATTCGCGGGCTCGCACACCAGGACACCCGTTAATCCAAAGCAACCATCAGATAATAATTGAAACAGAAGAAAATACCATGCATTGTACATTGTAAATGTACATGCAGATGGCAAGAAACACTAGTGTGGAGCACTGTACATTTCTCAAATTTATGGCTGGGCGTGACCCATTACTCCTTAGGATCCCTGCCCTTCAGCCACGGCATACAGCAAAAGATGCCAAATGGGAAAACCCACCCTCCTATTCGGCGCCACTGCTCACAGAGGCCGAATCCCTCGGCTCAACCCTTGCCGCCACACGTGACCAGAATATTGGCTCACAGCTCGTCGAAACCGTGGTCGGCGCCTCAGTCGTCGATATCGTGGCACCGGTGGGACCTTGCTCCGTACACAGGGCCCGTGCGTCTGAAAGCTCGATCCTCTCTTGACTAGACCCAAGTAATTGCTAGTGGCAGCTCCAGCTCCACCTCCAGCATCAACCGAGGAAGAGGAGGAAAAAAAGCTCGTGGTACCATCTCCCAACGCAGGAGGGAGCTCGGGCGCCACAACTAGGCGGCGCGGCTGTACCACCACCACACCGCCAGCTCCCTCGCCCCGACGGAGCACGCTTCTCTGATCAACATCCCTGCCAGCTGCAGCGGTATCATCTGCCGCCACCACAGACACGTGGTCCAACTCTTCAGTATGCCGTCTGGAATGACCACAAGAAGCACAGCCTGCGCATTCCCTCGGTGCATGATGGCCGTACACCGGGCCTCCGTCTTCGCTCCTATGCGCTGCCGACACAGTCGCTCTTGCTGCTGGCGTTGTTGTTGTGGCCGGGGTGGCCGCTGTTGCTCCCGTCGTTGCTCCCGTCGTTGCTCCCGTCCTTGCTCCCGTCCTTGCTCCCGTCCTTGCTGCCGCCGTTGTTGCTGCTGCTGCTGCGCCATGGCGCGACATCAGCTGGCGCACCAGCTAGCCCAGAAACGCACGTACTTGGGCCTGCCGACGAACAGCCTCGTCGCTCGATTCATTCGACAACAAAGGCGCCGCTGTCATGGCAGTCATCGTGGCTGGCGCGCCGACGCATGTCGCTGCCCCGCCCATCTTCGTCCAGAATCGGCCCTGTGCGCTGCAGTCGATGCAGGCACACTCATAGCCCTCGCCCCAAGCACCGAGCTTATGACCTCGCGCTCGTGGGGAGCGTGGCCCATCGGCACATGCGCTCGCGGTCGACTCGTCCCGATACCGGCTGCCCAAGTGGGCAAGCTGCCCCTCAGCCTGCGATCCCGGGTCAGCCGACTCGTGGCGTGTGGGGACCGTTGCCGATGCCCTCTCACACGCATCTCCCTGCTTGAACTTGTCGTGTGGTCAATGGTCGTGTGCGGGGGAAAAGGGAAAATGACCATCTTCGCTCTGCGCACCCCACCAAACCCCGATGCCCACCCCTAACCCAACCGGGCCCACGGGTTCATGGTAGTGGAGATGACGCTCGTGTCCTTAACCCGTTGAGCTACGACGGATGCTCCACGTCAGGACCCCAACCATTTCAGGCGTCAGAGCGTAGGCATCCGTGAGCCCCAACCCACCATAACGTCAGATTTGACACGGGTCAGAACCCCCTTGCACACCTTGCTGATATCGCTGTCACCCCCGTTTTGCCACCATGATGAGGCCTCGTGAGGGTCAAAGCCTCCATGATGAAGGCTTGTAAGGGGCAAGCCTTTGGTCGCAGGCGTTATGATGTTACCACATGCCACCGAAACTCCTCCCCTCTTGAAATAACGGTCACAACGAAAAGGCAATGAATGATGGTAAGAGTAGTAACGACGACTGACCCAAGCCTTTGCACGAGTCGATGAAACGCGAGGTTCCCTTGGCCTTGAATTTGAGCTAGTGTCAAAGCCGCTCATGTACGGCGTGAGGATGGTCTCGGCAGAGCGAGCTGTTGGCATCCCCTCGAGAAGCCAAAATCCAAAGAGTCATCCCATTCATCAGAAAATTTTTCGTGGGAAAAAAGGCTGTAGGCTAACTAACCTTCTCCCAAAATACAGGATAGGGACTAAACCAACAAAACTGAAGACGGCACATGTCCGTTGCACATGTGGGGGCGCGCACTTGCTGAGAATTATCCGCCTTCCCAAGAACAGGCAGCTGAAAAGTAGGGTAGAGCAGTGACTGCCTCGTGGTGTGTAGATGACTGATTGCAGACAGCCGTATCACCTGCGCAGTGAGATGCACCCTATTGTCAGAAAATCGCAGAGATTCGAACGAACACCCATGTGTCACCCACAACGAACACGAGCACACGAGGTTGTCGAGCAATTTTGTGTCACCAACACCAATGCTTTTTGTACATACTTCCAACCTATGGATTGGTTCGTTCTGCCTTAGTGTTGCCTTAACCCAGCTTTCCCGCTTACTCCCCTAGATTGGCGAGAAAGCCTGTTGGTGGTGCGCTTCCTTTTAAGCAGAAGCAGAGACATAAAGCATAATATGCATTCCAACTCCTTCCAACGAATGCGTGTGTGTGTGTGTGTGTGTGTGTGCGAGGTACGATGTCTCGAGGGGGGGGCACAACTTGAACTCATGGTCCAAGCGGTGGCATTTTTCATCTCCCCCTTGGCCTCATCATCATCATCATCATCATCATCATTATCGTCATCAACAGCAGCAGCAGCCAGCAGCATCAATCAACACTTAGTGCCCATCACAACAACCGCCATGCCTTCCTCCTCCCCCACCGCCACCACTCTGGCCGATGTCGTTCGCATGGCCTACCACAAGAACATCAAAATGTGCAAGCAACAAGACCGCATGGCTCTCCGACAGACGGTCCAGCAGTCGCAGTTCTGGCGCCACCTCCAGCACACCTTCCTCGAGGACCCCCAGGAGGGTGCCTGCTTGGAACGCATGACTGTTCCCCAGTTTGAGGCCCACCGTCGACGATCGGCCAGCCCCTTGAGCCACACCAAGCCCGTTGCCTCGGCAAAGACCGACCTCGTCACCCCGCCTCTGCACCAAGTCGAGCCCAGCCACATTGTGGTCCGGCCCTGCCGCCGCTCCGTCCTGGCCTCGGCCAACCGGGTCGGTATCTGCTCCACCGTCTAGTTGGGTATCCGTCTTCTCCGAGTCGACACTCTCCCAACCCGAGAGAAACCTGTGTACATCATATTACAGTCCTATATTATTATGTTTATAATGATGATGACATCCTAGTATCAACCTGCTCCTGCCAGCCCGAGTCCATGGCAGGCTTCTTTATTTTTTTCTTTTTTCAATGCGCTAGTGTCGTGCTCCTTCCCTCCTTCCTTGTGTTGATATGGAGCTGATGCCACTGTGTGGCCGAAACGTTACGATCCAAATCGATTACCCATCTCTTGACTACCATCAATCTCTGCCTCGATCTTCTTCCTCCTCATGCGTGACATTGAGAACCCTTTAACGAAGAGCCGGCACTATCGAGTCATCATACAACTGCTCATCATTCTACACACTGCCATGATAAAATACGTCATCTCGCATCAATTCACTGGCTGACACACCAAGACCACATCCCAAGACTCACCATCAGCCTAAGCAACATCAAACCCTTGCTCCTCAGTCACGGTATGCAAGAGAAGACGAAGTCATGCACCATGCTGATCTTTGGTGCCGCTCACAGCCACACCATTTGCATTCCTATTCACATAACCTCCAGGAAAATCCAGGTGCAGGGCTGTCTGAGGGAAAAATCGCGCGCAGCGATGTGGCCAAAACAAAGTCAAAAACCTGAGTCCAACTGTCGTGAAATTTGGCACGAATAGGGAAAGCAAAATTCGGAACAATATGTGTCATGATTGAAACGAAAACAAAAATGTAACATCAAAAAGCAGAAGCACAGTCAAGAGCCCGAGCACTTCAACGGCTTTGCATATGGCAAGCTCAACCGCGTCGTAGACGACCTCTAGCAGGTATAAAATCAAACATGCCAAAGGTCTTGGTATTTCGAAGAGGCAGCAAGAACCCAGGTGGCGAGGTCACCTCATTCATCAGTTTCATCGTCAATGGCAGTGTCCTCCTGTTCAAAACCATCGGCTTCAAGATACTCATCGGCGTTACCGCTTTTTCGATCAAGGTCATCGGCCTCAAAGTAGGAGTCGTCAAATCCATTCTGATCAAAATCATCGTTTTGGCCAAAGGCATCAAATCCAAATCCCGGCTGCTCTGTATCCTCAGAAGTCTCCATGTCCCCCCCCACATTCAAATAGCCGCTCTCATCAAGCCCATCATCTTCCGCCTTATCTGGTTCATTGAACATGTCAGAGTACATCCCATCGGCCTGCAAATCTTCGTCGTTGCCTTTTCCCCAGACTTCATGGTGGAGGTCTTGATAGTCGCCATCCCCACCAGCATCAGCGTCTCCATAAGTAGATTCCTGAACCTCACCTACCCCGCCATCTATCGTATCCCAGCCAAAACAAGAACATGAGCATTCTGCGGTGGTGCACAAGTGCGACGAATCTCACGCGCTATGGAAAGCTCCACAGTTTTTATGACTTACAGAGAGGGTTGACAACGCCGGTTCGGAAATCACTCATGTTCTACGAGCCCCCCAACAATATGAGGTGAGACACGCAGAAAGCCTCCTCAATACTCACATGAATTACTTTCGCCAAAAGGCTATACATCAGGGTCATGGCACGACTCACCTGATCGGTGTTTTGGGCATCGAATTGTGGCTTGGTGCCCTTGCGCTGCCAGCGCCGGACCATGACGACCACTGCAACCAACACCAAGAGACCGACGATACCACCAATCGCACCAATGTAGATGGATGACGAAGCAGAGGAAGAGCTGGAGGAAGAGTGTGTGGGGTCCGATGTGCTCGTAGGCTGTGGCTTGGCTGGCCCGCGCGTTGTTGTGGTTGCAGGTGGTACCCACCCGCTGCGAAGCAAGGTGGCGGGCCGGGCCTGGAAGAATACATAGCCTTCAAGAGTGACAGCCACGGTTGTGCGATTCAACTCAAAGCTCATAATGTCAACGGCATCACCAGCCGTTAGATCGACGTCCTTGGTGCCTACAGGGGGCGTCACATCAGCAATTTTTGAAATGAGTTTGCGTACAGGGCCGTGAAAGCCAGCAGGAAGGCAAGCAAGCTCAGGGGGACGAAAAAGCGAAAGCAACACAAAATAAAGCAATCCTGCTCAAGCACAGGTGCACAACATCTGCTCGGCTGTTTCATGCGCGCGTGTTGCAGACAAGGCAGGGTTGGACACTGAGATTTGCACAGCTGTACCTGGATTGCCCAAATCAAAGAGAGCCGTGTTGGTCAAGAGAATTTGCATCACCTCTGCATCTTCCATTAGTGGTCGCGTAGAGAAGAGCACGGCATCAGGGCTATCATCTGACAGGACGACATCCACGATTGTTTCGATATTCAGCGCCAGAATGCTGGCTCTCAAAGCCGTGAAGGAAGAGTCACCCTCCAAAAAGGCACCCTGCGTTGAATACAGCTGGCTGTACGTGGCATTGGGGTTGCTGACAAAGCCGGCCGTGACAGTGTACACAGCATTGCGCTGACCATTGACCACTGTCCCAGTCAATTCGGCTTGAACATGCACGCTCAAGCTTGGAGCTCCGTCTTGACCAAGGGTTTCATCTAGCCACACACGAGCATCAGCACATGCACAGGACAAGTCCAGCCCAGAGGTCTAGCCCATGGCAGACACACATCATTTTGTCTAATCTTCCCAAACCTGCTCCCAAGTTTTGACACGCGAGATGGCCGTGGAAACTTACAAATCCAGTCCTCTACCGCATCTTGTAGCGAGCCCACCATGCTTGTGTCGTTGGCAACCATGATAGACGCAACGCCCGGATAGGTGGACAGCAGAGTTGTCACAGTATCTGGATACCAATGGGCTGCCGTCCGAAGCGTGCAGCTCCAAAGGGCGGCGGAAAAGCCCTCACAAGCAAACTCTGTTTTGGACGTCGCATTGAGGTCGTCGAGGATCGCGGAAATATACTCTTCAGCCGTCATCGGTACCGAGCTGTTTGAATCCCTGCGGCCGGCAATAACAAAGGGCGCTGATCAGTCATGTACAAAGAAGCTAGTTGTCCAGTTCAACCCTTCACAAACGACCGGCTGATAAGCAAAGCTTGACTTACACATCGCGACGCTGCAGGGGGCTGGCAGAGGAGGAGGCCGAGTCACTTTCAGAGGTGACAGTGGCGCTTGTGGAGCGAGTCGTCGATGTCGTTGGTAGACGATCCAGGTCAAGGTCCCATTGCCAAGCAAACGGAAACTCATCTTCCTGGATGGGAGCTTGCCGCACTGCCCACGGGTCTGACACGAACAGCACACCTGCTTGGGCCTGCAAGGTGGCAAGCATAGCCGAATGCAGAACGCCAGGTACTTGGACAACGACGTCCAGCGTCCCTGTCGCATTGTTATGCGTGCTGTTGACGATAGAATAACCTGCCAAACCACAGCCGTGGAGCAGTTCCATCACGGTTGGGGCCTCCGAGGTATTGAGCGTAAAACGCACGCCACTGGCAAACACGACGTTGCTAGCCACATCCGCCTTTTCGCTCAGTTCCAAGTTTCGTTCCTGCAAAAGGCTGATCAAGGCATCCTGCTCGGGTACGCCCAGGACCATGGCCTCAAAGGTTGATGCAGCATCCGTGGCGTGCACGAATAGCGGGAACAAACCTAATGCCAAGAGATCTTGTTCAACATTGTCGGCATCTTTCCACGAAGAAAGGGCACGGAGCTGTAAGACGGCGCGAGGAAAAGCGGCTTCTTGTGCGGCAGCTTGGACGACTTGCGAACGCTCAACATGATAGCGGCAGCTCGTGCTTTCACACGCAATGAGCGCGGCATCAATGGCACCAATTCGCATAAAGTAGTCTTGCTGCACGGCCAGTGTCGAGTCGGCGACGGCAATTTCATACGCGAGAACATCGACGCCAAAAGGTGCAATAGCCACCAAGCCTTCAAGTGTGAGCAGAGCCTCCAGATGTCGCTGTGCAGCCTCCACCATGTCCAAGCGGCAGAGCACAAACGATGCCTGATGAGCCCAGCAAAGCGGCTCGCGATAAACGGCCAGCCGACGTTCATAGGCCTGTGTCAGTAGCTGGCGAGCGCTGGATGCTTCATCGCCGTTTGCTTGAAGGATGACATACAGCGAGACGGCAACAGCCCTGGCCGGCACTGCCAGCGTGGCCAGTCGTGTGTCAAAGGTCAACGTTACACGCGAGCTCTCCGAGACATTGGCCTCGGTCTCAGCGTCGACAACAATGACCCGTTCGCCCGGAGCAACGGCCATGTTGCCCGAGCTATCCGACGCAGCGTAGGACAGCACGTACATGCCACTTGCCGACGCGCTAAGTTCCTCCACGGGTGGGACGAATGAAAAGTTTGTGATAGATCCTTCCAGCCAGTCCTCGGCCGTGACGTCGGCCGAAGGATAAAACTTGGCGCCGCGACGAATGCGGCGGGTTACAATGTGTTGCACACGCACCACCGGGCTCAGGGTGTCCTGCACGGTCACGAGTCGCACGATACTGCCTGTGTTTTGGCAGTCATCGGCCACTGCGTACTCGATCGCCTGCTCTCCTAGAGTGGAGATGTTAACATTTTGCTGACGTTGCACGATGCTAACGTTGATGGCGCCCTGGCATGTATCAAACGCCGCTTCCACTCCCGGATCAAGCCACGCAAAGCCAGCTTCCGTGGTGGTGGCATTTGATCCGCGTAGGACGATGGTGGGCGGTACCGTGTCTTGAACGCTCAAAGTACCCAAGGCGCTGGCTTGCCAGCCACAGGTGTCTGTGAAGCTGAAATTGGCCGTCACAACCTTGGTATTGGCGCACATGGTTTGCTGACTGGAGGTATAGTTGCGTGAGAGCGTATCACTGCATCCGTCGACAGCCAGAGCGTTACCAGACTGGAGCAGCCAGGCTTCAATTTGTGCATCCTGGCTAGCCAAGTCACACTCGATGGTGTGCGCAGGGGGCACGGCCGTAATGATGGGCGCTTGCGTGTCGACCACATTCACTGTGGCAAAAGCATGGGCGGCATTCCCGCAGTCATCAGTCACGGTAAAGCGCACAACCATGCTGCTCATCCCTTCACATGCGTGGAATGTAGTCATTGGATTTGTCAGGTTGTGGCTCCAAGTGACGTCCGAGCACGTGTCCTCGGCTATCCCGTAGCCGGCTGCGTCGAGCCACTGCTGCAGCTGGCCAGCAGAGCTTTCGCGATCACACTCCAATTGGAGATCCTGGGGCGGGCTCTGCACTTGAGGAGGGGTGGTATCCTGGATGGCAACGGTTTGATACATGGTGCCAGCGTTTGAGCAGCTGTCCACCGCGGTCCACGCCCGCACGTAGCGTACGAGGCCCATGCAGTGTCCATCATGTCGCGTCTCCTCGTAGGCAACATCATATTCTGAGCCCGAGCACACATCCCGTGCCATCACCATATACGGATCAGGGCGCGTGGGCTCAAGGCCAGCCCGACCGATGCATTCCAGAGTCATGTTGGGCGGTGGGCCGACCAAGTACACTGGCTCATCGCCAGCCGGTGCTGATGTGACAGCCGGCCCAGTCGTGGGCGAAGCACTCGAGCTCGTATTTGAAGTGCTTGCACCCGTGATCGAGGCAGGGGCTGCAGTCGACACAGGCGCAACGGTGGTGTTGGCCCAGTACAGCACGGGGGGTTGGGTGTCGAGAGCAGCAAAAGACGCGGTGTGCGTCCGAGCATTGCCACACTCATCCTGCACGCTAAATTGAACTGAGGTTGCCAGCGTCTGACCACAGCCTTGGGACCAGGTGGCGTTGGCGCCGTTTGATTGCCAGGTCACGTTGCTTGAGCAGGCATCCTGGGCCGTGCCATTGCCAAAGGATTCCAACCACCAGGTCACGTTGGCGGTATTGCCTGCACCATCGCACTCAAACACAACGTCGGCCGGTGGGGCAACCCACTGTGGTGCTGTGGTATCAACCACGGTCAAGAATTGCGTAAAGTTGTCTTGCCACCCAGCATTGTCCGTGGCCCAGATCGTGCGGGCCAGGGTGTAGCTTTGAGGGCATTGGCCCTGGGTGATGTTGTCCCCAAAAACCACTTGCACATTGGTATCACAGGCATCACGGACGACAACGTCTTCGGTCTGTGGGACTGCATCGCACTCATAGGCCATGGCCACGGAGAGATTGGAGAGCACCGGCGGTTGGGTATCTACAATACTGATCGGGGCCGCCACAGGCAACGCATTGGCGCAGTCATCATGTGCGTAAAGCTGGGCTGAGTAGTTGCCGGTCAGGGTCGAAGACAGGTTGAGGGCATCAAAGGACCAGGTGATGGCATTACCACCACACGCATCCGCTGCTGAAATGTTGACATGTGCTTCCAAAAGGGCTGTAACGTCATCTCGAGTTGAGTCAGCGTTGCACTCAAGGACCGTGGTGGGTACGCCGCTGGGCAGCGTGGGGGCCGTCTCGTCGACAACGCTCACGGTATGTGTAAGGTTCAGCTTGTTACCGCAGACATCCGAGGCCGTCCAGGTGCGAAACACCGTGTATGCGTGACCACAGGTTGCGCTGGGCTCGGTCCAAGTCTGAGCGAGCACCACGGTTGCATTCCCTGTGCAAATGTCGGTGACAGCAACGGTAAAATTGGTGGGCTCGGCTGCGCTGCACGAAACGGTCACGTTATCGGGAAATTCAACAAACACGGGCGGTGTTGTGTCGCGGCGCACAATTGTGGCATTGGCCTGGTCCATGTTACCGCAGTCATCCACCGCCTGAAATGTGACGGTTGCGTTCCCAACAACACCCGCGCAGCCAGCCACAAGACCGTGGGCAACCTCGGCAAAATTGTGCGTGACGGTTACGGGCCCAGTGCACGCATCCCGGATGGTGGCCCCACCATTGTTGTCAAGCCAGGCCTGAATGGCCGCGTCCTGCGGCGTGCCGTCACATTCGAGATACAGATTCTGTGGCGGGACCTGAAATGTGGGTGCTGTCGTATCAATGACCGTATAGTTGCGGGTGACCGACACCGCATTTTGGCATCCATCCACAGCCGTCCATGTTCGCTGCAGCGTGTAGTTGTTTGCGCAGGCCCCGGCGATCGTTTCATCGCGGCTCGTGATGTTGACAAAGGCCGCACAAGTGTCGGTGGCGGAAATACCGCTGCTGGCCGATGGCAATGCGTGGCATTGATATGTGAGGCCTCCATCGGGTACTGCCGTGAACACTGGCGGCACCGTATCTGACGTTCGAAGGTTGGCCAGCGAAAAGTCGGAGCCTCCCTTGGCAAAGCTAACATCCACCCGGAAGAGATGGGCGCTGCACCCTGGGTCAGGGCCAGATACATTGAGGGCTGTCGTGGTAAAAGTCGGAGCTCCACAGTTGGTGTGCGTGTCAGCCACCGCACCGAGGTTGTTTGCGCGCCACACCGCCAAATCGACGGCGTAATCGGCACAATCTACCGTGAGATCGGAAGGTGGAGTGTTGATGGAGCAAACTGAGCAGGTTTCGCCTTCTGTATGGCAGTAATAGCCAGGAGTGATTGTGCAGTTGTCTGCACAGCCGTCGTTCCCGTTGTTGGCGCCATCGTCGCACTCTTCCCCAAACACTCGAATACCGTCGCCACACACGGGACTGCAGCTGGCGGCTTCGGCGGACCACGATCCATCAATCTGACAGGTGCGCACCCCATTGTCGTCGTTGGCGAGCGCAAACCCAGTCTCGCAACTGAAAGTGCCAGTCGAGGGATAGCGATTGTTGTTTGTGGAAATGAACGATCCGTAGGCAATACTGGGGACCATGGCACAAGGAACGCCATCACATGTCTCAGCGTTGGTGCCAGAGGTCATGTATCCTGGTGCACAAGCAGTGCAGGGTGCATTGTCAACTGTGCTCTTTGAGGTGTTTACAGGACAAGCTTGACATGAGCCAGCCACACCACCAAAGCCAGCATTACAGGCGCACGTGACACGTGCCGTGAGGCCGCCAGTCGAGCTAAACGCTGGGCAGGACTCGCACTGAGGGCCCGAGGTGGAGGTATTGCGGAACATGTTGACGGCGCATGGTTTGCAGGTGGGTGCGCTGTCACTCCAACTCCCGTCTGATCGACACTCCAAAGAGCTTGCTCCAGCCAATTCATAGCCATCAAAGCAAGTGAAGGTGACCGTGCTAGGAAACCAATTGTGGGTGCTGCTCACGGCACCATACGGCGGTGCCGTGAGGGTTTCACATGGCACACCAGTACAGGCTGGCACAGACCCGCTCCATGTGCCATCTGTCTGGCAGGTGCGCGTGCCATCCGCTGTCAGCGTGTAACCGGCTTGGCAATTGTAGGTTGCAGTGGCGGGAAAGATGCCGTTGTTTGACACGTCCAATTCACCGTTCGCTGGTGCCACGAGAGGGTCACACGGAATCGCGGTGCAGGTCGGTGCCTCAGTATTCCACATCATGGCGGAGCCAGACCAAATGCATGTGGCCTCGGTATTGCCCGAAAGAGTGTAGCCGGCGTCACATGCGTAAGTGAGGGTCGCACCCACGATCGGGTTGCTGCTAGAGCTAGTCGCCGACCCATGGGCAAACACGGGCAGGGATGGGCAAGGTAAGGTCACGCACATGGGCGCAGAGCCTGACCATTCGCCGCTGGCTTGGCAGGTGCGGCTCGCTGGGCCGCTTCGGGTATAACCCTCATTGCAAGAAAACGTGGCTACGCTCTCAAAATCAATGCCACCGCTCGTGTCCACAAAGCCATTGCTGAGCGCGGGCAGGTCCCCACAAGAGACACGGGTGCAAATGATTTCTGCTCCTGCCCAGGTCAGCGCCGGTGTGCACGAGCGACTTGCATCCCCACCGGTCTGCTCGAATCCCGCAACACAGCTGGAACAGGATCAAGATCAACACAGGAGGAACGACATGAGGCTACTCGCGAGGCAAGCCTGACTGACAACACGCCTCTCAACGAGCCGGCAGGTGCACTTACGCAAACGTTGCGATAACGGGATAGCGTCGCTCTGAATTGCTGTACGTGAGCACGGCGCTGCTGACTGCGGGCAAAGCGGGGCAGACTAGACCCACGCAGGTGCCCTCTGCGGAGCCCCCACAGCCAGTGCGGGTGTAGCCACTCGGGCAGCCAGGGCATGGGTAGCAAGATGTAGCGTATGTCTGCGATTGTGGTGGGGCAGAAGCAGAGGAGGACAAGTGGAGAAAGCACATACGCACAAAAGAGGCATTCAAGGTGTGAGAAGGCGGATTCTTGATCTATGCGGGGCTTGGAAAGAGGCTGACGCAGTCCGACCTGCTGGCTTTGGTAGAATCCGCTCGCGCAGGCAACGCAGGTTCCTGCGCTTCCACCACCGCAACCGTCACGATAATAGCCCGGACTGCAGGAAGCGCAGGATGGGCAGGTGCGTGATTGGTGTTCAGTTTGGCTCTGATAGGTGCCTGAGTTGCACACTTGACAAATGCCCGGGCCAGTGGCACCAGCACAATTGGCAAGATACTGGCCTGTGCCACACGTTCTGCAGTTTGTGCAGCTGGTCAGGCGGTGCGAGGAAGAGGCTTGATAGGTGTTGGCTGGGCAGGAGGAGCAGGCACCAGCAGATGGACCAGCACAACCCGATTGATACTGGCCAGTGCCGCAGACCTTGCCCGTGGCGGCGCAAGAAGAGCAAGACGTCAGGATGTGACTGTTTGTAGTTTGAAAAGTTCCACTGCCACATGCGGCACACGAGCCACCACTTCTTGTGGTGGCTCCAGACTTGAAGGTGCCGGCCGGACAGGTGGGCCACGGCGTGCATGAGGTAGTGCGGTGGGCAGAGGTGGCAATGTAGGTACCGTAATTGCAAGTGGTGCACGAGCCGGCCGAGAAGATGCTACCCGAAAAATAAGAGCCTGCTCCGCATGTGTTTTGAGCCAAACAGCTGGTGCTGCGGTGGGCGTCGGAAGACTGATATGTGCCGCCTCCACATGCCTACAGAGACCAGATGATGTAAGCGCGCAAAGGTGAAGGCTGTCCCCTGTGCTAGTATTGTTCACTCTTTCTAAGCAACACGAACCGTGCATGCAAGTCCTGAGTTGGCGTTGCACGTGTAGAATTGACCGGCATTGCAAGTAGAGCACCGTGTGCAGGCCGTCTTGTATACACTGTTTTGAGACTGATAGTAGTTGGTTGCACATGCCGTGCAACTTCCAGCGGAAGTGCCTGCACAACCAGTGGTGTAGCGACCCGTGTTGCACTTGGTGCCGCTACCGGAGCATGACAGGCATGATGTGGCGCCCGTGGACGGTTGAAAGGTACCCTGGAATAAAACCAATCGTCAACCCCGGTAAGCAAGGTGTTGACATTAACAGGTAGGTAGAAAATCAAACTCCCAACACGTTCTTGAAGCTAAAAATCACACTCTCGAGCATTGGAAGGGAATGTTTTCGTTCCATGACTACCCACCGAGGCGCAGGTTGGACACGGGCTCGTGCGCGACGTGCTACCACTGGATGTGCCTGCTGCACAGTCTTTGCAAGAGCGTGACAAGTGGCTTGTCTGATCTTGATATTTTCCAGCTGTGCAATCTGTTCAGAAGATGAGAGATCTGGTGCATTGAGGCGTGATGATGAAATGCAAAGGACATGCGTAATCTCACGAGCGCCTACCTCGACACCCACTGTTGGCAATGTTATGACTGTTACCCCCCTGAAAGTAGTGTCCAGCGCGGCAATTGCAGGAGTTGCATCGCGTCTTGCCCAAGTTCTATTACATGGTGACCAGTCGGTGATGAGGGCAGTCGTTTCTCTTCCACGTGCTTTGAAAGCCGACGGATTGGACACATAAAACATACACAGCCTCCCGTGCAGGTGGCGCAGTTGTTGGAGCATGAGTCATCGCAGCCACTGTCACAACTGCCACAGGCGCGCGGGGCTTCAAAGTTAGATGCGATCATCAAGGCCCTAGCCACTTTTAAGAGGTCCGAATACCCACCCGCCATCGCAGCCAAAAAAAAGGTATTTACAGCTATCGTCACACTCATCGTCACAACCTCCGCTGCAGCCCTAAGTTTGGTGAGAGCCAGAGGACGCTAATGAAACGACATGTCGGTTTTGTTTTTGTTTTTGTTTTTTTTGGTTTGTTTGTTTGGTTGGTTTGCAAGGGCTTGATGGCAAGAATCTTACGTAGCTGCCGCAGTTCGAGTTACAACGGTTGCTGTGGTAGGAGATAATATAGGATAGCATGAGGCGGCTACCTCAGACTGGAAAGGGGGCAAACTAGATTGCGCTGAACATACGTGCACTCGTAGTAGACACAACCATTGCAAGAGCCGCCACGAGAATTGCCAGGTGCCGTCCAGGGAGCCGAGCGGCGGTGACGTTCGACAATCTACGGAGGGGTTAATTGTGAGTGCGCGTGTTCGTCACTCGCCAAGAGCATGTGAGGGAGCGTACGTCGTAATGGGTCACTGGGTTGGTGAGAAGGCCCTCAAAAGTCACTTCGCGTCCCTGTGAATCCCAACCCAAAGAGGCGGTACAGCTAGCCAAGCGCTGGAGGGTAGCCAAGACATCCTTGGAGGTCACGTAGGTGAAATCAAGTTGTGGGTCCTGGGCCACGAGCGTACGCAGAGAGTCCTTTTCGAAACCAAGAAGACGCTTTTGGGCCATCTGACACGGCTCGTCCGTAGGAAACGTGGCCAGCTCAAGCCAGTGAAGGCCAGAGGGTGAAGTCTCAAGCGAGGCAAGGGTACTCTCGATAACGGTACAAGCCTGGTTGTCAAGAACCGCACATGCACGGCGGACGAGATCAATCCAAGATTGGCCCTGTCGCTCCAGGGACAAGGTGATATGCGCGGTAGTTGTGTTGGGCGATGTTGTGGCGAAGTGGATGGTGGACTTTGGCAGGTAGAGTACATCGCCTGGACTGAGGGTGAAATGCTCGCAGCGCATCTTGTCCGTCTCTGCAATGTCAAAATTTGTGCAGCCTACCACACACATGGGGAATGGTGGGGTAGAGGTCAGCTGCGATTTTCAAGGACGTGATGCTAAAGAACACACGGTGAAAGCATTGGCCTGACCGTCGACACTCTTGCGCTGGATCTCAAAGAGCTGGGCCAGCTGAGCTTGGGACGCATCGGCCCACTCGGTGCTGGAATCCAACGGATGACAGACAGTCCAATGCTTCTGGCCATGCAGGTGCAGGACCAATACGTCGTAACTATCAACACGTTGAGAGACCAGGGTTAATTGCAGGTCAAGGTGATTCATTCAAGCGCGTTCAAGGTGCCCGGATGACATACGGATCGGTGTGAGGGTTGAGAGCATGAGCCTCGCTGCCCGAGAGATACACATGCGAGGTGACTGTCGAGCTGCCAAAAGCCGTCTGAATCAGCTCTTCAAGGCTTGTTTGGGCGTACCCGGGAAAATACTCTTCACGAATCACCACCGAATAGCTGTGCTGGACGAGGTAGTCGTAGAGGTGTTCCAAGGACACGCGCTCCAAAAGCGTATCAAGTGGTACATCAGCAGCGTGACGGTCACGAAAGGCGATTGCATCTTGGCTGCGACCGTAAAGGTTGACCAGTGTGATCAGCGTTCGGTTGAGGTCGGCCTCGGCCATGAACGAATTTAAGAGCGGATCGCGAGCAAGCCAGTTGGCCGCGGGCGCGAGCGGAGCAGGGAAGATGGCGTGCCGCTGTCCGTAAATCTCGTGCACAAAGTGGGTGCTGTTTGATCCCAGCAGTGTGGACATGGCACCGGTCACGGGGAAGCCTTGGGCGGTGGGAGCCAGCAGAGTCACAAAGGCAGCCAGCAGCAATGCCAACGGTTTGTTCGACCATGACAGCCGACCGCCTTGCGGGCGTCGGCTTTGCCGACGCCTTGTTTGCAGCACACGCATGAAGATGAATCCGAGGAGGAGGATGTAATCCCAAGAGGAAAGGGAAAGGCAGCCGCGAGTTCGTTTGTGTAAAATATACTCTGAGGCGGCTCAAGCCCCAGACGTGGGGGTGCATTGCGCGTTTTGACACGCAACAGCCGGTGCCCACCGGAGCAAAGGACATGTTGAAGGCCACGGTGGTGGGCAGTGTGTTGGTCTGTTTCGGACTGAGAGGGTTTGTGGGGTTGTTTTTGCCACACCTGCTTGGTCTACTCCCATAGGGGGTTGTTGTTCAAGGCAATACCGCGTGATACACAGGCACCTGCTTCATGTATGAGTCATAACGCTACCAACCCGATCACGTTCTGCAGTTACTATGAAACCACACAGAACAATCACGGTGCATGTGATATGCTTCGCGTGTTCTCATCCCATTGCCCGTGCCCCCCCAAAAGAGTAGACGTGGCCGAAGACGGCCCATGTGTAGGTGACGTTCTCAAGTGTCACGTGGCGTAAGCTTGAAGTACCCATTGAAAATGTCGAGGATTTGTGGGTACCGGCCCAAATGTGCAGAATTAATTGTCACCTTGTCTGTATGCCGTGATTTGGGGTCCGACATGCGCAGTCCGATGCCTTGATGCCTACCATGCTTGACTCTGCTTCCATGCCTCCATGCTTTTATGCTTCCATGTTCCTTACTTCGAAATGTGTGCTGAAACGTTTGGTGCTGCAAATGTTTGGAGCACAAAAAGTCAATCGTGCGCAATATCCACAGCTTCTGAGAAAACCGTCGCCTTACATGCCCAAACTTCAGCATAGTGGTTGGACGATATCCGACATAAATTTATTACAAAAAAAAAGCAGAACGAAAGAGTTGTTGTACTTGACTCACACATCACGATATCAGGGTGTCAACACTTCGAACAACAGCTTCAGAATATACAGGGACGCCGCCAGGGCAGGAAATGGAGCAAGCATCAGGCTTGCAATGAGATGATTCATTGAGCGATATTGCCAAAAAAGGACTCAGCCAAGAGGCAATTTACATGGAGTTGAAGGCCCAGACCTCAACGTCGTGCACCTCAAACTGCTCGCCGCTAGCCAGGGGCGGATTGTTGAACGCAGTGCAGGTCTGTGAGCTGCCACGGTTGAAGTCGCCGTCAATCCAGATAGCAAAGGTGCCGCTACGTAGCACAAAAGGCAAGAAACAAGGCAGTCGTAAGAATACATGTCAAAGATGCTAGCCGGAGATAGTTGAGCAGATACTCACCCGCCACCACCCACAACAATGTTATCATGAGCACCCATCATGATATAACGATTGGCACCCGTCCATTTATACATCTCAATGGTCGGCTTCAGCTTGAAGACAAACGCCTTGCCTGAGCCGTAAAACTTGTTTTCACTGGGGTGCCACGTGTCGGGGGTATACGCGCCAAAAATCTACATGCAGCAACAAAGCACGGATGTGCATGAGGATGGGCGGCGCGATCACTTGGTATCAACAGACGTGGCAAATGACGAGCTCGAACATACGTGACCAGCTGTGTCTCGCACAAACAAAAGCGAGGCCCCGGGGTGTTGATCGGCGTTCTTATACAAAGTTCCCAGGCTATACATTGAAACGCACGCGGAAAATACACAGTAGCAAAGGAGATGAGAAACCAGGCAAACTTGCATAATGCGAGGTCACAAAGAATACCAGGGCGGGGTCACGAAAAGTCTCTATGGCGACAAGAAGCTTGACCCCGGTGGACAAACCTGATGCCATCGCGATAGGTAGAATAAATCATTTTCCAGTCCAACAGGCGCTGCCAGCTGGGCAAATGCTGGGCGACGGCCTCAACCATGTCGGGGGTCAAGAACTTGGACTTGATCTTCGGCACACTGAGCATCATATTAAGGCGCTGCTGTTCCGTTGGGGCCATTTCCTCGTGTTCGACCACCTCCCAAGAGTTGTTGTGGGCCACGGCAACCTTGGTGGTATGCTCAAGATACTGGAAGGCAGGTTCAAGGCGACCCCGGCTCACGCCAAGCCAATATTGAGCAACGGTTCCGGCAGTTGGGGGCTCACCAAAGACGAGTTGCTGACGAAGGCAGATGTAGAGAGGGTAGTCCTCGTCCTCGTTGGAGCGCAACCGCCGGCGAGTCGGCCGAGCGGCGGGTGTTTTGAGCATGGCGGTGACATTGGCCGCCTTTGCAGTTTCACCGGCGACAGCGCTTGTCTCTGTGTCTTGGCCCGAGGCCGCCGCCTCCACGATGGCCTCAGCAGTAGCGGAGGCTGAGGCGGCGGTTGCGGCGTCGCCTCCAGACGCGGTAGCCTCAGCTGATGCCGCAGCGTCACCGTGAGGCGCCGGCTCCGGCAAAGCCTGTTCGGCGCTTGCTTCAAGAGCGGAAGCTGGGGTCGCGGGCGTGGCTAGGCTGTCCGATGTTGAATCAGCCTTGGAAGGCGTGACCACACTGGCTACTTCAGTTTGATCGCTGACTGCTGTGAGCGAGACGTTGGCAGCGGCAGTCATCGCTTGCTCATGCTTTTCTTGGGCGGCGTCTAGTCTGGCCAGGGCCTCGTCTGGGTTTGCTGTGTCCTCAGTGTCCTGACCATCTTCTGAATCGTCTGGTTCGTCCTCTGTCAAGTTGCCGCCATCGGTTTCTGGGTCGCCAAGGGTTGCCTTTGCTTGGATAACGTAGGGAGAATCTTCACCCAGCAATCGAATCGTGCGTCGCAAGTCTTCCTGCAAGTGGGCATGGTGGCGCCCGGCAGGGTCCAAATGATGGGGACGAAACTCGGGCGCAGCCGTCTGTGAGCGCGGTAATAACAAGTCTTCCGTGTCTAATGACACATGCGACGTAGCCATGTGGCGAAGTGATCCATTGGGATAGGCCAAGGCGGTGGTGCGCAAAGAAACCGGTGAGTAGGCAGAGGAAATCCGGGTGCGGAGCGCTTCGCCTCGGAACAAGGGGGAATACATACTGAGTTGGAAGGAAAAACGCTGAGCCCCCAGCTCTCGGACGAGGTCGCTGACATCGGGGAGAAAGGTGACGAGGTGCGTATCCATGGAGAGAGTACCGGCAATAATCCCTTCCCCGTCCGTAAAGTACATGCAGTGCAGGCGCACGGCGTCTTCGCGAAAGTACTCAATCGGGGTTAGGGTGAGGTCAGCGAGGTAGTTTTGGGGCATGGGGGTGATAGAGACGAGGGTAGGGTCGATCTTGGGACCGGCAAAGCGGCGTGCAACCCGTGACATGGAAGGCTGCCGAAGCCGACTCTGGACATAATCGGCAGTTGAGCTGCGAGGTGAAACCTACAGAGTAAAGAGAAGAAAGTGTGAGACATGTCAGAGGCGCAATCATCCAAGGACACGCATCCAGCTGCCTGCCCCACCCGTGTGTGGGTGGGTGGGTGCGAGCCAGTATTGTGGCAGTTGGTTTTTTTTTTGTCCTTTTCTTTTCCTTTTGAGTTTTCGGTGTCTTAAGTTTGGGACGTACGCGTTTGTCAGGAGCAGTGGCGGGGATGTAGTTGACAGCCTCCTGGCTTTCTGGGTCTTTGACAAACAAGGTTTGACCGGGATAGACGTAAGAGCCGCTGAGCTTATTGAGGAGAAGAACTTCCCCGGGTGCCATGCCAAAACGGACGGCGACGCCGCGCAAGGTATCGTTGGCCTGAACGGTGTAGGTAATACAGCCGCTGGGAGTTTTCCGCACGGGAGAGCCAGCGCCAGACCGCATGCTGTTGGAGCGGCTGAGACGTCGGCTGGCGGTCCCGGCGTCATCGCCCTGGTCTGGATCTATTCACGCGTGCAGGAAGAGAGGATTAAGGCTCCGAGACGAGAAGGGGAGGGGGGATTGAAGAAGGAGGGTTGGGCATGGCGTTGCGTGGGGCGGGTTGGCGTGTTGGATGCTTTGAAGCTATGAGACGATGACGCGGAGACGGGTCGAAGGCGGGTGAAGCATACCTGGGGCACGAGCTTTGCCAAAAGAGGGCAAGAGGCTGAGAAAGTCGTCAATGTTCAAATCATTGCCTTGTCCGGACTTTTTCTTGAGTGAGGTGGGTAACGCAGACGCCATGGTGCTACTTGTGGAGACGTGACTGTTGAGTCCTCCCCCGGCAAACCAAGATGTGAGCCAAAGGCTGATGGGCTGCGAGGGGACTAGGATTGGTTGGCAAGTGCTCTCCTCCTCTTCACAATGACCACGGGCCTCAAAGCGAAGGAGAGGGGTCACGGAAAAGGCGAGTGAGGGACACTCACCCAGGGACGGCATAAGCAGGATGATAAGGGTGATTCACGGCCATGGCGCTTTAGGCCGGCGCCAAATTCCCATCAGGCGTCGACATGGGGTAGAGTGTCGCGTGTATTATATCTAAGTGGGGGTGGGGAAGTCGATGGTGAGGCGAAGAGCAACAAGGACATGGTGACGCGTGCAAGATGAGACAGAACATGAAGAGGAGAAGGTGTGCTGCGTTTGTATGAGGAAGGAAGGAAGTACGCCAGGCAGGGAACAGGGCAAGGGAGAATTTGACTCGGCGGCCACGCCGCCGCGCGAGGTGACGCAGCCAAGCAGGCTGCTGCTGAACCCCACCTTCCCGCTTCCCGCTTCCCAGTTCCCAATCTGTTATGATGTTATGGTCAAGAGCAGCTAGTCCTTTACGTACAAGCCAAAGCCCGGTGTCGAGTCGCTGGCGCTCAAGCTTGACGGGCTGGACGGCGCCAAGTCCGCGCAAGGGGCCTCGCGTCCGTTTGCGTTCCGAGGCGAAAGCAGCTCCCAACCCGTACACAGCCACTCGCCTATATCGTCAAATGCAATCCGACACGCCTCCACACGCTGCTGCTATCCCGACCAATCGAATGATACGAGCAACCGAGCGCTCCAGCGTCCGTCCAGCTGCCAACACGGTCAGTCGCGGGGTGTTGTGTCCAAAACTGCACCACCACCATCGTCATCAGCAGCAGTGGGCACCGAGGGGGGCAGAGAGTGTGAGCGAGGGGGAGTGATTGAGGAGAGAGGGGGCGTGATGGTGGTGGTTTTGGAAGAGATGGGAATTGGGGTTGGAGATGGGGGAAGAGGGATGGGGTTGCAGGAGAGGAGAAGAAGAGAGATGGTGGGGAGCAGGATTTGAAGCAATGTGTAAATCAAGGTATAGAGTGAGATGGGAGAGAAATGAGGAAGCAATGGAGAGAGGGAGACTGTGGGATCTATAGTTTGAGAGGGAAGGGGAGGCGTACTGGCCATCATCAGGGATTGATGCAGAGTTTGAAGGCTAAAACAGAGACAGAGACAGAGACAGCCAGAGAGACAGCAAGAGAGAGAAGTGTGCCTCAAAGCGTCACAAAGTGACACACAGAGAGACAGACAGAGAGAGAGAGAGAGAGAGACAGAGAGAGATGAATTTAGAGAGAGAGTTAGAGAGAGAGAGACAAGAGATAGATAGAGAGAGAGACACACACACACACATCACACACCGAGAATGTCAGAGACTCTTGTGATATGGAGGGGCGGGTGCACATGTTGGTCGTAGGGGTGGTTGGAGATGGAGGAGTGTGATACGACACGCCGTGGACGGCTCGATGAGAGTTGCTGATGCAGCCGCTGGTGGAACGGCGCTTGATGCCCTTCATCTACCATCAGCGACGTGGACCGCAATGGGTCGTGCACAGCGGCGGCGGCCGTGGCGGCGAGGCCGCTGCCATTCCACACACACACACACACACACACACACACACACACACACACACACACACACAAGATATTGTCAGAGGTTTTCTTTACAAGTGTGAGAATTGACACATATCGTCTATTGTCAAGCCATCGCGATCAAGTGTGCATAGGTAACTCCGGGTGGTTCATGGGGTCCAATTATAGGCAGTTGTGTGGTTGTGACCCCCATCCCTGTCAGACGAGCTGAAAAAAAAAAAAAAAAAAACGGCAGCGGACCCTCAGTCAGTCACTCAGTCAGTGCCCTTGCTCCTCGTCAGGGAAGCAATTCAAAGCCAACGTGGCATTGAACACTTGGGGCTTTACCTCATTCAAGCAATTACCGCGCCAATGGCCGAACCCACAAAGTCCCGCGTCGCGGCGACGCAGGTCCGATCGCCCCGCCGCCGCCTCCTTACCGTGCGCAACTGCTCGAGCTCACGCGGTGTCACACTCATACCCCTTGATGTGATAGCACGAGGACCAGAACCAGCTCATCAAGCAAGGTGCCGAAGCCGTACGTCGATACCTGGCCCCCGCTCCCGTGCCCTTGGCTGCCCGATGATTCATGTTCGCTTATGCTGTGACGGGCATTGCCTCGCAGCGTGTCTTCCGTGGCAGCTTGTGCGGCAAGAGCTGCATCATCAAAGAACGCTTCCGCAAAGGTTTGTCTCCACCGCGTCTCGCTTCATGCCCAACTCCCTCCCACTTCCATGCAATACCCCACACACACACACACACACACACACCTCCGGAGCACTCCATATGCAACACTCTCACTCGAACGCTCATCACGTATAGAGTATCGCCACCCAACTCTTGATAGCAAGCTCACACAGAAACGTACGGTCCAGGAGGGCCGGGCCCTCGCCAAGTGTCGGACCCTTGGCATTTCCGTGCCAGCCTTGTACTACGTCGACATCACCACCAGCCGCCTCTACATAGAAGACGTTGGTGGGTTCACCTGCCAGATCACACCCACTCCTCCCCGCCGCGTCTGAGGAGGCTCGCACCTGAACCCATACACACCTGGGTACGCATTTGTAGATGGAGAGACCGCCCGCGATTATCTTTATCAGCTGGATGAGGCAGCGCCAGCCCGAATGGAACTCGCCGAGCAGATTGGTCGTGCCGTCGGTCGCCTCCACGCCAACGACCTAATCCACGGTGATCTCACCACCAGCAACATGATCCGCCGCCCCAATGCACAACTCGTCATGATCGACTTTGGCCTCTCCTCCATCACTAAGATGGAAGAAGACAAGGCCGTCGATCTTTACGTCCTAGAGCGTGCTCTTGACAGCACCCACCCCAACTCGGCGCCCTTGGTATGTCTGCCCGCCACACGCTCCGCCGTGCGCATCCCTGCATCCCCCGCCTCATACTCACTTGCCCTGCCCTGCATCAGTTTGCCCGTATCCTGCAAGCCTACCGTCAGAATGCCGGCAAACAAGCGAAACTAGTTCTCAAACGCCTCGAAGACGGTTTGTGCAATACGCCTTTGCTTTCGGCTGACCAACCTCGCCATTTGATTCAATGTCGTCCCGCCATCCATTGCTCCCCTTGATAGTGCGTGCCCGCGGTCGCAAGAAAACCATGCTGGGCTAAAATGTATTAAAAAAGAGAAAAAGACCCTGATCCTCGACACCTAGGTCTGCCTGCTTCTTGTGTTGCCGTTGTCCTTTTTAATCGATCCTTTCACCCTGAAGGAATGATGAAACGGAAAACTGCTGAAACGCGTAAGCGTGTTGTCGCGTGCATGGCGACTTGCCAGCTTGGCCTTTAATAGCAGAAGTCGACGATGGAAAGCCAATAGATCGATCTGATCACAAACACGGCACAGCTCTTCCAGTGAGCAAGGGCGGGTTAGGGATTGGGGGCCGTGGACATTTGCGACATGTGTTGTATGGGGCCTTGTTGTGTGACCTGTATGATAGGGCTTCGTGATGGAAAGTGCGAAGATCGACACGACCGGGGCGCGCGGGCAAGCAAGACGCTGGTGCGTGCATGACAGTACAGAAACAGCTTTGCACCTGTAGGAAGAGGGAGACAGACAGACAGACAGACAGACAGACAGACAGACAGACAGACAGACGCTTAAAAAAAAAAAAGCAGAAAAATTAACCAAAAATTGATTGCAAATTACCTAAAAAAACTCATAAGAACTCACGGCCAGTACAATCTCTGCAAACCTTACAACTTTTACTCACACCAATTCCTCAGTTTGAGACGATCCTCTGAACGGTGCGGAGCCCTCTTTTTTTTATTTTTGGTACGTTATGATCTCTGACGCCGAGTTGACGCCTGTGTGTCGGAGCTAGGCATTGATCACTTGCAATGTCCGCTTTGCTCTGCCCTTGCTGTTCACGCACCCTCACCGCAGAGCAAACTTGCTCACGGGCTCCTCCTCACCCAAAGCTCGATTGCTTTTGCAGCAGATCGCCAACGCGTACGTGGTCGCCTCGGTGAGCATCAACCTCTGGAGCCAGCTGGCAGGTGACGGGCACTTTGGTCATTTCCTCCAGCGTGCTTTGGCAAACAGGCCGCAAAAACGGCAGCATGACCGAGCCCGTCCCTTCGATTCACTCAAATGACCTGCCCCCGTACATCGCCATTGTGTCCAACACGCCGCTTCAGCCTTGCCACGATGCTCTCCTGCGTGGCGCTCAGGGTATCCTGGCTCTTGATGGCGGGGCCAATCGGCTGCACCAGCACGACCCACAGCTCAAGCTAACGGCTATCATAGGAGACTTTGACTCCGTCCTGCCCGCCACTCTCGACCACTACAAGCGGCAGGACCCACCCGCGGCCATCCTCCATCTGCAGGATCAGGACTCGACCGACCTTCAAAAGGCCCTCAACTTCCTCCAGGACACTGATCGCTGGTCCACCGTGCGTCACTCAGGGCTGCGCCTGCCAGCAGGAGCCAACGCCTGCTTCACCCTTGCTTGCAATCGGTCCTTCCACACCTTACTCACGCCTGCTTCGCCTACCGGTCGCATTCAACCTTCTTGCAGGTGGCCCAAGTAGACGGCCTGCATCGGGCAGCACCGGCTACGCCAGCAGCGCGGTGGACCGTGGTCGTGTGCGGTGGTTTGCGTGGCCGCCTCGATCACGTGCTCCAGTCGCTCAACTCGGGGCTTATGTACGTAAACACGCACCGCATCGTGTTTCGTGACCAAGACTGTTTGGCCGAGGTCTTGCCGCCCGGAGACCACCACTTGGGATTGGTGCGTGCCGTCGAAGGCCCCCACTGTGGCCTCTTGCCCTTGGCGGGCTCGGCGCGCGCCGTCACCCACGGTCTGCAGTGGAATCTGAGCGACTGTGACGAATTGGAGATGCGCTGGGGTGGCCTCCTATCCACCAGCAACCGCGCTACCGGCACACACGTGCGCGTCACGTCCTCCTCGGCCCTCCTTTGGACCATCGAATGCACCTAGTGAACCCGCATCAGCATCACGGCTTTGCCAGCTTGCTCATCTGCACTAGCCCATCCTCTCTGGCCGGCTGCCCGTCGGCACACCAGCAAGGCTGATAAGGCCCTCTCTCTTAGTTTATCGCATTGGCTACGTTGGATAAAGGATCAATTTAAAAAACCACGCTGACTGCGGACAAGGCTGGATGTTTCATGTGGATCCTAGTACTAACTTGGCACACTACATGGGCCCGCGTCCTCATGTTTTGGTACACGGGAAAGAAACAACACGCACGTCCACGACCACACCCTCACACTTGCAGCCAAGCTATTACACTTAGTCCCAGTCGGGCTGCGGTACCTCGCTCGGCGCCGAGCCTTGCCGCGAAGCGTGCACAGTGGAAGACCACATGGAGCGATCATAGTAGGACTGATACATGTGCGCCCAACCGCGCGCTGCACGCTCACGGTCCGCTGCTTGCCGTTCTGTGTGTGCCGGTACGGGTCTGCTCGCGGGCGCCACATCATCATCCATCCCCAGCGCCACGTATTCACTGCGACAGGCATAACAAAACACGAGTCAACAACCGGGCGCAGCACCCTGGGCGTTCGACAGCGGCACAAGACAATCCAAGAGGTCGAGGTAATAAAAAAAACAAAGCGCATGCAAGCTAAGAACACATACCCATTTGCATACTGCGAGCGCTCGCCTGGGCCAGCACGCGTGGCAGCGGGCGCCATGGATGCCATGGCGGCTGGAATTGGTCGCAAAGCCGCCGCTGATGCTTGCGCACCATCATCGGAATGCTCAATCACGGACTTTTGAACATGTGACTTGCTCTGCAAAATGCAGTCCATGGCTTCTTTACAGAAGGAGCCAAAAGCAGGCTCGTCTGTTGAACCCACAACGAGAGGATGGGCGCCGAAGAAGGGGCACCAAGAACAGCGAGGAAAGCACAGAAATTAGCAAGACAAAAAACAGCAATTTCATGGCAGGTAAGGACCAGGTTGTGAGCACAGAGGCATGGGGCTATGCTACAGGGTTTGTGGCCAACTACGAACCAGCAAGGTAAGCTTCCTGCTTGTGGTACATATCGACAATGCGATCCGCATAGGCCGGGAAGCGCACAAAGAGCATGTATGGGATCAGGAGTAGCCCGAAAATTTCCTCAAGCACCACGTAAGCTCGAAGTTGCAGAAGCTTGGAAAAGTAGACGCGCGTGCTTTCATTGAGCGGATTGACATTTCGATCGACAAAATCGTAAAATTGCTTCTTCATCAGAGCAAACGGCGTTCGGGGATCCATGTTCACATCGTCGATGCTCACTTGCGGTGGGGCCATCGATCGCGCCACCGCCAACAGGCCACCTTGTGCACCGGGTCACAACAAGATCACAGGTAAGAGGCAAGCAGAGCTAAGCACTTCGAGGCGGGCAGTGTGCGGCGCTTATGCAGCAGTGCGCGGAACAGGCTCGTTGTTTCGGCACTGACCGATCGTGGCAAACCACCACGCAATGGAGCGGTTGGGTGTCAAGTCAACGCGAAGCAGCAAATCCTCATCAAGGACATAACCAAACAGGCTAATGATGACAAACAGGCCACCAAGCACAAACACGAAAAAGCTGCCGGCATGGAGACAAAGCGCGGTCGGACGAATAACACAGCACAGGTGAGGACAGAAGACGGGTGCGCCTCTGATTGACGGCCACGGGCCAGTTCCGCAGGCCAACCAATCCTTAGCAAAACGCAAGTCGATGCCTTTGACCTCTTGGACTGGTCGGATCAAATGAATGCAAGCAGGCAGGGTCTCCCATACCGTGCCACGATATTCCAGGTGTGGGAGACAAAGGAGCGCAAATAATTGCAAGTGGGGTCATAGGCCGCGCTGAGGCGGCGGTGCAGGTAGTGTGGAAGCTCATTGTACACGCGCATGTCCCAGTGCGCAAACGGTGTCCACTGGCGGGCTGCTAAGTAGCCTGGCTGCTTTTGAATGAGGTCTACGCACACAACCAGGAGGTGCCATGGGGAATCAGATAAAATGTTAAACGAGTGCCTGGGCCGGCTCAAGGCAAGGGCAAGAGCGTGCGCACGGACCAGAGTGTCCAAAGCAGAACATGACGAAGCGATGAATCAAGAAAAGCGGGCAGAGAAGGATGTAGGCTATCCCGTAAAGCTATTTGGATATTCGCCAGCAGCAGCAGCCACCGCAGAAGCAGACAGCACAAGGGTATAAGCAGAAGGTAAGAGAGGCAAGAGAGGCGACGGTCACGACCAAGGTCTGGGCAGTTTCCCTCGCCCTCCTGAGCGATCAAACATGCTTACGCGAAAGTAGTATCTGAGTTCACCGGCAATCTGGTCATGGCTCTGGACATTGCGAACCTAGCAATAAAGCGCAGAATACGTCAGGCATAGCAGCCGGCTCATGCCAAGTCAGACACCGCCAAGCGAGACACCGAAACCAACCTCGTCTCGGAGACGACGGTGCTTGTTGTAGAGGACACCATTGATCACTCGGTGCGCAGCCCACTGCAGCGAGGCAGGAAGAAAATCGAATTCGCCCACAAGGGGTAGCTGCAGGCTGACATCCACCACTTGGTTCTTGTACATGCACAACAAAAAGTTGTCGTGCTGAAGGATGATGGACACAATGTCCATTACGTCCAGGTTTCTATCAGCGCGGCGGCATTGGAATACCTGTGAGCAGCAGCTTTGATTGCAACAGGAGACAACCGGGGGAGCACGCAAGCAAACGGGGAATAGCTCACTTTTTGATGGCGCAAAATTCATGAGTTTGCTGTGCCAGCTCGACGGCGTACACCACGTCCGACCACTGCGGGAGAGACGCGCGCGGGGTGGGCGGCGGTGAGCCTCTTGACCCGCCCTTATATTCACATGCCTCTGCTACAGGCCAGGGTGCTGCGTGAATCAGGGACGTACTGGCATGTGTTGCAAGCTGGCGTCGGAGATACGTAGAACCTTGGTGTAGAGCATCTATCATGGGGGGCGGAAGTGCAACAAAGCGACAGGCAGAGCATGGAGACACGCGTCGACACAGGTGCGCGCAAGCTGGAGGAGAAGACGATGCACACGCTTCATGACACAAGTGACGCACCTTGATCTCGACAAGGCGCGGCACACTGGCAAGTAAGCCGACGAGGTGATAGGTCCACGTGGCCAACAGGCAGGCGCACAAAAAGTACCAGAATCCGTTCAGTCTGAGGGCACCGGCCAGGCCGTGCATGAAGATGGATGAGGGTTCCACATGAAAGCAGATGCGCGTGCGCGGACCAACGATGGCGGGCCTGACCGGTGGAGTCGTCCAAAGTCAACGATGCGGTGGCCGAAGCAGTCCTGTTCAAAAAACTTTGGGTTTCGGACCTCGCCATCTGGACAGGGCTGCCAAAACCGTGCACCGTTGGCGTTTGCGAATGAGCAGGTGGTGCTTGGGTGGCCAGGGTTGTGGTGGCATGGACAATGCGCGCCTCAACGCGCCCACCTGATCGCTCTGCTCGACGACGCGGTTGAGGCCACGGTAGTCGATGCAAAAGGCCAGAAAGACGACGAGCAGAAACACAAAGGCCACAATCCTAACCCGCCAGCCCATGCCCGGTGCCATCGGGTTGAGAGAGGGGAGTGGGCGTGTATGAGATGTGATGCTTGTACGACGTCAACAAGCAACACGACCAACTCTTCACCAGCTGGCCACCCTCACCCCCAAAATTTATCGTGGTTACGGTGCACCATGGGGCTTACAGCAAGTCCGTGAAGCGACGCAACAGGATATTGACGAGACCACGTCCACAGTAGTACTCGTAGATACGGTTGAAAAAGGAGGTGAGGTCCGACTGCACGGTCCAGTTGGCAGTGAGGAGGCCGCAACAGTACGTGCTTGAGAACACGACTTCATCGTGCTCATCGGCGCCATCGGCGATGGATACTCTTGCAGCGCCATCGGCGCCTTCTGCCTGGGTCAGGCGCTGTGTAAGGTCTGAGTTGGTGTCGCGCCGAGCGCGTGACGAGCCACCACCCATGGCACCGCCGTTTCAGATTTCACTCAACGACGGAGCCCTGCTGAGCTGTGACACCCCAACAACAACAACACAAGCACAAACGCCGTCAGTCAGTCACAGTCAATGCCACACCCTGTATCCTTGAACGCTGCCAAAGATGTGAGTACCCTACCCGCGCCAAATGCAATGCCTGCCCGTTCCCCTTGCCCCTTCCTGCCCCCATTTACCACGGTGGCGCTGCCACTTACCTCTAACGCGCGCGCGCTCTCTCTCTCTCTCTCTCTCTCTCTCTCTCTCTCTCTCTCTTGTGACGAAGATGCTGAGATTATAAAAAGCAGAAAGTGAAGAAAGTGTAGTTATTGTTGCTCTTGTAAAAGATACTGTACCACAACTATAGACTTATCGACTTTAAAGTAAAAGTTATTGAAGATATTAAGGAGCCGTATAGGGTTTATTATTGATGAATGGACATGGTTTGTGAATAAAATAGTAATGTTATTGTTGCTATGTTTTGTGGTTGAGGCTGAAGGTTTTTGGGTTGCTGTTGCAGTTATGAGCCGCGTCATGAGCAAGGCACAAGCACATATCACAAGCAGGACGTGCGTTTGAGCCAACTTTGGGGCGGGGTCTGAATCACGAGCCGGCTAAGCCGGTCAAGAGGGTGAGGATGCATCTCCCTCTCTCTGTGGTGTCGTGTGAGAAGATCTACGCGCTTGTCTGTGGCGTCTCTGTGCAATCGCGCTGCCGTTGGGCCATTCGGATTGACACATGTAAATCCGGTTCCTCTCGATGCCTTGCCAATTCTCGCGCAAAAAACGTGTTTGCTGGCCGGTTGTGGAAGCGCTCAAAGCGGGTCAATTGAAAACATGGTAAGAGAACGGCAAGAGAACAAGACAACATCACACGCCATTCAACACCGCCTGGGTGCTTGGATCGTGTCGCGGGCGGGGCGTCGACACGCCTAAGTCCGCATGACAAAACACAAACAAGCACACGGGGGGCAAGAAGGAGCAAATCAAGGAAACATTTTGAAAAGCGCCACAAGACCAAGCGGCCGTCAACAGCTCGCTTGCGGGCGCGAGACACACACTTGTATTTTGACACAGGCATGAGAGCCAACAACGACAAAAAACAAAAACAAAATTGGGATGACACACGACAGAAATAAAAAGGGCTTGACATGGGTCAAGCTGGGCGGTTTATGGTCGAGGCTTAGTTTTGGCCGTTGCCGGCGCACACTACAAGCAAATACAAGCAGCCAGGCAACAAGAGTGAGTCAACATCGGTATGCCACAACCAAGGTGCGCACCGACATGAGCAGGCAAACAGTGGGGACAACTTACGTTCAACGCCGGCTTCAGCGCCGGCCTTAGCTTTGAACTTGCCCCAGTCCTTGACAGTCTTGTCGCGATCAAAGTCATTCATATCACGGGTGTACATGGCATCAAAGCCATCATCCGAGTTCCATTTGCCGCCATAGCCTCCCACGTGGGCCTCAACGCCAGCCTCACCGCTCCAGCCACCCTTGCACGGGTTGCGGCCCGGCATGTTCTCAGGCGTAAAGTCGTAGCCACCAGAGAGCTCACCACCCAATTGCGCCGGGCCCGCGTTAAGCGAGCCATAGACTTTGCCGTAGGCCTTCATCTTGGACGCCTTGGCATCGCCAAAGAGGTCAATGTCCACGCCACCGCCAAAGCCCACGTACTTCTTCACACAGACAGACGCCTCAAAGCCGCGGTCACTGTCGTAGTCGGCGCAAAATTCAAAGCCGCTGCCAAAGATAAAGCCGGCCTGCAAACCAATGCAGAAGAGGCCGAGCGGGTCCTTAAAGTTCACTGGGTCGTTGAACACGTAGGCAAACAGGTTGGGCGAGCCACCGCCAAAGACCAGAGGGTCCTTGGCGCAAAAGCGACCAACCACGGGGTCGTAGTCGCGGCGGAAAAAGTTGACCAGGCCCGTTGCCTCATCCGCAATACCACCGGCGAAGCCAATGGGCAGGTCAAACGTGCCCGTCTCGCTCTGCAGGTGACCGTACGCGTCATAGGTACGCGCGAGCACGACCGTGCCCGAGCTTTCCTCAACCACGGCGAGCGGTGTGCCCACGTGCGTCGTGACCACAATGTAGTCAACGTTGTCGTAGTGAATCACCGCCAAGCGGCCGTTGGGGTCGTGGCGGAAGCGCATGTGCTTGCCCGTGGGCATGTAGATATCTGTCACCAGATGGATTTGTCCGGGGTCATTGTACATGTAGTATGTCACCTCCTCCAGGGGCGAGATGCGCATGATGCGGCGACCAAAGCCATCGTAACGGTAGCGCACCGTACCGGCACCGCTTGGCAGCGTTGCCGAGAGCAGCTCACCGCGGCCCGAATAGGCCAGGGACATGCCACGCACACTCGTCAAAAAGCCGTCCACGTCCACGGCGTATGACTGGCCATCAACCGTGAACACGGCATCGTCGGCACCATAAGTAGCCGAATGCGCGGCACCGCGCACGTTCCAGGCCACGCGGTTCCCGTTGACGTCGTAGCTGTACGATTCAACCTCCGCGCCGTCCTCGAGGACTTGCGTAAGCTGACCATCCACGTCGTACACAAAGGTCGTGTTGACGGTGTTGCTGCTGCCTGGCAGCTGGTGCAGCCAGCCCGAAACAAGATTGTCGCCCTGCGCGTACAGGAGCTCCTCTTGGAAGACGGGGGTGGAGCCCGTGGTCACGTACGCCTTGCGCTCAGCAGGCAGGCCCAAGCTGTTGTCCAGCGACCAGTAGCCCAAGCCGTCTGAGCGTCGCACGGTGAGCTCATCGCGGTTTGGCGAGTAGGTCAGGGGAAAGTCATCCACCTGGTACACCAAGCCATTCGAGTCGCGGTACACACGCGTGTTGTACAAGCGGTTGTTGTTGTAGTACACGTCGTAGTCCTGGACGCGCCACGAGCTCTCGTAATCGAGCTGGTAGTAGCTCGAGACCGAGCCAGCGTCCGTAGTCCAGCGTTGAAGCAATGGGCCGTCCCACACAAAAGTCGACTGCACTTCCTCGTGACCAGTGCCGTAACGCAGCAGCGAGGATGGGCGCGCCAAGCCGGGAATGTAATCCAGGTCCAAAAACTGATCGCCGTCAATCTTGCGCGTGACCAGACCACCCTCGCTGAACTCGTGCTGGATGGTTCGGCCCGAGGGCAGGGTAATCGACTTGATCTTGTTATCCAGACGCAGCGTCTGCATCATGACGTGGTCCTCTGGATCAGTGTACGTGTCCGTGTCCTCACCAATGTGATCGGCGTAGCCCATCACGTGGGCGGAACCGCTGGGCAGCGTCACCTGGCGCAGCCGGCCAAGCGTGTCAACGTCAAAAGATACGGTGCGGCCCGAGGGGTAGGACACGTTGCGACGAGCCAGACCAGAGCCCAAATTTTCCTGTGAGTAATGGGCACTGAGTCCACTGCTGGAGACCCATGACGTGACGGCACCCGAGGCGTCGTAGGTGTAGCGCACATAGTAGTTGCCGCGACGCGTCTCGTTGACTTGGCCGTTGGAGTGATATGAGGTCTCAATCGCGTCGAGGTTGCTACCCGGAAACGTCTGCGTAATGGTGCGGCCAAAGCCGTCGTAGGCCATCACAAACTGTCCCAGGCCAGGCACCTCAGAGGTTACCTGGCGGTTCACAACGTCGCGGGTGACGGTGTGGGCCAACCTTCCGGCAATCGTCGTTTGCTTGGTCAGGCTGGTCACCGAGAAGGGGTCGGTCACGTCGGTTTGGGTCACCGAGTAGGCATAGCTGGTAACGAGCGCAGAGCCCGACGGCCGGACCATGCGCTGCTGCGTCACGACGCGGGCTTGGCCCTTCCAGACGGGGTGAGGGCTCACCAGGGCAGTCAAGGAGGACCCATCCGGGTTGTACTCATTCCACGAGCCATCCGGGAAAACATCCGTGATGCCAACACCACCGTGCTCGTTGGTGGCCGTTGTGCGGGTGCCCGTGGCGCTGGAGAGCGGTGCGAAGGAGAGCTTTTGCACCTGAAGCTCGGGCAGCGTCACCACAATCTGATACTCGCCCGTCTCGTTGTTCTGGCGCCGCGAGAGCTTGGTTGTGCCTCCACGCGGACCCGAATCGGCGGTCAAACGGCCCTCCGAGTTGTACACGTACGAATGCAAGCGACCCTCGGCGTCAATCTGTTCCTCGAGCAGACCGTCGGGGATGCCCATGGGGGTCATGCGATAAGCAAAGTAGTAGGAACGATCGTTGGGCTGGCGGATGGTGCGCAAGTAGCCCGATTCATCAATCTCGACATCCGTTACCACGCCGTTGGCGGTAATGCGTGTCAGGCGACCCGTGGCAGCATCCCGGGCAAAGACAATCTCATCGCCAAAGGCCGTGGTCAGGCCCGTGAGGAGCTCGGGGTTGGTGGCGTCGTACTGGAAGGTCAGGATGGGCTGGTTGGTAATTGTGCTGCGCGTGGTCAGATGGCGCCCGTTGTTGTCAAACACGTAGACGAGAGTGGTTCCCATTTCGGGAACCGCGAGCTCAGTACCGTAGGCAAAAGTGTCACGCACGCCGAGGGAGCGGATGGCACGGTTACCCTCATCGGCCACGTAGACGAGGCCACGGTGGATGGAGACATCTGCGGGTGCCTTGAAAAGGGCCGCATCGGGGGCCTGCGTGCCGCCAATGCCTGGGCAGCTGGAGCTGCTGGAACTGCTGCAGAGCGAGGTGGAGCCGGCCAGGGTGCGGATCATGCCCTCGGCCGTGACCTCGCGCACGCGGTACATGCTGGCTTCGACAAAGACAACCGTGCCAGTGGCAGAGATGGCCAGGCCGCGCGGATCCTGCAACGGAGTGAGGGCGGCCACGGTCTCGGTAATGCCAATCTTGTCGTCCTGGTACGGCTCGGCACGTTGTTGCGAGTTGGGCGGGTACCCGGCCACCACCTGCATGAGGTTGGCCGAAGTGATCCGGTAGATCAAGGCGGAGGCGCCGTCCAAGATGTAGAGCGACTCCTCCACAGCGCTGTAGGCCAGGTAGGTGGGTTGCACCAGAATGGCGTCGGTCAGTGGCACGTCCGGAACGTAGGCCGGGAGCATGCCCTGCATAAACTCGGTAGCACCGACGTGGGTACCAATGACACCGTCGGGGGTCACGTGCACGATGCGCGTGCCGTCGGCAAGGTAGATGTCACCGTCCTTGAGCACCGTGAGGCCCCGGGGCATCATGAGAGCAGCGTTGACGGCGAGGCCACCGTCGCCGCATGCCCGTGCCTGCTGAACAAGGTCCGAGGGGTCGCATGCCTCACCCGTGCCGATGATGGGCTCGAGCGCGCCGGCCGAGGTCAGGCGGAACACCTGACGACGGCTAGGAATGGACACGAGGAGGTCACCCCAGGTCGGGTGCACGGCCAAGTAGTAGGTGGACGTGGGCTCGCTACCAGGGGGGAACGTGTAGGCAATGGTGACGGTGCCGTTGGTTTCGCGGCGATAGATGACATTGTAGTCGCCGATGAAGAGCGAGCCTGAGGGGTGGTGGGCCACGGACGTCGGGCTGTAGAGGGAGGAGGTGTTGCCCTCGAGACCACACTCGGTGCAGCTGGTGCTGCGGCGGTTATTGCCACCGAGAATGGTCGTGGTCACGCCCTTGCTGGCATAAAACTGCGTGCGAGTGCCGTCACCGCGGTGCAGCATGCTGGTGCTGGGGTTGTAGCGGTGGTGCACATCGAGAGACCAGCCGCCCATCTTGAGGCGACGGATGTCGCGACGGCCCTGCAGCGTGCCCTGATACTCGTTGGAGACGGCAATGGTGCGGTTGGCCATTTGGTTGGCCGTACCTGAGGTGCGGCCGCTGGGCACGGTAACACTGCCCGAGAAGCGGCCAAAGGCCGCGGCAAAGTTACTGCGAGAGGGGTAGTAGGTGAGTGGGTAGGTGTACTGGCGTGTCACGGTATAATCGATCTGACCGAGCACGAGCGCGCCGCGGTTGTCACGGCGGTCCCAGACGAAGCGCGCCTTGAGGTTGGGCTTGCCCGAGTCAAAGGTGCGGGAAAATTCGCGACCGGCAATTTTGAGCGTGACAATGACGCCAAGCAGGGAGTCCGGGGGGTTGGCCGAAGTCGCAGGCACGTCGATGGCCACGTGATAGCCGGGCATGCGGTTGCTCGAGTAGACGAGGTTCATGTTCGAGCCAGCAATGTTGATGGCCTCGCTCAAGGTCTGAGTGCTGGGGTGGATGATGGAGCCGGCCTTGGCGCAATCCGGGTCTTCGGGATTGTCATCGTTGTCCTCGGGATCATCCGGAGGGTTGGGGCACTGGGCCGGGGAGCAGCCATCCAGCGGGGGCCCGTAAGGCCAGTTGCAATCCCAAGGCGTGGCGTGGGGGACCAGGACACGCCAGATTTGAGCGCCAGCACCGTAGAGCTCGGCCAGGCGTTGCTTCTCGGCAAGAGAGATCTGAAAGTGGCTCTCGAGTTCCTCGTCGGACAGTTCGTCCACAGCGGTGGGGTTGCGGTGCGCGTTGACCTGCTGGAAGGCCTCGTCATCACAGCCGGCCTCAATGTCAGCAGAGAGAATGGGCTCGGAGGCAATGTCACCAAAGTCTGCGGCGTTGGGGCGCAAATTCAGGACGGCCGTGTCCACGCCGTTGACCTTCTCAATGCGGACAATCTCAATGACGCGACCGTCAGATTCCGGCATCCAGGCCTGGGCTTGGCGGTTGTAGGAGCCCACGGGCACCACCGAACCCACCGGGAAGCCCAAAAAGTTTTCCGTGTAAAAGGGGACGGGAGAACCAAACTGGACGTTGGTGTCGCTGTTGACGGTGGCCTCGTCCAAGCTAATTTCCACGGCGTAAGTGTAACCCGAGTTGGCGGGCAGCTCGGAGGGCATGGCTTCGGGGCCAGCCGAGCCCACGGTAAACTCGGTGATGCGCAGGTTCATAGAGGGGAGCGTGGAGTTGGTGCCGTCCGTCATGTTCTGCACGGTGGCCGTGTTGTTGCCGAAGAAGAGCATGCGGGCGGTACGAGAGCCCGATTCGTCTTCCACCGCATCACCAGAGGCAACGACGCTGTCCTCGCTGCTTCCCGTGCCGAGCTCGACCTCGGTCTTGATGTTGGAGACGGGCTGCATGACCACAGCCGGGATGATGGTGCGTTCGTTCTCTGGGATGTAGGGCGTGCGCTGGGACTCCATAAAGTCGTCACGCGCAAAGCGAATGCTGAGGTAGCCACCGCCGTTGACAACCATGTTGAAGGCGCCGGTGGCGGTGGTCATGGTGTAGCCAAACTCCGGGTGGCCCAAGATCTGCACCTTGACGCCCGTGACAGGAATGAGGTTGGTATCAAGAACGGTGCCAGTCACAAGGGCCACGCGAGCCTCATCCAGCTGGCTCGTGTCAACCTCCATCTGGGTGGCCGAGTCACCGTCAACGAGAGGCCACCACTGCTCGAGGAAGGACTCCTCCTCGATGGGATCGACTTCATCGATGGGCGCGGTGAGGTTGACCTTGGTGACTACGTCGTCGGCATCAGGGACCGTTTGACAGGAAGGGTGGTCCTGGCAGGCCGGGCTGGAGCAGCAGTCAGCATCGTTGCAATCGGTGACGCGATCGTTGTCATTATCAATGCCATCGTTACAGTTGAGTTCGATACCGGCCTGGCAAGCATCACCTTGCCAGCCACTTTGGCACTGGCAGCTCCAGATGGCTGTCTCTGAGTTTTGTACACAGGCGCCGTTGCCAGAGCAGTCCTTGCGACAACCTTGCACATCACAGTATTCGCCGTTCCAGCCCGTGCTGCAGACGCAGGTATTATTGGAGCAGTAGCCGTGGTCACCACAGTCCAGCGTGCAGCTGATCTCCGAGCAGGTCTCACCGGTAAAGCCGTCGTCGCAGTCACAGACGCCACTACGGCAGACGCCGTGATCGCCGCAGCCAGCTAAGCAGATGCGTTCCTCGCAAGCGTCTCCAATGTAGCCCTGTGTACAGTTGCAGATACCGGTGGTTTGATCACAGGTGCCGCGACCGTTGCAATCATCGGTGCAAGGCACGAGCAGAGCGTCGCAGGCACTGCCGGACCAGCCCTCGTCACACTCGCAGGTACCATCAAAGCAGTAGCCGTTGCCAGAGCAATCGTTCTCGCAGCTCTTGAACACAACTTCACGGGAGCAATCCTCGCCGTCCCAGCCAGAGTAGCACTATATGAAAAGGAGGCAAGCAAGCAAGAAAAAGAAGAAGAAAGGTGGATAAAAAAAAGAGGGCATCACGAGGGCATGAGTTTCAAGTGATGGTGCCGCACAGTCCAACGGGATGGGTGGCTGAAAATGCCTGCCCCCAACAAAAATCAAGCAAGCCACGGCATGCGAGGCGACCCGGTCAAAAAGGCTAGAAAAGGGGCGCGCACCTCGCATTGAGTGGTTTCCAGGCAGCGACCATGGCCCGAGCAGTCGTTGAGGCACTGGGCTGAGAGCTCTGAAGACCAGTTGCCACCTTGGGAGTCGGTGACGGCTTCAACGCCGAGGTTGAAAAGGTCAATGTTATTAGCTTCGGCCATGTTCAAAATCTGGGTGACGACGGCGCCGGCGTCCTGGGAAGTGGAGACACTAATTTCGCAGACAAGGCCATCATTGTGGGAGCACCCCTCGACGGCGAAGCTGTCATCCGGGAAGAGGAGGTCGATGTTGGCGAGAAACTGGTCAAAGTCAAAGTCTTCAAGGGGACCCAGGGAGTCGCGGAAGCGCATCCAGACCGAGTCGGTGGTGTTTTGGCAAGCATCGCCAGCAAAGCCCGGGAAGCAGAGGCACGAGCCTTGAGTGCCACAGAGGCCCCGCGAGTTGTCTGTGCAAAGGCCGGGGCATTCCTGGTCACATGCGTCGCCAAAATAACCGTCGAGACACCAGCAGACGCCCTTGGCTTCGTGACAAATGCCGTGCGTGCAAAAACCGGTACCACAGGGGACGGTGTCTCCTGTGGTGGTGGGAGCAGGGGTGGTGGTCGGCGGGGGTATGGTGGTGGGTGGTTTCGTGTTTTGCGAGCTGGCTTGACTGCCTTCGGAGCCGGCCGAGCTGGCGGTACCGTTGGTAGCGTTACCGGAGGAACCACCACCGGCGAGGACAATGACAACAATGAGGGCAAGAATAATGGCGAGCAGGATGGCAATGATTATGTAGAGGCGACCGCGACCCTTGTCGTTGCGGGAGGCATTCGTGCCGGGGGATTTGTCCATGCCATCATCGATCTGGAAGGGAGCAACTTTGTTCGAGGCGCCGGCCTTGCTGCTACCGGCGTCAGGGCTGGCATCAGGAAACATGTACTCGGCGCTTTGCGTGGCGGGCCCGGCAAAGTTGTGGGTGGGGTCGAAGTACGTGCCGTTGTCGCTGTTGGTGCCAAAGGCGGTCGTGGCGGCACCGCCAAAGCCGGAAGGGGCATCAAGGTCTGCATAGGCGCCCTCTTCGTCAGCATCCCCACCATCAAAGAGCGGGTTGATGCTGGATGCGTACGCAGGGTTGGACACGACCGTCTTGCCTGTCGAGGCAGGCATGGCAAAGGGCTTATTGAAGCCTAGCGGGCGACGAACAAGGTAAGGATGATGGTGAAGGTGGGGAGCCGCATCAAGGCCAAGCATGACTGATGGCGGATGGGGCGAAAGGGGGGCAGGAGGGAGGCGAAAGAGGGTCACTGAATACGCACCGTAGAGGGCTTCATCGTCAGCAGCATCGAATGGATCGGGCTCGGCTGAGACGTTCAAGTAATCATCGTTATCCCCGTCGCTGTCCATGTTGGCGGTTGCGCGGTGGCGCGGGGCACGAGGCGTGTGCCAACCGTCTTGAGGTCCCGGTACGGTGGGGCGCCTGAGCGAGCGGGAGAGGATCGGCTGCCCTTTTACACGAGGAAACAAAAAGAAACCGGTGAGTTGTGATCAGCCAGACCAACGGCGTTTGCGGCGCGATTGTAGTGGAGAAAAAAAAAAGTGCCACCCATCAACGACATGCACATCGGCTGAACCAAGCCTGGAACGAGTTTCCCGCGTGTGCCCTTGATCGAGCGAATGCATTTGACACGCGCGCTGCCGTTTTGACCCAGGCAGCCGTTCTTCTCACTGTCCGTTCATGTTTATGTGTGTAGTGTATGTGTGCGCGATACCTCAACTTAAAGGAAATACACCTTGACGTGTGTGTACGTGTATGTGTGTGTGTGTGGAAGCAAACGTCAGCATTATTTCTGCCGAAGAGAAAGAGAACAAAAGAAAGCAAGAAACCGCTAAACAAAAGAACAAAAGAACAAAAAGAACAAAAGGATACTGCAACAAAAGAACAAAGGAAGAAGAGCAAAAAAGAACAAAGAAGAACAAAAGGGAACAAAAGGGAACAAAAGAACAAACGACAGGAAGACGGAGCGGAGGGCGTGGGACAAAAGAATTGAAAAGAATTGTTGACAAGTTGTTGTAGTGAACACGTTCTGCGATTGTGTATGGGGTTCAAGCTGTAAAGGGTGTTGCGCATGTGCACGCAGGTGTGGCAAAGGCAGTGCCAGCAGAACGAGAAGGAGCGTGTGGCTCGTTTACTCGGGGCGAGTGGGGCGTCTTGAACGACGCCAAAGTGCAACACGTTCATGGTGCGTGATATAAACAACGTCGAGTTGGCGCCGATTCTGCGCTTCGACAAGCCAGAGAAGCTAGGCGAGGCGCAAGTGCTGACCAGAGACCATGCGCAGTCCGCCGTACGCTCCACTTAAAATTCAAGGCTTAAGTAGAGATGAACCTCCCACGCCGAGTCTTGTCAGAGAAGTCCCCAAGGGCTGCAAGATCAGAAGCTAGGTTCTGAAGGTGGTTCGGGAAGTGGTGTGGGTGTTGTGGGGTAAAAGCTGTCCTATCCCCCGCGACATCGCCTTGCTGCTTTGAAGTCAGCAACTTCTTGTCTTTCACAGAGAGAGGGAGGGAAGTGAGAGAGGGAGAGATGGTCTGGCTGAGGGTACGGGAAGAGAGGGGGAGATGGAGAGGGAGCAAGGTACCCAATGGCGGTGAGAAGTCAGGTGTGCAGCGCCAAAAACTCATGCCAAGAGCAGAGAAACGAGACTACTAACGAAGAGAGAGAAGAGAGAAGAGAGAAGAGAGACTACTCAAGCAGAGAGAAGAAGAGAAGAAGAGAGAAGAGAGAAGAGAGAAGAGA